ATTTTGAATTAGAATAGGTGTTTACATACATGCAGTTGTGAATTAGGTCAATCTAAAATGGAAAGGAAGTCGGAAGATGTTCTAGAACTGATCTGATCTTCCCTTTCAGCTGAGATAGAGTGACCCCCACTGAGATAATTATACCATTACCTGCAAAACAATCGGACTCTTTAAATGAATATTTTCAGAAGACTAATATCGGAAGTTTTTGTCTTGAATAATGAGTATGTTGATGTTGTCCATAGGACACATTGTTCTCAAGAGAGTATATACCTTTTGAATTCAAAGCTGCTATATCAGTATATATTATAATCCATCTTACTAGTTGCTTGGACGTGTTTACATCTATAAAAACGCAATATATCGTTATTAGGGACATTTCATGACAGAGCTTCTCAAATTTCTTCCCGACTCCCGTACGTCTGGTTTCTTCTCGGTCATTTAAATTCAAACACAAAAGCTTTTGCGGAGGAGAGTGGAAATGGAATATTTATAATTGTAATTGCACTGAGTGGAGTGTAATTTGGTGTGATATCTCAAATCAATCAACTGTTGAATTTGACATGAGCAATGTACAAAAAGTTGCACATTAGTTTGAATTAACGTACCCAACTTTGCTTAAGTGGATATATATAAGAAACCTATTGCATTGCATGTAGTTGTTTAAGCTAAGCGATTCTGGTTACCGGTTTAAAGAATTTGCACCAACGTACGTGGGATTAATTAAACCATTAATTCAGCTATGGCAATTAAGTTATCGGCTAAACAAAATTCTTTGTATGGCACTATTCCTAGGAATCGAAATTTACCTGAATGAGTAACAGATTAATATAACTCAACTGAGTTTATGAATATTAACTTACAAAGCGCATAGAGCGTCTTTAGTTCGATTTTTGTCTTCAGTGGATATGAGGAAAACATTATAGATATGGCCTTATATAAAACCTCTTACAGACGAGCATGTATTCTATGACAAGTTTTTATGTGACAAGTTTTAATTGTTTGTCTGTACGCCCACTTTGACAATTATATATATACTTGATTTTCAACAAGTGTACTTGCCATAGAAAAACTGTCAAAGTACGACTTTTGCTCTGTGTGCGTCAACAAAGAAAACTTGTCACATAATGTGAGCACATGAATGCGGTAGGCCAGCGGACAATAGTATTTTGCAATGGCGCGCTCAACAAGAGGTGGGAATTTTGTTTGCGCTGGTCAAAAAATCGCGGGCGTAAAGCTTTTTTTTACAATTTTACGTTCGTACTGGGTTTTTCCTGTTTTCAATGTGGCAAGTCAGCGAGATTTTGCTGAGATTTGTCTTCAGCAGGCATTTTTTTTAAGTTCAGACCAACGAACTTGCATTGTTAAAGCTTCATCTTGATCAAGGACAGCCAGATACAATTTTAAGCTGTGGAAGGATGACACAAAACGCTTGTTAAAAATATTGTCAATTTTTAAGACAGCTATGGAGCAAGGAAATTTCTTCGGGAAACTACGGGTAAGTGAGTATATATTTTTCAGCTTATTAACTCACAGAAAATGTTTAAACATTTTATACTGGATCGTTACACAAGACGTGATTACCGTTCAAACTTGGTTATTTTCCATAATATCAAATATTTCATGCATTTGCAACGCAGATTTGTGAACTCTAGTCCAGTGCCTCAAAACGAAAGTCGCTTTAAAAGAGCCTTTATTCTATAAGCTTTTTATCTTTACAGGAATTGTAGTCGTAAAAATTTGGACTGATGCGAATTTTGACACATTTTTAAAACTGGATGTATGATTGTCATTATTTGTCGCTGTTCAAATGCCGCGTTTAAAATTAGTATTACTAGGTTTCTTTTACTATATCCTTTTTTTCGCGTTAATTGTGATGGTTTGTTTGAAAAAATGTAAATTATTTTAAGATTTTGCCGAGTGCTTCAAAAAGAAAAAGCGACAAAAATAATCTCTTGATAATCATCGTTTTTGTACTTAAACTTTTGATTGCGCTCAAAATTGCCCTCCTAGATATCGCTAGGCTTAAACATGGACCTAGAAAGTCAAAATATCGATACGTGCTCAAGAGAAAGCAAGAGAAGAATAAGCGAAGCTTTAGTTTTCTGTGTATTCATTTTGTTTGTTTTGGCTTTTAAACTTTTAACGTTGTCCACTGTACGATTACATTGCTTGCATATATGCAGTTGTGAATTAGGATAATCTAAAATAAAGGAAAGGAAGTCGGAAGATGTTCTAGAACTGATCTGATCTTCCCTTTTCAGCTGAGATAGAGTAACCCTCACTGAGATAATTATACCATTACCTGCAAACAATCAGACTCTTTATATGAATATTTTAAGAAGAATAATATCGGAAGTTTTTGTGTTGAATAATGAGTATGTTGATGTTGTCAATAGGTTTGTCAAATTCTTACCTATCAACAGCTTCAACGAAATGGTTTTTTGCCAGTCTCCGTCAAGGCACTTTAGGATTTAGCATGAGGATGTGAACTTCAAAGACGACGTCAAATTGCCGTATAAATTGCGTTGCATGTCCATATATAGTCGCATCACGCCATTTATTCGGCATTTTCACGTCGTCTTCGACGTTCATGCATGCGTCTTTCTGCTAAAAAGGTTTCCTATTACTTAGACTTTAGCTGTGGAAAGTCATTTCAGAATATTCATGGCAAATACAAACAGAATAACTATAATCTGGCTTGGGAAGCAATCTCCAAAATCCGAATTACTGCATGCATGTCGGACAACAAATCAACAATTCTAGTGTAGTGATACAGTTTTTGTTTCTGCCATATCAGTATATATTATAATTCATCTTACTAGTTGCTTCGACGTTTTTACATCTATAGAAACGCAATATCGTTATTAGAGACATTTTATGACAGAGCTTCTCAAATTTCTTCCCGACTCCCGTACGTCTGCTCTCTCCTCATTACCAGCACAAAAGAAGGAGGAGAATGGGAATAATTTAAATTGCACTGTGTGAAATCAATCTGTAATTGTAACATTTCTGTAAATGTTTAACTTATAGCAATCTATGTAAGAAAGCCAGCCAGCGAGTTGGAGTTGTTATGAGAATGAAGAACATGATGCCAACAAGAGTAAAGCTACAGTTATAAGGCCGCTATTTTATACCTTATCTCGTCTATTGTCACATTGTGTTGCATCTCTGTTGTGCCAGTGACAAATGAAAATTAGAACGGGTCCAAGAAAGAGCATCAAGGGCAGTTTTTAAAGAAAGTGTGGCTGCTTATGAAGAGTTGCCGAGAAGAGCTAATTTATCAAGCCTAGAGTATAGAAGATTGCAAGACATGGGGCAATTCTAGTATATATAGCTAAACACAATCTTTGCCCACAATATGTATCTGATCTATTCACTAGTAAAAATGCGGATATAAAACTTGAGAAATGCAGATATAACTATTCCAAGATTCAATATATACTATATATAGCGTATGAAAAGCACTTGCCGCTTTTCGTCGCTGAGATAGTTATAGGTGCAAAAATATGGATTAATTAGATGGGGTAAAAAACAGTGATATATCAAAGGTTTTTGAGGAAACAAAATAGCAAAATTAAAATATAAATAATTAAAAATATTGTGCATTATGTAGTAATTAATAACGTTGTATATGTTTTTATCCTATGTACATAATATATTTTAGATTATATGATATAGTATATATAATATAATAGTATATTTGGAAGTATAGTCTCAGTAAATAGTGTCCCCAAGTAATAGACCTTGGTTAGCCATGTATTTTGACACTTAAATAAAGTTGTGTATGTGTGTTTGTGTATATATGTATGTATCAAGTTTTAAGATCAAGCGAGATAATAAATTTGCCAGAACCACCCGTTTTTTTAGCTGACCTCTATATAAGACATGAATGCTACGTTATATATTTTACTATTAAAGCGCCTGGGTACGAGGCTGCATTAGTTACGAGATTTACAGTAAGAGCTACGGCAACATTAGCCTGCGCGCAGACGCTATATATAGTAATAAATAAAAACTTCCGGGCGCCAGCATTCGGGCTACAAATATTTTAAATAATTGTGGAAATATATAGCGTCTGCGCATCAGCGTCGAAATACGTGTTCTATAATTTACTCGCCGAAATAATTTATTTGCAATTTGACGCAGCGTGCTTTCGCCAATGCGGAAATTATGTGTGAAATTATGCGCCATCGGAATTTATGTAGATCATTATGTCGGCAAGTTTGCAGTTTTGTGTCCTCTGCCAGCAAACGTTTAACCGAGAGAAATATAGATATTTAGTTCAAGGAATGAGTAAGGAAAATATACAGTCTGAACTTGAGAGCTTGCCGTTCACTGTCGACTTAGAACGGACTGAGCCAGTATAAAGAAGCGGCGTGTATTAATATCACAAATATCTGACATTGAAGAACGCCTGAAAGAGAACCACGACTATAGACAAATGCCTTGATGCTTTCGATCTGTTCAGGCAACAGGTTTTCTATGTTAAACTGATTCTTAACCTCTGTAAAAGCACGTTGCCAAAGCTCCTCGCTAAATACTGCCATCTTGTTCCAGTTGTTCTTGAGGCGATTATTATGATTCATGTTGCATAATTACAAATATATTTAATTTCCTCTAGCCAATCAAATCATTATTTATCCCACTAACCAATCACAATCTATTATTAAATATGTAGCCAATCAGATCGCGTCCCCGGGTTTCGTGCGGACGGCAAGCTGGCTAGAACAAGCTTTTGAGTGCTGATGCATAGACGGTGTGTCGTTTTTTCACCGTATATGTTACGTACGCTACGGCAACATCTCTTTTGAACTGTCTATTCAACAATTTCTCGTAAAACCCAATTCCAGGTAATCATTTGTTCATGTGTGATCGCTCTACAAGAAAGTATTAGTCTATATATATCGCTCTATATCATCATGCATGATCACGGCCTTTTAACATACAGGCCGTGCATTGCAAAATACGACAATGTTGTAGAAGAGAAACAGAGCAGATTTGCTGAACAGGTTTATTTGTTATATAAAAGTCTAGAATTACAACTGAAAATACGCGACACGAACACAAAACACCATGCATGCATGGTACACTAATTTACGTCTTATTATTAAACTATAAGTTTTCTCGTGGATTAACTATAACGTCAGCGCTCAGTTCACACTCAAGGACAGGCCATCCAGTTGACGTGAAGTTGATAGGTGACAGAATAAAACCATGGCTTGAATCTTACGTTGAATCCATGAGTTGTTACACTTTCTGCCTTAACATGAACGCGAACATTTTGATCTTTGTGAGTGTCGATCAGAGTAAGACCAATCGTCACCTTTGGCGGTACTTTAAATGGGCTTTTGAATTTGACAGGAACAACCTGTCCGCTTCCGAAACAATTAATTGCATAAGTTGTACAATACTTTGATTTAACGACTCCGTTTTCACCTAAATGAATAGGAAAAAAATATTGCATTGTAGCTAGTTGCGCAATTCTGTTAATTTTTCAAAAAATTTGTGTGATGCGTGATTCAATGAAAATTCATTTTGAATTTTTGGAAAACAACCTTCGAATTCTGTGGTATTAAGCACATCTTCCATGCATGGACGTAGCTAGCTATATAACCGCTTCCGCATTAAATCGTTATAGTTCTTAAAATGTTTTCGCATGTTAAAAAACGGAACACTTAAATATTGATTTGATCTTCTGTGATTGCATATAGAAAGCATTTATTATGAACATTGTGCTTTTTTATATCATGCACCCTGAATAATTATATTCAATAACTTATAAACTTGTCATAAGTTGCGAACATCATTTACCGATGATGAAAATAATTGATGTAAAATTGCCTTTAGTCTCCAACGCAGGCCTTAATTTCTGTTGACAGGCATGCATATCAGAGTGATTTTTCGTACAATTCAACAAGAACGACATTTCACGCACTCGACTAGAATTTAATTAAACCAGAGTGCTCAATACAAGTAATACAGTAGTTAATAATAGTTGATTTGTTTTTACATATATATAATCTGCTGCAATTTAACATTATACGAGAGGGCTTCTTAGTTCACTTCACTATATATACTTCATATAATTTTATATATTTTATGAATCTTTCGTGGAGTATATATAGGACTAGCTAAGTTGACAATTAATATATATCACTATAGTTTAGTTCAATTAATTCATCAGAGATTTATTTCAAAACAACAAATCAATTGAAATTATAATAACAACTTACATGTGTCGATACACAGCGAACCGCGTTTTTGGATCCCAACGTCATTGCTCACCAAGCCTGCCGATTCAAAACGGTTCTTGTCTTCAGTCTATATCAGGAAAAAACAAAACATCGGGAAAACATGTTGCTGTTTATTATGATATCTTTTGCGTAGTTATTATGAACAAAGCAGGAATCAAAACTTGCGTAAATTGAACAGTTTTTTTTTCTAGCCCTTACCTCACCAGTCCGTTTGAAATTCAGCTCTTCAGCAATCGTCTAATTTGGAAGTGTAAAAATTGAATTATTTATCTTAACCTCATCTTTTAAACGTCATTTAATGTAGCCATTATAAACAAACAAGTAAGCGGTATATCAGTGTATAACTTGTAACTTACCAACACGAACAATGCAACCAAGCTAGCCAGGAACAGCTTCATAATTATCTTGTCTGGAGTAAAGTAAAGTTACATCAGTGCATATAAATGGTATATAAATCAGTCATCCAGCCCGTATATATAGATTACATACTGCACTTACCTGTTTAGAAGTTCGGTTTATTCTTGAAATCAGAAGAAGTAGTGCTACAGGAAAGCAAAATCTGATGGAAATTCACTCCAAGACTCGATGTTTTATAGTTTCAACACGCCCACATATATTTTTGAAATTGCTTAAATTTTTTTCTCATGTTTTGATCTGACCTTCCCTTTCAGCTGAAATAAAGTAATCCATACTTGGGTAATTATACTATTGCCTGCAAAACAATCAAACTCTTTTTTATGCATGCCTAGTACTTTTGAAAAGACTGCTATAGGAAGTTAATGTCTATGAGTATGTGTATGTTGATAATGAGTATGTTGATATTGTCAATAGGCTTGTGAAATTCTTACCTATCAGCAGCTTCAACGCAATGTTTTACTTCAATGCAATACAGTGTAGAGAGATTTAGCACGAGGACTCGTGGCAAGGCGGGTGAATGTGGCGAATAAATAGCGTGGCATGTCATATATAGACGCATCACGCCATTTATCTGCCATTTTCACGTCCTCATTGACGTCCACCTCTTGGGCTAAATCTGCCTTTTACTTATAAATCAACTGTGGAAAGTCATTTCGGAATATGGAAAATTACTAACTGAATCCGGCTTTGGAAACAATACCCCGAATTATTGCATGGTAAGACAACAAATCTAGCGTCGTGACACAGATTTTGAGGTGAAGTGCTATAGTAAAAAAGTGCTATAACATAGATACCAAATATTTGCCCATTATTTGCATATTTTGTTGTAAATAATTAGATGATAAACGTCATTTATGACCGAGCTTCTCAAAGTAGGTTTTAGCTCGACGGAATAGAACGATGGAATTGGTTTTATTTTGTTCTAAACATTTTTGCCTCGGAGCTGAACTAGAATCAATAAAACTTCTCCAGTATTTAAACGCTGCCTTTGTCAGTTTAAGAATAGCATATTTCTGTCTTAATTTTTTAAGTATTTTAATACGTCTGGTATGTGTCTGCATGTATTAAGTTGTTTGTCGTCAAAGTCAAGGAAGTTTGAAGTGAGAGCTTTTTTCCTCAGTTTAAAATGTCCTTTCCCAAAATTTTCGCCGTTTTGTACTGTTGCTCACTTGGATGAGTTTAGGATGAACATTGCAATGCTTCGTATTGACATCTATTTTAAGAATAATGTTATTAACTATAACTTTACTGTTAATTTTGCAAATGGGTAACACAGAAGCGACAAGGATTGGATTCCATTTTGAGTTTGAAGAAATTCTAAAGCAAGCGCGTTTATACTTTCAGGGAATGTATGTTAGAATTACGGAATGGATGAAATGACTCACGATTGAATTTAAGCCCCACATATGTTCCGTGCATGCGTCTTGTCACATGTCACTCCGACTTTTAATGTCATCATACGCCTCTTATTTTGAATTAGAATAGTTGTTTACATATACATATGGAAGAACGGAAGTCGGAAGATGTTCTAGAACAGATCTGATCTTCCCTCTCAGCTGAAATAGACTAATAGAGTGACCCTCACTGCGTAGGATAGTTATTTACATATTATCATAACATTGTCGGCAAAACAATCACACTCTTTATATGAATATTTTGAAAAGACTAATCAATAATATGAAGTTATTATGTTTTGAATGATAAGCATGTTGCTAATGTGTAACTTTGGGCTGTTGGTAATAAATTGAACAGCTTCAACGCAATTTTTTTTCCAGTCATTGTCAAGACACATTACAATTAGGCCTATTTTCACAATTAATTAAGACACGTTACAATAGATTTGGTCAGATCTCATCGTGCATATGCATCGCAAGTTTGGAGCCCACAGACTATCACTTTGTGCAAGAAGCTCGAACGAATAAGACGCAGAGCAGCGAAGGTCACAATTAACTTTAACTTCGACACAGACACATCATACAGAACTAGACTTGCCTCCTTGGAAATATCCTGACATTCTTTTCTGTTTAAAAGCTCACACGGCTACATTAAAGTCCCCATCCTTCCCGAGCAGGTTACCAGTCCATCTTCAAACACAATCTTACAGTCACATAACAGCTCCCTTGTTACATACAAGTGATACAACATCCCCAATGTCAGGGGCCGGTTGTATCAAGCCCGTTTAGCTTAAACGGTGGATAAGTCAAAATTAAATAACACTCTTACATCTCTCTTGAATGAGTCAACTTGAATATTATGCACTGAATATGTAGTATCTTTGTATTAAGGTTGAAAACATTTAGTTTGCTTGTTGAATAAAACGATAGACTTGCTTTCTATTTTGAAATTAACCACCGTTTAAGCTAAACGGGCTTGATACAACCGGCCCCTGGTAACTAACGTAATTGCTCAGGCTGTGTTCCTGGGTCGTTTTCTTGTTTATCTTCAATTGTAATACGGACTAAATAGTGAAATAAATAAATACTCAGAAATCAACTGTCGAGAGTCATTTCACTGTGAATTTTCAATATAAAAACAAAGTAACTATAATCTGGCTTGGAAAACAATGCCCCGAATTACTGCATTGGCAGACAACAAATCTAGTATAGTGTAGTGAGGTCTAGTGTGATTTGAAGTGTAATAAACGTATTTATATTCTTGTGAAATAAATTGCAAAGAGCTTTCAACATTATCTATTACATTGTCAGGAATTTATCTCCAACCATGATTGACAAGTTTATCGGTTGTTGCTATAATTATGAACACGACTGACAAGCACTGAAGTCTCTTGGAAGTCTTACCTCAGCGATTCGTCTGAATTCCAACCGAGCAAAAGTTTTATTTACAATTGAAACTTGAACAGAATATAGTATTGTGGGAAAGAACTTAGCTATACTCAATCGGCAGGAAAACTACAGAGTTTGGTGAAGAGGTAAGTGGTACTCTCCGTATATACAGGGCGTTTATAAAAGGGGCATATTTGGAGCCAAAAGTCTTTTACTCCTTTGCTCCAGAAATTTAAAAAGGGCTTGTAATAGTATTCCGCCAGCACAGATGTCTAAATTACTTCGTAAAGCGTTTTGCACTTTCTGCATGTTTCAGTTTGGGTCCAATGCAAAATTTCGTTGGTCGGTTGTAAACTGCACCGTTCTGCAGGCTGCAGCAGTATCCGTTTAGCTCATATAACTATTATCAGTTCAATGATAGGGGTGGAAGCCACCTAGAGGCCAAACAGTGGTGCGAAGCGAAAAATATTGAATAAATAAATAGGAAACGCGCGTATAAACACACTTATGAATCAAGTGGCCAAGAGGCCAATTCATTTCCGAGAGGCCTAAGAACAATTTGAATTTTAGAACAGATTTATTGAGGATAAAAGTTCAGAATTACAACTGAAAATACACGGGACATGAACACAAAATACACATGCTACTAAATTATGTGTTAACTAAGTTCTTTTGTGGATTAACCAACGTCGGCGGTGCAGTTCATGCTCAAGGACAGGCCATCCAGTTGACGTTAAGTCGATAGGTGATAGAAAGATCCCATGGCTTGAATCTTATGTTGAATCCAGCAGTTGTTACGCTTTCTACTACGACATTAACGCGAACATTGTAATCTTTGTGCGTGTCGACCAGGGTAAGACCAATCGTTACCTTCGGCGGTACTTTAAATGGACTGTTGAATTTGACAGGAACAACCTGTCCGTTACCGAAACAAAACTTTGCATAACCTGTACAATACTTTGATTTAACGACTCCATTTTCACCTAAATGAATATGAAAAAAAAAGAATATCTTGCATTTGACAGGATTAAGTTCGCCTTACAAGGGCCAAAGTTTTAGGATTTAGTTTATAATAATATATAGCTCATGCAATTAAGATTTTATTAACCACTGACTTACAGGTGTCTATACAAAGCGAGCCGCGTTTTTGGATCCCGACGTCATTGCTTACTAAGCCTGCCGATTCAAAACGGACTTTTTCGTCAGTCTATACAAAATGACAAAATTGCATGGTGTCTATTTTAAAGATGATGTAAAGTCCGTTCTGCGCATATATTCTGCGCATAACAATGTTTGTTTATGTTGGTTATATAATTTTTACATGACGTATGAGTCGTTATATTTTCTTATTTTCTTCTCGCTCGACCTGCTGTGATCTATGATGAATATGATTTTTTTATATTATATTTTGAAAAAAATATTATTACATTTAGAAGAAAATATAAAGCGAAGCTTGTAAATAGACCGGCCGTTATTTAAAACTTTAGGTAGCGTCTGTAGGCTGTAGCGACGACAAATAGCCCCGCCATCTCGTACGGTCCTCATTCAACAAATAAATTCTTGGAGCATTCCTTTCAGCATAATATTGCCTTTTTCTAGCAGCCTTATGATAAGATAAGTTATCTTCGTCACTCGCAATTCGAGCCTCTTCGCCTTGCGATATAAAATAAAATAATTTTGCTCCCGAACTGCCGTTTGTAATACAACGCGCTAATATCGCATATCATTAACATTCCAAAAGTTGCTCCCCCACTGATGGAATGTGTTGATGCGCGGAATATATGCGCAGAACGGACTTTACCTCATCTTTAAACGGTTGACACAAATAGCCAATTTTCTGGACTGAATTGTTATTAAAGCTGGTGGACATGTCAGTATATCGCTGGTATAGTTTGTAATATCGCGAAGTTATTTATCCGAAATATAAGACGGCTATATCAGATGGTTCTCTATACACATGCTTCTGGAACACATGCGAGCAATAGCTTCGCGAGCAAATTAACAAAGTCCTACCTCGGCAGTCCGTTTGAATACCAAGTCGTCACCACACGCCTGATTTAAAAGAATTATATTATATTCAAAATAGGGTGAAGCTCAGAATTTCTAATTATCAACTTTTTCAGTTTATCTTAAAATAGGAATATGTTTCGAAGCATGGTCGGCTGTATATCTATTGACAACACTATATACCAACAATGCATATAGGCTGAATGAAATAGCAACGTTTAACTGTTTAATTTTTAAATGGTTAAACTGTCAATGCAGGTGAATGCGTATACAAGTAGGAGTCTATTATTGTACTCACCAATGAGAACAATGCAATCAAGCCAACTAGGAACAGCTGCATATCTATAATATATATATTAATTCAGTGTTGGTAGTACGAAGTATATATATAATGTAATCAACCTATTTTTTTTAAATACATACTATATGAAAATGACAATTAATATAGATATTGCCAACTTCCATACTATTCCAACTAGCGTCGATATTATTTCCATTACATGGATTTTGAAAAAAAAATTCGAGTTTAGATTACATACTATATACTTACTTATTTCGAAGTTCTTTACGTCTTGAAATCAGCAGAAGCGCACAGGTCAGGAAGGGAACTCGATCTGATAGAAATTCACTCCAAAGCACATTCTTTTATACCTTCCACCCACAAATAATTCAAAAGTTAGTATGCATAATTTCGTGGAAAAAGCCATCAATATCATCGGATTGATGAACACTTGAATCTCTCAATCATTAGCTCAGCAAATCTTTTAAGCAGGACTTCACAAAATGTGTAGTTTCCTTGTATTGATCACAACAGTCTTATGCAATAAACTTATTTAGCTACAAGGATGGGTTTCATGTATACACAATTAACAAACAGATGGAATATTCAAATAGGCGAATATAAGAGAAAAGAGTGAAAAGAACTGGACAGTAATATATCAGCATAATTATATATACATATAATATAGTTGCAATATGTGACATAATTATTGGACCGCTTAGCCTGAAAAGGCGAGATTCCCGCCTTCCCCCCTTTTCAATATTGTATGTTGAAATTCATCTTCCACGGACAAGCCATTGCCTTGGATTTGTTTACCGACATTTTTTCCACCAGAAAATGCGACATTGAAAGAGGGTGGGGGGTTATCTGTAACAAAACAAGGTTAGAGTTGGTCAAAAACGGTTGACCAAATGCTGGCTTTTAAGATAGGATTAAGCCGGCTTTCAAATCAGGTCAGTAGTAATTCCTTTATATGAATGAAAGTGCAAGACATTTAGCGCACATGTGTGTCTGGCAGACATGGTACTTACTTAAGGCTAGTTTCCACTCAGGAAAATTCTCCTTTGGATCGGACAGGACAGGAAAGTTCCCTTTGTATAAACGCCGCCTAAGAACTCACCGAGAAAGGAATTTTTTATGTCCGTTCCGATCCAAAGGAGATTTTTCCTGATTTTTCCTGGTGGAAACTAGCCTTCAGGGCTGCTTAACGGGTAACATGCAGTCATGCACGCACGTAAAAGTTAATTTAAATTCATTAAATGATACTTATTATATAAATTCAACGTTTGATTAAATGCATAGGGTTGGAGTCTGTTTGACCAATGATCACGTTAAAGTCCATGATTGCTAAGGAGAAGCGAAGATGCAATCTTCTTCAATTGAGTTGTCGTCTAATGTGGTTCAGAACTGTACTGCAAAGTCCTTAGTCGAAAATACTTTTGTCTATCCTCGTTGGGCAGCAGTGGCAACAGCCTATAATAATATATAGAATCAGTTCTCTTTAAAAATCGTGGCATGTAATAATAATTAATAAACCAAGGAATATACAAGAACTAGAATATACGAAAAACTGAGTTCTTTCGATTTTTTCACCTAGCTTCTTCAAATATGACATAATATATAAGGATTTAGACTTTGGCGTGCCAAACGCTAAGTGAAAAACGCTAATAATATATTTGCCTCCACTTAACGATTTTCCGCGGCCCCTGCATGAAGACAATAACAAATCAAACTTTCTTATTCGTGTAGGGGCTTTTTTGATAAATAACAAGGTTGCATTGACCTTACTCACACGCACGTTATAAAAATCTATTACAAAAAACGACAACTTTAGGACTCACATTCATAATAAAGCAAGGCCTTCGTGATAAAAAATTCAAGAATTCTCAGATAAGATAAATGTCAGTAGTATAAAGTCTCTGGTGGTGGCTAATCACAAACGAAGCCTTGCAAGGCCTTAATGAGAACCCAAGTATGTTTTTACATATGAGCCTTTTTCGGATATACTAATTTCCTTTCGTTCAAGTGTAAAATCATATAAAGGGACATATACCGACAAGGACTTTAGCGGACAGTTGTGTTTGGCAGACATAATGTTAATGCTTAATGGAACTTAGGGCTCCTTCCATGCACTGTCGCGTTTTTTGCGGGTAACATCGCGCACGTTTTGTTTAAAGCAAGTTAAATGATACTGATAAAATCTACGATTGAATAGATGCAAAGGGTTGGAATATGTTGAAAATTTGGTGTGTTTTTTTCTAGCATAAAATTATTTATGACCAATGATCACGTTGAAGTCCTGTTCCAAATTTCCTAAAGAGCAGCGAAGATGCATTCTTCTTTAATTGAGTAGTAGTTGTCTGCTGCAGTTTAGAACTGCACTGCAAAGCCTATATAGTCAAGAATACTCTTGTCTATCGTAACTTTGAACAGCAGTGACTATAATGGCAACAGCCTATAACAATATATAGAATCAGTTCTCCATAGTCGAAAGGAAGTTAATATAACTAATTAAGATAATAGCAACTCAATGACTCTTATTTATGCATGCAGGGGATTTCTTAAAAAACAGCAAGTTTATTGACCTTATCATTAACGTGTACGTTATAAAAATCTACCTATAATTATAATTGATCCGAAGGAAAACTAAATGCCTGAAACTCGCAGGGTCACAATGATGAAAGGCAATAAAAAAAATAATCGGGGAAGTCAGCTCCTCGGGATCCATGCACACATACTCGAAAGGAAATTGATATTTACTATAAGGAAGTTGATATTTTATAAGTCGCGGCATATAATAATAATTAATTATAGACAAAAGAATATACAAGAACTAGAATATACGATGCATGCCATTAGATGAGCTAGCTCGACTCAACACATTTCATGATCAAAGGAAAGCAATCGAAGAAGATCCATCATAACTGCCTGATATAAGTTCACACGGGACCGATTAAACGGCTGTGAATATAGCGTTACCCGGCTTTCATACAGCCGTCCCGGCCAGGAGTCGTTAGCAATTTATCCTGTTAGGTTATTGATTTCTGGACAGTACTGTATATTACTTTTTACCCTCCATGATAAGTATTTCGTTGTATGTAAGCCGGATAGCGTTATCCACCGGATAGTGATTTTTTCAACCGTTTTAAACATGCTCGAAAAGCGATTAAATTTCGGCTTTGTGCCAACAATTATTAAAGAGGATCCTCGACTTAGGAATACTAAGATATAATCAAAGTTATATCAAACAACGGGGGGTTTGAAAAACCACTATCCGGTGGATAGCGCTATTCGGCTTTTATGCAACCAGCCCCAGAACTACAGTAATTTGATATTTTATTGCGGTCGTCTCCGGTTCTATCGGTCGACAGCAACCACAGGGTCAAGTAACAAGTGAATCTTAACCTTATACGTACTGTGCAATTCCATTACTGCATGCATATAGTATGGAAGCCAAAATTGTGAGAACACACGATGCCATATATACATCTTTATCATCTAACAGCTAGGGGACAGCTTTAAAAAATAAATGCTTTGTGTTGCTAGGGAAAGGGAAAATGTCGAAGGTCAGGGTGCATGCTTGAGATACACATTTAAATATTGTTATCCATATTTGTAAATTGTAAATATTGTTAATAAATATCATTTTTGCGTACAAGCAAATTTTACTGCATCATATGCATGCATAAAAATGCTTATAGCAAACATTTACACACCAACAGAGTGCTTATAGGCATTCAAACTCTAATAATTACATCAATTGTTGTGCGTGATTTCAAAGGTTTTCGTTTTTTTTGAGACACCCTGTATGTGGACAAAACAAATTCATTCCTCTTCAGGCTCTTTGCATTAAACAACAAACCATTAAACAACAAACCAAACAGGATTGGTAGCTAGATTTCTGAATGAATTAGCCAAATGTAATTGAATTAGCCATTGTTTTCTTTATCTTAAACAAAGGAATTAAGGCCGGAAATACCAAGTTTTTGTTAGGGACGGAATTGGCCAATGAGAGTCGTTTATTTCTCATCTAACAATCCAATCGTTTTTTACAACCGGCCCCAGAAAACAAGACTAGTTATGCATGTGTATACCTTTTGAATGGTGCTATAAAAGATCGTGTGTTCGGGATATTTTTCTTTAAAATTTTGTTTTGAGTTTGCACTCTGTACTGATTTCAAGACTAAAGAACTTCCAAACAACAGGTAAGAGTATTAAAAAAATTGTTGGAAAATGCCTGTTAATATAACACAAAGTGTTAATATAGCTTACTTATATGTACCAACTGCATGTAATTCTGAAATGCTTCAATCACATGTAACTTTTATCATACCAGATTATAGATCATGAAGCTGTTCCTCGCTTGCTTGGTTGCATTTTTAGCAATCAGGTGAGTAATATGAACGAAACTTACACGACCACATTCATACGCATTCATGTGCTAAATAAAATTAATCGAAAAATAGCTGACTACCAAATCGCAAACTAACCAGCTATATACAACATATGTCGATCCTTTACAATTATATAAAACTTACCTGCACTAACCTGCAGTCGAATAAATGGCTATCATTTGATCAAAAATGCTTTCAGAATAGGAAATATCAATGTTATTTGCCAGAAGAATAAAGTCAGGGGAATGGGCTAAAGCACGGCGCACACTGAAGGAAACAGACCTTGATCCTACCGTCGCGCATTGCGCGCTTATAAGCTATATAAAAGGGGTAGGGTCTATTAACAGGCGATGATGTGTATAATACGTCTCTTATCGTAATGCGAGCGAGCGCAGACAAAGACGACAAATGACTTTTTTACAGGGGATTCGCAACAGATTTTCTGAACAGATTCTGGGGCTGTTTACATGACCCCGCGGTTACTAAAGATTCAACGAAGCGTCAGATGATTTTGAGGTATTGAAATGAGCAGATAACATGATCCTGGCAGTCGTATAATCACCACAACAATAGCATGTGCTTGTTTGGTTTCTAAAAGACTTTAATATTTTAATACCTCAAAGTCCTCTCACGGTTCGTTGAATCTCGGGTAACTGGGCTCATGTAAACAGCCCCCCATTGATGATAAAAGTCTCGAAAACAGAAAATGCACATGTTACTAATTCATGTTTCAACTGAGTTGTTTCGCGGAGTAACTATATAACGTCGGCGTTCAGTTCAGTCATGTTCAACCATCTTATATACACTCTTTATTTATGTTCTATATGACGATTGAAATTACACGTCCTTAACACGAAAATTCACTCTCAGATTGTTTAATTATGTTCCTTCGATCAACGTATATAGCTAAGGGTAGGCCATCCAGTAAACGGTAAGCTGATAGGTGATAGAAATTTAGGTTATTACGTTATTAAGTTATTATTGCTAACACGTAGGTTATTACGCCCTTTGCTGCGACATGAACGTGGATATTTTGATCTTTGTGCTTGTCGATGAGGGCAAGACCAGCCTCATACAAAAGCCCTTTAGTAGAAAAACATATAACGTTGCACTCTATTATATAGAGGTCAGCGAAGAAAAAACGAGCATGCTTGAGTGTTTGGGGTGAGGTTTGTCAAATGAAGCGCCTCCATGGCAGCAAAATGTTTCAACATGTAAACGTCTAAATGAATTATGCTATATACAATTCTATTACATGAATTAGATCCAGGTTTTCACAGATACACCGGTTTTTACAGATACACCAATGTTATAGGTTGATTACAGTATCCGCTAAATAACACGTAAGGAATCAATTTACTTTCAAGTTTAAATTCTTGAAATGAAGCGTTGAATTCATCATGAGATGTTATTAAACCTGTAAGCAAAGGAATATTATTTTATCTATGATTTTATGTTATGAATAGAAATCTCTTAACATGTTTTTAACTAATTTCTCTTTTCCCACTATTAAATATGTTAAACCAGATGGAAATATGGCAGGTGATTATTTAAGTCCTCTACGAAATAGTCTGAAGCCGTGTGAGATGAAAATGATCCCCTAGACACTATAAAATATTCATTGAAATAAACCGAAAGGCATTTATACTTTAAAGTTTCTTCGTATTAATCCATGCGAACTTCTTGTATGCTCATGGCTTATAAGCAGTGTTTCCACAACTTATTGCATATGACTGTCTTCATAAGGGGATAGTAATTAATCAAGAAAGAGAGAGACAAAGAACTTTTGAAAAGAATATATAATTTTAACGCAGATCCCTCCCTCCGTGGTGGTTGACCCTAACTCATTTCCTATAGACTCTTTCATTCACTAATTACTATGCTTACCCACGGCCGAAATAAAGCTTTAGTTTCAAACGGGTACTTTTAGGAAATATTGTGTATTTTTCCTTTTGAATCTTTTATAACATCACAAATAAAAAAACAGAGCGTGAAAAACGCAACAGCTAGGTCACCTGGTATTTTAAATTGTTATTTTAACCCCAGTTTGGCATGCATTTATTCAACAAGCGAACTAAATGTTTTTATCTTTATACAAAGAAACTGTTTACAACTACATATTCAATGCATACTATTCAAGTTGACTCATTCAAGAGAGATGTAAGAATGTTATTTAATTTTGACTTATCCACCGTTTAAGCTAAACAGGCTTGATACAACGGGCCCCAGGAGTTGGGTTCAAAATTTGGTTGGGTCCCCATGCACCTATAGTTTGTGAACTTCATGCCGAGTTAACAGGGAACGAGGTCATACATATCCTTTTATTGTAACACCCGACCGGAATCAAGACTCGTGCTCGACTCCATTTTCAAAGAAAATATGCAAATATTTCGCCAGCGAACTATTTCTCTTCAAGTGGAAATCTAGCCTAACTAAAGTTGCCTTTAGTGGGACGTGGATTGCAAATACGTCGATCTTATACAACAGAAACACAACAGATTTTCTAAACAGGTTTATTGATTATAAAAGTATCAAATTACAACTGAAAATACGCGACATGAACAACACAACACGCACATACAGGATACTAATTTATGTCTCAACTAAGTTCCTTCGTGGATTAACTAACATCGGCGTGTAGTTCATGCTCAAGGACAGGCCATCCAGTTGACGGCAATTTGATAGGTGATAGAAAAATCCCATGGTTTGAATTTTATGGTGAATCCATGAGTTGTTACACTTTCTGCCTTAACAGAAACGCGAACATTTTGATTTTTGTGAGTGTCGACCAGCGTGAGACCAATCGTCACCTTTGGCGTTCTTTTAAATGGACTGCTGAATCTGATGTAAACGGCCTGCCCGTGACCGAAACAATACCTTGCATAAGTTGTGCAATACTTTGATTTAACGACTCCATTCTCACCTAAATGGATTCGAAAGAAAATATTGCAATTATTTTGCAAATATTGCAAAAGTGTTATACACCATGTATATTTTTTTAATAATTAATTTTATGAATTTATCACGGCATTGTAAAAATTATATTCTAGCTGGAAAAAAGATGAAAAAATGATTAGAACAGTCATCAGGTCAGCGATCGACGTTGACGCCGAGTTGCAAAGCTGGTTGTCGACCGGTGTACCATACTTGCCAAAAAACATAAACAAATGATTAGACGGAGGCCCAAACGGATGTACCTGAACCTGCGTGATTTTTTAAGACAATTCAACTAGAACGGCAGTTTATGTGCTCGCCTAGAATTTCATTAAAAAATTTGAAAAATAAACTCTGGATAAATGGAGTAGATAAATGCAATTGTATCTGCTGCAATTTAACTAGCTGTATGGAGCTGCATACGGCTTCCAATTTCACTTCACTTTAATTTCACTTTATAGTTTAGCTAACTTTTAGGTGGACGAGGACAGTTTATACGCGAAATTGACAATTGATATATCGCTAGTTTAGTTCAATTAATTCATCAGAGATTTATTTCAAAACAACAAATCGATTGAAATTATAATAGCAACTTACATGTGTCGATACACAGCGAACCGCGTTTTTGGATCCCATCGTCATTGCTCACCAAGCCTGCCGATTGAAAACGGTTCTTGTCTTCAGTCTATATCAGGAAACAAACATCGGGTTGCTGTTTAATATATTTAGCTTAGTCTTATAGTTTGCTATGAACAAAGAAGGCATGAAAACTTCATAAATTGGACAGTTTTTTTCGAGTCCCTACCTCACCGGTCCGTTTGAATTTCAACTCTTCAGCAACTGTCTAATTTGAAAGTTTTAAAATTGAAATTTGAAATAGAGCACATGAAGGAAAAAGTTTTTTTAACTTCATCTTTTAAACGTCATTTAATGTAGCTATTATGAACAAGTAAGCGGCAAGAGCTCGGCTCCAACAGTGTAACTTGTAGCTTACCAATACGAACAATGCAACCAAGCTAGCCAGGAACAGCTTCATATCTTGTCTGGAGTAAAGTAAAGTTACATCAGTGCATATAAATGGTATATATAAATCAGTCATCCAGCCCGTAAATAGATTACATACTGCACTTACCTGTTTAGAAGTTATTTATTCTTGAAATCGTACTGCTTGAGGAAAGCAAAATCTGATGGAAATTCACTCCAAGACTTGATGTTTTATAGTTTCAACACGCCCACATCTATTTTTGAAATTGCCTAAATTTCCTTCTCATGTTTTGGTCTGATCTTCCCTTTCAGCTGAAATAGAGTAATCTATACTTGGGTAATTATACCATTGGCTGCAAAACAACGGAAAATCTTTTTTATGCCGAATACTTTAAAAAAAGACTACTATTGGAAGTGAATGTTTTGAATAATGAGTATGTTGATATTGTCAATAGGCTTGTCAAATTCTTACCTATCAACAGCTTCAAAGCAATGTTTTGCTTCAATGAAATACAGTGTAGAGAGATTTAGCACGAGGACTCGAACGTCAATGCAAAGGCGGGTGAATATGGCGAATAAATAGCGTGGCATGTCCATATGTAGACGCATCCACGCCATTTTTTCACGTCATTTTGGAATATGCATGGAAATTACTAAAATCCGACTCGGGAAACAATACACCCCGAATTATTGCATGGTAAGAAAACAAGTCGATTCAGAGTGCTATAGTAAAAAAGTGCTATACAGATACCAAACATTTGCCCATTGCATGTTTGGTTGTATATATTTAGATGATAAACCTCATTTGACCTGGGTAAATAATTACATGATAAACCTCATTTATGACCGAACTTCTCAAATTTCTGCCCGACTTCCGTACGTTTGCCCTCTTATTCAAATATACCAGCACAAATAAAAGCTTCTACGGAAGAGTGTGAATGGAATGTTTATAATTGTAACTGCACTTATAAAGTGTAATTTTGTGTGAAATCAAGCTGTAATTACAGCATTTCTGTAAATGGACTGTTTAATTTGACGTGAACAACCTGTCGCTACTGAAATAAAAATTTTTGCCTGTTGTACAATACTTTGACTTATCGTACCCAACTTCGCTGAAATGGATATAACTAGAAACCTATTGCATTGTAGTTGTTTAAATTGGGCGATTCTCGTTGCCGGTTTAAGGTGGTCTACTACAAAAAATGTTTTTCTTTAATTCTGAAAGATATATAAAAATCCTTTCATGCCATATTGCAAGCCAAGTTCCTCTGAGTGAAAAAAGACTTGTAGGAGTCCTCAATCACTATAGTTACCCAGCCCAGACACACCCAATGATGGAAAATAGACGATTTTTGTAAACACGATAATACAAAAAAGGTTTTAGCTCCATAAAACGACGGAATTGGTTTTATTTATAGTTCCAAATAAATAAAACCTGTATACAGAATTAAACGTTTTGCAGGCTCTTAATATGAAACTTCTACGATCTATCTTAAATATCCAATCGCTATTTTACTTAGACTGAACGGAATAGTGTACAACACTCCTCCGAATTGTCTTTAAAGTCAGCCATGAAAATTTTATCAAGTTAGCTTTATTATTTTTTGAGTTATCGTGCGCGAAAGTAAGGGGAATGAGAATTTTTCAATCGACTCCTTTTGTTTGCTCGGGGTAAAACCTATAATTAATAAATTTTTTTGTTTAATTCTCGTGTTCTTGGTATATTTTTGGAAAAGAATATTCAGCATCGCTTAGGGATTCATTTAAGTTTGCATCCCTTGAAATCAGTTTTAAAACAGAATAAATCATTATTTTTTGTAGTGGACCACCTTAAAGAATTTGCACCGCCGTGCGATTCATCAAACCATTAATTCAGCTATATATATACGACTATATATATATATATATATATATATATATATATATATATATATATATATATATATATATATATATATACAGTCGTTATCAAAAAGGTTGTCATATGGAAATATATATAAATACGTAAATATCGGTCACGTGATTTTACTACATACGTTAATTTTATAAGAAATCGTTGGAAATCTGTCGTGAAAATTTCTTAAATGTCATAGTAAGGTGAACAATATTGTAATAATAAAGAAACAAGTGATAAGTGATCAAAATAAGGCATGTTTAATGGTCACGTGTTGATATTTATATATTTCTATTTATATTGATCGGGACAAACTTTTTGATAACGACTGTATATATATATATATATATATATATATATATATATATATATATATATATATATATATATATATATATATATTCGACTATATATATACTAACGTTTAACGTTTGATGGGTCTGTAGGCTGTACCTGTTGTGTCAATTATAGGTCGAAAAGGAGGTTGATTGTTAAATGATTTATGGTTTAGGAAGACCGTATGCTCGAGAGATTTCATTATACTCGTTATATCCATAGACTCGGATATCTCCCCACGATTATATGACGTGGGTATAAGTAGCTTTGAAGTGTTGTATAAAGTTGAGTCAAACTGTCAAAGTATAGAATCTATAGAGATTGTAGTAAATTTGGTTTGATCAGAGAACAAATTCATCATACAGTGCAAGTAATCATTTAAGTTAATCAATATACAGCTCCGCTGCGTTTGTCAGGTTTAAGAATGGCATATTTCTGTCTTAATTCCTTAAGTATTTTAATATACGTCTTTTACGTGTCTGTATATTAAGTTGTTTGTCGTCAAAGACAAAGTCAAGGAAGTTTGAAGCGAGAGCTTTTTTTCAGTTTAAAATGTCCTTTTCTACAATTTTCGCCGTTTTGCCGGTACTGTTGCTCGCTTGCACGAGTTTAAGATAAGAATTTCAATTAATGCTTCGTATTGATATATCTATTTTAAGATTAACCATATTGTTATTAACTATAACTTTATTGTTATTTTGCAATATTGGCTAACACACAAGCAAAAATGATTGGATGCAAATTCGGGTTTGAAGAAATTCTAAAGAAATCGCGTTTATATACTTTCAGGCAATTCATGTTAAATTTACAGAATGGATGAAATGACTCACGATTAAATTTAAGCCCCACATATGTCCCGTGCATGCGTCTTGTCACTTGTCACTTGTCACTCCGACTTTTAATGTCATGAGCTATGCGCCCCTTATTTTGAATTAGAATAGCTAGTTTTTTACATACACGGAGGAAAGGAAGTCGGAAGGTGTTCTAGAACAGATCTGAACTTCCCTTTCAGCTGAAATAGACCAATAGAGTTACCCTCACTCACTGCGTGGGATAGTTATTTACACATTATCATAACATTCTCGGCAAAACAATCACACTCTTTATATGAATATTTTGAAAAGACTAATCAATAACATGAAGTTATTATGTTTTGAATGAAAAGCATGTTGATAATGTGTAACCTTAGGCTGTTGGTAGTAAATTGAACAGCTTCAACGCAAGGTTTTTTTCCAGTCTTTGTCAAGACACATTACAACTAGGCCAATTTGACAATTAATTAAGACACATTACAATAGATTGGGTTACCAGTCAGAAGTTACCAATCTATTTTCAAAAACAATCTTACGGTCACATAACATCTCCCTTGTTACAAACAACATCCCAATGTAATGACGTTATATGTCACCAGAACAGCTATATGGTACGAGTGTCGCGTGTAAGGAATTCCCTTCCAGAGTAATTACGTAATCCAGACATATCATTCTATAGTTTCAAGTCTGTTTGACTACTATATGTCAGCAACATTGACAGTGTTCGATCGCGAAAATCCACAAACGTGGAAAAGTGTCTGTTTAAAGTGCCATACTGCAAGACCGCTTACGCGGTCACTAAGAAATGTGTTACAATGAAATGCTGTTTTTAGGACCAAAATGCTGTTTTTAGGACCAGTCAAAATTGCAATAATTATAGTTCACTCTAGCTCAAGACGAGTGTCTCCACTCATTTCAACACTAGAATTTAAATAATTTCAGTCTTTTGGTTACATTTCTACCTTTCAGTTATTCTACTATATTCGATACATCTCCACTGCTTACGTCTCAGACTGACATTGGACGCATGAACATTTCGCGTTTGTACTTTGTAATTATTGCGTTCATGTTGATTATTGTCTGTACTGTTCATGTTCAAATATTTTTATTGTTATTCTTATGTTCTGTTCGTGTTTAAATACTGTCAAACTCAACCTCCGTCTAAAGTCTTCGCTAAATTTACAATTTTTTTTTAACTCAACAAAACTAAGAAAGTCAGGATTGATATGTACTATTCAGCACCTCGTATATTTCTTAATGCTTAAATATTCTAATATTGTTTATTTAAATATTGTATATTAATAATATTGTTTATCTTCAATTGTAATAACGAGTAAATAGTTAAATAAATAAATAAATTACTCAGAAATCAAAACAGTAACTATATAATCCGGCTTGGAAAACAACTACCGAATTACTAGCTGCACTGGGAGACAACAAGTCTAGTATAGTGTAGTGAGGTCTAGTTTGATTTGAAGTGTAAATTTCGCCCTAGTACTAATAAACGTATTAATATTCTTGTGAAATAAATTGCAACGAGCTTTCAACTTTATCTATTACATTGTCAGGAATTTATTATCCAACCATATGATTGACAAGTTTATCAGATGTTGGTTAACGTTGTTGCTATAATTATGAACACGAACAAGCAAGTCTCTTTAAAGTCTTACCTCAGCGCTTCGTCTGGATTCCAACCGAGCAAAAGTTTTATTTACAAGTGAAACTTGAACAGAATATAGTATTGTGGGAAAGAACTTGGCTATACTTAATCGGCAGGAAAACTACAGAGTTTGGTGGTACTCTCCGTATATACAGGGCGTTTATAAAAGGGGCATATTTGGAGCCAAAAGTCTTTTACTCCTTTGCTCCAGAAATTTAAAAAGGGCTTGTAATAGTATCCCGCCGGCACAGATGTCTAAATTACGTCGTACAGCGTTTTGCACTTTCTGCACGTTTCGGTTTGGTTCCAATGCAAAATTTCGTTGGTCGGTTGTAAACTGCATCGTTCTGCAGCAGTATCTGTTTATATAACTATTAGCATTTCAATGGTAGGGGCGGAAGCATAAAACAATGCATGAGAGGACTAGAAGCCACCTAGAGGCCAAACAGTGGTGCGATTAAGCGAAAAATATTGAGTAAATTGGAAAGAAGCTATATAGGAGCAGCAGTTACTCAGTACGAATTGCGCGTAAACACATTCATGAAAATCTTGCAAGAATCAAGTGGCCAAGAAGCCAATTCATTTCCCAGAGGCCTAAGAACAATTCGAATTTTAGAACAGATTTTTTGATGATAAAAGTTCAGAATTACAACTGAAAATACACGGGACATGAACACAAAATACACATGCTACTAAATTATGTCTCAACTAAGTTCTTTTGTGGATTAACTAACGTCGGCGGTGCAGTTCATGCTCAAGGACAGGCCATCCAGTTGACGTTAAGTCGATAGGTGATAGAAAGATCCCATGGCTTGAATCTTATGTTGAATCCATCAGTTGTTACGCTTTCTACTACGACATTAACGCGAACATTGTAATCTTTGTGCGTGTCGACCAGGGTAAGACCAATCGTTACCTTCGGCGGTACTTTAAATGGACTGTTGAATTTGACAGGAACAAGCTGTCCGTTACCGAAACAAAACTTTGCATAACCTGTACAATACTTTGATTTAACGACTCCATTTTCACCTAAATGAATATGAAAAAAAAAGAATATCTTCCATTGGACAGGATTAAGTTTGCCTCACAAGGGCCAAAGTTTTAGGATTTAGTTTATAGTAATATATAGCTCATGCAATTGAGATTTTATTAACCGCTGACTTACAGGTGTCTATACAAAGCGAGCCGCGTTTTTGGGTCCCGACGTCATTGCTTACTAAGCCTGCCGATTCAAAACGGACTTTTTCGTCAGTCTATACAAAATGAAAAAAATTGCATGGTGTCTATTTTAAACGGTTGACACAAATAGCCAATTTTCTGGACTGAATTGTTATTAAAGCTGGTGGACATGTCAGTATATCGCTGGTATAGTTTGTAATATCGCGAAGTTATATATCCGAAATATAAGACGGCTACATCAGATGGTTCTCTATACACATGCTTCTGGAACACATGCGAGCAATAGCTTCGCGAGCAATTTAACAAAGTCCTACCTCGGCAGTCCGTTTGAATACCAAGTCGTCACCACACGCCTGATTTAAAAGAATTATATTATATTCAAAATAGGGTGCAGCTCAGAATTTCTAATTATCAACTTTTTCAGTTTATCTTAAAATAGGAATATGTCTCGAAGCATGGTCGGCTGTATATCTATTGACAACACTATATACTAACAATGCATATAGGCTGAATGAAATAGCAACGTTTAACTGTTTAATTTTTAAATGGTTAAACTGTCAATGCAGGTGAATGCGTATACAAGTAGGAGTCTATTCAGTATTGTACTCACCATTGAGAACAATGCAATCAAGCCCTAACAAGGAACAGCTGCATATCTATAACATATATATTAATTCAGTGTTGGACTGTTGGTATAGTACGAAGTATATATATAATGTAATCAACCTATTTTTTTTAAATACATACTATATGAAAATGACAATTAATATATAGATATTGCAAACTTCTATACTATTCCAACTAGCGTCGATATTATTTCCATTACATTGATTTTGAAAAAAAAAATCGAGTTTAGATTACATACTATATACTTACTTATTTCGAAGTTCTTTACGTCTTGAAATCAGCAGAAGTGCACAGGTCAGGAAGGGAACTAGATCTGATAGAAATTTACTGCAAAGCACATTCTTTTATACCTTCCACCCACAAATAATTCGAATTTAAGTTAGCATGCATAATTTCGTGGAAAAAGCCATCATGCAATATCATCGGATTGATGAACACTTGAATCTCTCAAAATGTCATTAGCTCAGCAAATCTTTCAAGCAGGACTTCACAAAATGTGTAGTTTCCTTGTATTGTTCACAACAGTCTTATGCAATATATAAACTTATTTAGCTACAAGGATGGGTTTCATGTATACACAAATATTTCAAACAGATGGAATATTCAAATAGGCGAATATAAGAGAAAAGAGTGAAAAGAACTGGACAGTAATATATCAGCATATATATGCATATATATAGTTGCAAATGTGACATAATTATTGGACCGCTTAGCCTGAAAAGGCGAGATTCCCGCCTTTCCCCCTTTTCAATATTGTATGTCGAAATTCATCTCCCACGGACAAGCCATTGCCTTGGATTTGTTTACCGACATTTTTTCCACCAGAAAATGCGACATTGAAAGAGGGGGGGGGGGGTGGGGTGGGGTTATCTGTAACAAAACAAGGTTAGAGTTGGTCAAAAACGGTTGACCAAATGCTGGCTTTTAAGATAGAACTAAGCAGGCTTTCAAATCAGGTCAGTAGTAATTCCTTTATATGAATGAAAGTGCAAGACATTTAGCGCACATGTGTGTCTGGCAGACATGGTACTTACTTAAGGCCAGTTTCCACTCAGGAAAATTCTCCTTTGGATCGGACGGACAGGAAAGTTTCCTTTGTATAAACGCCGCCTGAGAACTCACCGAGAAAGGAATTTTTTATGTCCGTTCCGATCCAAAGGAGATTTTTCCTGATTTTTCCTGGTGGAAACTAGCCTTCAGGGCTGCTTAACGGGTAACATGCAGTCATGCACGCACGTAAAAGTTAATTTAAATTCATTTAAATACTAATTATATATAAATTCAACGTTTGATTAAATGCATAGGGTTGGAATCTGTTGAAGATTTGGTCTGTTTGACCAATGATCACGTTAAAGTCCATGATTGCTAAGGAGAAGCGAAGATGCAATCTTCTTCAATCGAGTTGTCGTCTAATGTGGTTCAGAACTGTACTGCAAAGTCCTTAGTCGAAAATACTTTTGTCTATCCTCGTTAAGCAGCAGTGGCAACAGCCTATAATAATATATACAATCAGTTCTCTTTAAAAATCGCGGCATGTAATAATAATTAATAAACGAAGGAATATACAAGAACTGGAATATACGAAAAACTGAGTTCTTTCGATTTTTTCACCTAGCTTCTTCAAATATGACATAATATATAAGGATTTAGACTTTGGCGTGCCAAACGCTAAGTGAAAAACGCTAATAATATATTTGCCTCCACTTAACGATTTTCCGCGGCCCCTGCATGAAGACAATAACAAATCAAACTTTCTTATTCGTGTAGGGGCTTTTTTGATAAATAACAAGGTTGCATTGACCTTACTCACACGCACGTTATAAAAATCTATTACAAAAATCGACAACTTTAGGACTCACATTCATAGTAAAGCAAGGCCTTCGTGATAAAAAATTCAAGAATTCTCAGATAAGACAAATGTCAGTAGTAAAGTGGTGGTGGCTAATCACAAACAAAGCCTTGCAAGACCTTAATAAGAACCCAAGTATGTTTTTACATATGAGCCCCTTTCGGATATACTAATTTCCTTTCGTTCAAGTGTAAAATCATATAAACTGACATATACCGACAAGGACTTCTCTTTTCTTTAGCGGACAGTTGTGTCTGGCAGACATAATATTTGATACTTAATGGAACTTAGGGCTCCTTCCACTGTCGCGTTTTTTGCGGGTAACATCGCGCACGTTTTGTTTAAAGCAAGTTAAATGATACTTATAAAATCTACGATTGAATAGATGCAAAGGGTTGGAATATGTTGAAAATTTGGTGTGTTTTTTTCTAGCATAAAATTATTTATGACCAATGATCAAGTTGAAGTCCTGTTCCAAATTTCCTAAAGAGCAGCGAAGATGCATTCTTCTTTAATTGAGTAGTTGTCTGCTGCAGTTTAGAACTGTACTGCAAAGCCTATATAGTCAAGAATACTCTTGTCTATCGTAACTTTGAACAGCAGTGACTATAATGGCAACAGCCTATAACAATATATAGAATCAGACTCCATAGTCGAAAGGAAGTTGATATTTACTAATTAAAATAATAGCAACTCAATGACTCTTATTTATGCATGCAGGGGATTTCTTAACAAATAACAAGTTTATTGACCTTATTATTAACGTGTACGTTATAAAAATCTACCTATAATTATAATTGATCCGAAGGAAAACTAAATGCCTGAAACTCGCAGGGTCACAATGATGAAAGGCAATAAAAAAATTAATCGGGGAAGTCAGTTCCTCGGGATCCATGCACACTTACTCGAAAGGAAATTGATATTTACTATAAGGAAGTTGATATTTTATAAGTCGCGGCATATAATAATAATTAATAGACAAAAGAATATACAAGAACTAGAATATACGAAAAACTGAGTTCTTTCCATTTTTTCACCTAGCTTCTTCAATGCGTGCCAAACGCTAAGTGGAAAGCGCTAATAATATTTGCCTCCACTTAACGATTTTCCGCGGCCCCTGAAGACAATAACAATTCAAACTTTCTTATTCGTGTTACGTGTAGGGGCTTTTTTGATAAATAACAAAGTTATTGACCTTACTAACGTTCACGTTATAAAAATCTATTACAAACAACTTTAGGACTCACATTCAAAGGCCTTCGTGATGGAAAATTCAAGTATTCTCAGATAAGACAAACGTGAAGTCTCGGGTAGATTACTTAAGGGCATTATGGGTGTCAGAGAAGGTAGTAGCTACCATAATCACAGCCACTGAGTAAATTGCATGTTCCAGCCAATCAGAACATCACACTGGTGAACCGCAGCCAGTAACTGATTAAGCACCAGATTACACAGTGAAATTAGCCTACTTTTTGTACTACATCACATTTGCATTTTCACATGGATTAACCATCTGCGAAGCAAATATTTGTATGTGACATGAATTTCCTGTTTTTTTTCCAGATGTTATACTTATATTTTCACGGTGCACATTAAGTTAACAACTTAACTTGTTATTGGAGAATAAAGGAAATTAAGTAGCCATAAAAGGGGGAAATTGGTGGTAGCTAAACACAAACAAAGCCTTGCATGCAAGGCCTTTATGAGAACCCAAGTATGTTTTTACATATGTGCCCTTTTCGGTAAAATCATATAAAGGGACATATATCGACAAGGACTTCTCTTTTCTTTAGCGGACAGTTGTGTCTGGCAGACATAATATTGATACTTGATTACTAGAAATTTGCGACATGATAATTTGTATGTATACTGTAACTTTCAGCATTTTATTTGTGTCCAACGCTCTTATTTGTGTCCAAAATATTTTCTAAAACTTTGTCACTTAAACTATAATTTGCCGACGATAATAGTCCAAGTATGCGCATTCAAAGTCCAACAAAGAATCTTTGATTGTGTCGACGTTACCCTCTTAAGATTCACTTCGTTTGTAAGAGTATTAAAAGAACTCTTTATCCACCAATTTACCAGTGCATAGTTTGAAACGTGAAGGCTTGTGATGACCGTTTTACCATTTTACACAAGTTTGACCAGTTTACACTCGTTATTTTTACCACGAGTTTTATAGACGCATGAAAATATCCAGTGGTAAGCGGAACTCAATATTTATTTTACAATTAATTCGCCAAAAGAACCAAGTGGGCTTTCAAGCAATAAAAATAAACGAGATATTAATACAATATCAATGAATAATTCCGTTACAACTTGTCACTAAATCTTGTCTAAGTGTCCCATGTTTACAAGTGTACATTTTTAAAACCACCACGGCTTATCCATTACAACAGTTTTTACTTGTTATACCAGGTAAAATTAGAAGCTCGCAGTCTTCTTCACGCAAGGAAGCCGGTTTTGTTTTAACCTCGTTTGCGCACTGAAAGAGACTGGACGGACTGTTGTCCGTGAGAAAAAAATAGCACATCCGCACCCCGACGGTCGATGTCTGCCTCACTGGTGTTTCTTCATTCACGGATATAAACATGGCTGGTCCCGACGTTATGTAAACCCCGTCAGAGATGCATCCCTGTCTGGCGTAGTCGTAGTCGAGAAAGTCCTTTCTGTGACCTTCGCCGCTGGTGAAGATAAAATCTGGCCCGGAATCGGTTTCCCATCTTTGTAGCAGCCCTTTTAATGTATCGTGAACTGAGTTCATTGATTGCTGCATTGAAGATCCAAGCTTCTTTGCAGGCTGTCATTTTTGAATAAACAATGATTTTCCCACGAATAAACCACGATTTTCATGGGTTATTGCGAATAAATTATGATTCCCATGATCTGTCGCCAGGCAACAAGAAACGACGTGATTGACGCACGAAGATTGTATATTAAATATGAACAACATAATATTCACATACAACCACTTCAGACGTTTCCAGTTTGCCAGCTGTGAACATTGACTCCTTGAAGCTTGCCTTGCACATCATGAAACAACTATTAAACAACATATTGCACGTCTGGAGCATTTAATAAAGTTTTGTTACTATGCGGTCGCTATTTCTTGCATCGTTAAATCAACAAATTTGAATCTGCCAACGTCACTGACAACGATAAATTACAAATATGCATTCAAAGTCGAACAAAGAATCTTTGATTGTGTCTATGGCCGCTCCATGAGGCGGCCAAAATGGTCAGACCAGTCATATTTTGAATCGTGATATAGCCACGTTGCAACGTATATGCCAATCTTGCAAGTGTGTCGTAATGATGTCTTTGAAGCGACACAAAAAGAAGTTCGTGTTATTGATCTTCTTTATATTTTTGTTTCTTTCCATGCTATCGTATATTTTTAACAATTTTGAGCAATCCACTTCGACAAGACCGCCAAGAGCGATTCATTCTTCTTCTATGAAGTTAAAAACGAACGAAGTCTCATTAAATGCCTCAAAATCGCCGATTGACATGATCAACGATTACTATCCTTTTTTGGATTTTAGATTCGTTCATCCCGACATTTCGCCGAAAGTTGACGTAACGCAGAACATATTTATGATAATATTAGTCAATTCTGCCGCAAAGGGAATCAAGTACCGCCAACGTCGCGAAGCTATTCGTCAAACATGGGGAAGTACGGGTAATTGCGAACAACTTAAAGCATTGGGAGATGGAAGACTGAAAGATCTAAGATGGTTGTTGGTGTTTGTTGTTGGAAAATCAGGACCGGGAACGCGTGACGATGAATTAAATGAAGCTGAAGCCAGACGGTACAATGATATGTTGATAGGCAATATCATTGAAAACTACAGGAATAACATTATCAAACTCTACATGGGTCATCTTTGGGCGAACAAATTTGATGTAAAATATACCATGAAAACAGACGATGATGTTTATGTGCGTATACCTCGCGTGTTGGAGTATCTTGTGAATGCTAAACTTCCGAGACCCTTCTACGGAGGACATTCTTACCCACCACGTTATAATGTAAATCGTGAAGTTGGTCACAGATGGGCAATTAGTTACAAGTACTATGAAGAAAAGCGATTCCCAACGTTCATAACCGGGGCATTTTGCATCTTATCCAGTGATCTTCTAAACAAATTATTTAACTATGTCCATATACGAAAACCATTCCACATAGATGATGCGTACGTTGGGGTTGCCATGCGAGATCTTGGAGTAAAGCCAACTAACATCATTTCGTTTCATTTAATAAACGCAATGCGAAGGTATGTAGCATCTTTCAAAGACTGTGAGATCTTCAGTTGGAATGCTTTCGGACATTCTTTGGATCCACGATCAATTAAAGAACTTCATGTTCGCGTGCAGACTCTTGTGTGTAAGAATACCACTTTGAATATTGAGGATCATCGTTGCAGAAATAATTCAAATTAATTTGTTGCATTTGACTTAAGTTCTACAGTATACTATATAACCAGGGAGCAGCGTGGCAGCGTCTTCAAACAACTTAGCATCAAATCTGGTATAACAACTGCCTAAAATAGACAAAACACTTCTCGACGTTTCGACCTGAGGGCCTTCGTCAGGAGAGTTAGTCATACTATAGCTCCTGACAAAGGCGCTCCGCTCGAAACGTCGAGGAGTGTTTTGTCTATTTTAGGCAGTTCATACACACTAAATCTAATACACAAATTCTTTCTTTAATTTTTTAAATGTTTTGCTTTTTCGTCTATATTAAAACCGATGTATTTGTTCTGCGCATATATTCTGCGCATAACAATGTTTGTTTTCGTATTTTCTTCTGGTATTTTGAAGAAAACATAAAGCGAAGCTTGTAAATAAACCGTTATTTAAAACTTTATATATTTGTAAATATAGGAAAAGAGAGAAGTAGCGACGACAAATAGCGTCGCCATATCGTGTCCTTATTCAACAAATAAATTCTTGAAGCATTCCTCTTAGCATAAAATATTGCTTTTTTTCTAGCAGCCTTCTACCAGCCTGACCACGATTATCATGTAGCACTCAGATTGAACTTTCTACCGCTTTTACATCTATTTGACTGAGTGCGAACGCTTCATGAAGAGGGCCACACCATTTTAGCTTATTTCGTATATAACCTTAAAATAGCTGTACAAAGTATTTGAACCCTCTAGTCTTAAGCATATTAAACTAGAATATTCTATATAAGCCGATGAGTCAACGCTGCTGAATTTCTTACGAAAAAGTTTGGCATGGCGTTTGCTAGCGGTGGTAAATGGACGTTGGGAAATCATGGCAGACGAAGAGTGGAACTCTACTTCGAAGGAAAGATGAGTACAGAGTTACGAATTAACGTTTTCATACAAAGCAAAAGCATCGACAATAGTGCTAAGTCCTTGTTGGACTTTGACCAGTCACTCGAGAAATTACTGACCGTGATTTCGACACAAAATCGGTTAATGACTGTAATGGTCGGTTGGACAAGCTATGAAATCTTTCTACAGATGATGAAAATGACTTTATAAAGAACTTAGCGGGCAGCCTGAATTCGAAACTTTGCGAAGAAGATTCTCCTTCGGAAGTTTTTAATTGTTCGAGAAGCCATCTGAGCAGTCATCCGAGCCGTGCGATGCAAATTTGCCTGTTGGGCCGCCCTCGTTTGATAAATTAGCAAGTAAGACAATAGATACATATCTATTCTCAGGAGTATAGACAATGACAACTCTAAATGTGATTTTATCTATGCTTCTGAAATTAACATGTTGAAGTGTGATCTTGACCGACTTGCTAATAATGTGGCAACGAGACTTGACGATATCACACTTGAGATAAATGCCATAAAAAATGATAAACCCTTCTCAATAGTGACCTTAGAAGGAGTGATCAATGATCTAAAAGAAGAAAAGCTAACTATACCGAAAGAACGTAGAACTTCGGGAGTAACATCAACATAAATAACACTATATTGCATTTGAGAGAAGCAAATAAGCAGTTAGAAAATAAGAAAGCAAGTCTCTTGACTGTGGTTAAAATACTACAAGATGACTTTAATCAACAGCGTATTCATGAGGCGAAGACAAGTGACGTTGCCACTGGTGCTACCGAGGGAGAGAATACAAAAAAACTTGAAACCAAATATCAAAGCAAGACATCGTCTACCACACCTCAGGATGTAGGACCGGCTATCCCGGCCAAGAAAGATTTCTTCCCATTGGGTGTAGAGGAAGCCATCAATGTTCCTGCTGAAATAAATTAATCAGATCTAAGTCCAAATGATCATCGACAGAAGGAAAATATATCTGGAAAGAAACAAAATATCGCCATTGTTGGAGACTCAATGATCAAGAATATCAACCCTCGTAAGCTATCACGTAGACGAGTTAATAAATTCACCTTTCCAGGCGAAAGAGCGGAGGGAATTGCGTCTGAAGTAAAGAATATAAATCTTCAGTCACATCCTACTCATGTTATCATACACGCTAGGACGAATAATCTACCAACTGACACAGGTGAACAGTGCATGTATAAAGAACATCAAATAAGGTTTCTGTTCTAATATTAAACAAAATTTTCCTAAGGCTAAATTAAGTGTTTCAAGTATCATTTTAAGGAATGATATCAGTGAAGTATCGAGTAAAATGCAACAAGTAAATGAAGATCTAAAACGTTTATGTAATGAATCTGGCTATTCCTTTATTGACAATGCGGTCATGCATGCATTGATGAGTCTGGACTTTATAATAACAGTAGATTGCATCTGAACGCCAAAGGATCTGCTTTACTAGATACTCGTTTTATTAAATTTTTAACGCCTCATAAACAATAAAACAAACGACCAGTAGAAAGCTATGTATGGTCTCAAAATTTTCTCAGAGATCTGTGCAATCTAGTTGCCTTAACTCAAACATCTGTGACGCAGAGAAGGCGAACTTGTTAAATGATAATTACCCCAACGTTAATTGCGATAGTAATGTATTGTACCCTTAAAGTAAATTGCTAATTAAAAAGGGTTTAGAATTGCCAGCTTAAACATAAATAATACTGCAGGGGTGGATCCAGCACTAGTGCACTAATTTGCATGACACAAGAAAACTGCTCAAAATAGGCATTTTGTTTTGTAATGCAAATTAGTGCACTAGTGCTGGATCCCCACCCTGAATAATAGTCTTTTGAAACATATTTATGAACTTCGAGTGACTTTAGAAAAAAGTACATTGGATGTCCTAGCTATAAATGCATGAGTCTAAAATAGATGACTCTATAATAGATGACTCTGATAAATACTAGGAATAAATACTAGGATTTGCTATGTACCGGAAAAATCGTAATAGATATTTAAGGGGGGGGGGGGGGTGTCGTGTCCGAAATAATTGATTCTTTCTATCCTTAATAATGGAACAGCCTCTTGTCTTCGAGAATTCTCTGCACGAAGCAGTAATGAAAATGACTATCACCTTAAGTGCTATGTATGATAGAGATCTCTCACTTCTAAAACCCAAGAAAGAATTTCTCAAAAGTCAAAAGAAGCTTTAGATATAGTGGAATAGTCTTTCTTGCTGAGGCTAAGTCTGCTCATTCAGCTAGTATATTGTTTCAAAAAGACTTATTTAAATTTCGTTGTAAATAATATTTGTTTAGTTTGTGTGCATGTTAATTAGTTGTTTTATTTCTTTTTTGGATTCTTTTTTTTATACCTGTAAATAGTTAAATAGACGCCCCTCACGAAAACCAGCTATATAGCTGATGAGATTAGCGTCTTAAAAGAAATTAAATACATACATATACATATATACAAACAAATGAATTACACAGTCATGCACAAATACATGTATGCGAACATGCCATTCATAATTGGCAGAACAATCTGGTAACAAGTCTGAAAGTGCAATCGGACTTGCTACAACAAACATCCAAACTTGTTACAACAAACTAGAGCAAGCAGTGCGAACAAATCTTGTTGCAAGCTTGTGAACAGACTTGTAACAATTCTACCGCAGACTTTTTACAACTTGTGCGTTTTTACGCGTGTAGTGGTATGTTGAATTCTAAGCGTTGTGTATTGTCACAAATAAAAGTAAATCCACATAATTAACAGAGAATTAAACGGTTGGGAAATTTTCGGTCGTTAATTTTCCACAAGTCAGCAGCATCAACATTTGTGGCGGAAAGGGGGTGCGATTTATGATTTGAAAGTATATTTTCAGTGTATTTTCAATGATGTCAACTGTTGAGATTTTCACCATGAGCGTAAGACAAAGTTTTAAAACACAGGGTAAATTTTTTGCACGGGTTTATTCTTTATTGTTATTCTCAAATTTTTACTGGGTATACATGCATGGTATTAAATGCTAATGCATATATACTATTATTACTAATATAACTAAACTACGCTATTCCAAGTAACTATATGTTATTCCAAGTATCAAATATTGAATTTAGTATGAATTAAGTTTGCATTCAAGGACAGGCCATCCAGCTGACGCCAAGTTGATAGGTGATAGACTTATCCCATGGCTTGAACCTTATCTTGAATCCATCAGTTGTTCCATTTTCCACCACGTCTTGTTGATTGTACACATGGGTCTGTCATGGGAATTGTAAAATTCCAGCCATAAGTTCGCGGCTAATTTGAATTTCAAAGGTGTCTGTTTTTTTATACTCACCCTGTATATCTCCATGCATGCTATGCCGTCATCTTAGGATAGAATTGCACATCTGGGGCCGGTTGTTCGAAAGGCGTTTAGTCGGTGGATAAGTTCAACTAGAAAACAAAATGATCTATTTATTAAACAACTAAGCTAAAATATTTCGATGTAAATAGTTAAATCTTCAATGTAAGTGCGATATTTAACGCACAAGATGCAGGCTAAACCATTCACAACATCTGTGAGAGTGTTTTTGAAATTTGGCTTATATCCACCGTTTAAGTTAAACGCCTTTCGAACAACCGGCCCCTGGGGTGTATATTCTAAAGACGTTTTTGGCTATTCGGCTACTATATTTCACCATTGAGATCTTTAAAAACAATAAATTATAATTTACCAACGATAATAGTCTAAATAGTGAACATGCACAATTCAACGAGAACGAACGACTATGCAGTTATGTTAATAAGTGTTATGTTAATATAAAACAAAACACATTTGTACCAAACTGCTTGTACACATTTATAAATACATAATTACAAAGATCTTAATTTTGCATAATGCAAATAATGTCGAAATGACATTCAACCCGGCATTACACATTTGATGTTAGGACTTAGGCTAAGACAGTCTGTCTTAGGGTTTCGGTTTATACGTTTACGGGTAGCGATATTTTACTCAATGAATTTCTCTGTAATTTTTCACATGTTTAATCATGCAATTTTTGTTTGGCTCGACCTTTTACAAATAAATTGAATAGCCATGCCATAATTATGCTGTGTTTTCTTTGGGGATTCATCACTATTTACATTCATACGGTTTAAGTGTTTTCAAAGCAACACAACTTCTTTCTGAGATTGATGACTTAAGCCGGTTTTCCACTAGCGATATTTTTCGCGCGAAGCGACATTTTACTTTTGTCTCTGAGCTCTCAACTGCAACCATTTGCAACAAATTGCTCAAATACAAAGGAATAAAGTCGCTTCGCGCGAAAAATATCGCTAGTGGAAAACCAGCTTAAGAAGAAACCGCGACTGCTTTGCACTTGATGACTAATTGTTGACAGTTTTATTCAATTTTTTTTCTGTATATTTACGTGCGATTAGAGCAAGTATTGAAATATCGTTAGAAAACTACATACTGTAATATTGAACGATGAGATAAACCCTTTGCAATCATCCGCCTTGTTAATTGAGAGTTTCAACAAATTGGTATACCAATATAGCAAATATACCAAAATTATACTCCTTTCTTCGTTTCCTAACCTTACAACTTGACGAGGAGGCATTGTCCGTAGCAAAGTCAACGACTTCAAAGCTTTTTGCAGAATATTTTAAAAGCATTTAATTACATAGCAAGCAAAGGGCTATCTGGGTTTGAAATCTTACATAATATTTGTTCCTTGTCAGTGAATTGTTTATGCTAATCGGCTTGGAACGAAATAAAATTATCACATTCGTCTAAGTGCTTGTCGAATATTCATATTTAAGGCATTTAAGGTCTCATCCAGTAGCCACGCGAGTTTAAACGAGTGCAGACAACTGAGTCGCTCGGTTAATGAGGCTACTCGTTCGTTCTCGTTGAATTGTGCATGTTCACTAATATGCGCATTCAAAGTCCTACAAAGAATCCCGCTTTGATTGTGCATGATAATTTTTAACATGCATGCACGCAAGCTAGCGCATGCAATCACGTAGATTCATTAAATACTTCGTTTGCGCGCTGAAAGAGACTGGACGAACTGTTGTCCGTGAGAAAAAAATAGCACAACCGCACCCCTACGGTCGATGTCTGCCTCTCTGGTGTTTCTTCATTCACGGATATAAACATGCCTGGTCCTGACGTGTTGTAAACCCCGCCAGAGATGCATCCCTGTCTGGCGTAGTCGTAGTCGAGAAAGTCTTTTCTGTGACCTTCGCCGCTGGTGAAGATAAAAAACTGGCCCGGAATCGGTTTCCCATCTTTATAGCAGCCCTTTTAATGTATCGTGAATCTGAGTTAATTGATTGCTGCATTGAAGATCCAAGCTTCTTTGCAGGCTGTCATTTTTGAATAAACCATGATTTTCCCACGAATAAACCACAATTTTCATGGGTTATTGCGAATAAATTATGATTCCCATGATCTGTCGCCAGGCAACAAGAAATCACGTGATTGATTTTGACCAATCGTGTGAGTAGATTTAGGCCATTGCACGAAGATTGTATATGAAATATGAACAACATAATATTCACATACAACCACTTTAGATGTTTCCAGTTTGCCAGCTGTGAACATTGACTCCTTGAAGCTTGCCTTGCACATCATGAAACAACTATTCAACAACATATTACACGTCTGGAGCATTTAATAAAGTTTTGCTGCTATGCGGTCGTTATATCTTGCATCGTTAAATCAACAACTGATTTTAATCTGCCAACGTCACTGACAACGATAAATTACAAATATGCATTGAAAGTCGAACAAAGAGTCTTTGATTGTGCCTACGGTTGCTCTATAAAGCGGCCAAAATGGTCAGACCAGTCATATTTTGAATCGTGATATAGCCACGTTGCAACGTATATGCCAATCTTGCAAGTGTGTCGTAATGATGTCTTTGAAGCGACGCAAAAAGAAGTTCGTGTTATTGATCTTCTTTATATTTTTGTTTCTTTCCATGCTATCGTATATTTCTAATAATTTTGGGCAATCCACTTCGACAAGACCGCCAAGAGCGATTCATTCTTCTTCTATGAAGTTAAAAACGAACGAAGTCTCACCAAAAGAATCGCCAATTGACATGGTCAACGATTACTATCCTTTTTTGAATTTTAGATTCGTTAATCCCGACATTTCGCCGAAAGTTGACGAAACGCGGAACATATTTATGATAATATTAGTCAATTCTGCCGCAAAGAACCGCCAACGCCGCGAAGCTATCCGTCAAACATGGGGAAGTACGGGTAATTGCGAACAACTTACAGCATTGGGAGATGGAAGACTGAAAGATCTAAGATGGTTGTTGGTGTTTGTTGTTGGAAAAGCAGGACCGGGAACACCTGACGATGAATTAAATGAAGCTGAAGCCAGACGGTACAATGATATCTTGATAGGCAATATCACTGACAACTACATTAATAACATTATCAAACTCTACATGGGTCATCTTTGGGCGAACAAATTTGATGTAAAATATACCATGAAAACAGACGATGATGTTTATGTGCGTATACCTCGCGTGTTGGAGTATCTTGTGAATGCTAAACTTCCGAGACCCTTCTACGGAGGACATTCTCACACACCACGTTATAATGTAAATCGTGGAGTTGGTCACAGATGGGCAATGAGTTACAAGTACTATGAAGAAGAGCGATTCCCAACGTTCATAACCGGGGCATTTTGCATCTTATCCAGTGATCTTTTAAACAAATTATTTAACTATGTCCATATACGAAAACCATTCCACATAGATGATGCCTACGTTGGGGTTGCCATGCGAGATCTTGGAGTAAAGCCAACTAACATCATTTCGTTTCATCAAATAAACAAAATGCGAAGGTATGTAGCATCTTTCAAAGACTGTGAGATCTTCAGTTGGAATGCTTTCGGACATTCTTTGGATCCACGATCAATTAAAGAACTTCATGTTCGCGTGCAGACTCTTATGTGTAAGAATACCACTTTGGATATTGAGGATCATCGTTGCAGAAAGAATGCGAATTAATTTGTTGCATTTGACTTAGGTTCGACAGTATATACAATATAACCAGGGAGCAGCGTGGCAGCGTCTTCAAACAACTTAGCATCAAATCTGGTATAACAACTGCCTAAAATGGACAAAACACTTCTCGACATTTCGACCTGAGGGCCTTCGTCAGGAGAGTTAGTCATACTATAGCTCCTGACGAAGGCGCTCAGCTCGAAACGTCGAAGAGTGTTTTGTCTATTTTAGGCAATTCATACACACTAAATCTAATGCACAAATTCTTTCTTTAATTTTTTAAATGTTTTGCTTTTTCGTCTATATTAAAACGGATGTATGTGTTCTGCGCATATATTTTGCGCATAACAATGTTTGTTTTCATATTTTCTTCTCGTTCTCGTTCGACCGGGTGTGATGAATATGCTTATTTTATATTATATTGTGAAGAAAACATAAAGCGAAGCTTGTGAATAAACCGTTATTTAAAACTTTATATATTTGTAATTATAGAACAAGCGAGAAAGTAGCGACGACAAATAGCGTCGCCATCTCGTGTCCTCATTCAACAAATAAATTCTTGAAGCATTCCTCTTAGCATTAAATATTGCTTTTTTTCTAGCAGCCTTCTACCAGCCTGACCACGATTATCATGTAGCACTCCAAACTTTTTCCTAAGAAATTCAGCGGCCTTGACTCATCGGCTTATATTGAATATTCTAGTTTAATATGCTTTAGAGAGTTCAAATACTTTGTACAGCTATTTTGAGGTTATACGAAATAAGCTAAAATGGTGTGGCTCCCTTGATGACTTAAAAGCGTTCGCACTCAGTCAAATAGATGTAAAAGCGGTTGAAAGTTCAATCTGCATGGCGTTCGCCTAGCAGTGGTAAATGGACCTTTGGAAATTACATGGCAGACGAAGAGTGGAACTCTACTTCGAAGGAGAGATGAGTACAGAGTTACGAATTAACGTTTTCATACAAAGCAAAAGCATCGACAATATACAGGGTGTCCCAAAAAAAACGAAAACTATTGAAATCACCCATAACAATGTAATTGTTAGAGTTTGAATGCCTAAGCACTCTGTTGGGACCCACAAATGTGTAAATGTTTGCCATAAGTATTTTTATGCATGCATATGCAGTAAAATTTGCTCGTACGCGAAAATGATTTTTATTAACAATATTTAAATGTGCATCTCAATCACCATGACCTTCGACATGTCCCCTTTCTGTAGCAACACAAAGCATTTAGCATTTTACTGAGTTGCATTAAATCCCCACGGGCTAAAATTCGTGCACACGGCATTCAAATTTTAACAATGAGTGATTTCAATACCCTTGGACTTTTTTTTTTGGGACACGGGGACTTTTTTTTGGGACACCCTGTACAGGGTGTCCCAAAAAAAAGTCCCCGCTATTGAAATAAAGCTTTTGTTGGAATTTGAATGCATGATCAACGCAGTATTGTGTAAATAGCATATTTATTAGGTTGAGGCATTCAAATAAAGCGTCTTGCTTTTAATTGCGTTTATCATAATATTAAGGCAATCAGATTCGAACAAAGGCTTGATTTCAATAGAGGGGACATTTTTTTGGGACACCCTGTACAGTGCTAAGCCCTTGTTGGACTTTGAGCATTCAGTCGAGAAATTACTGACCGTGATTTCGACACAAAATCGGTTAATGACTGTAATGGTCGATTGGACAAGCCAGGAATTCTTTCTACAGATGATGAGAATGACTTTATAAAGAACTTAGCGGGCAGCCAGAATTCGAAACTTTGCGAAGACGATTCTCCTTCGGAAGTTTTTAATTGTTCGAGGAGCCATATGAGCAGTCATCCGAGCCGTGCGATGCAAATTTGCCTGTTGGGCCGCCCTCATTTGATAAATTAGCAAGTAAGACAATAGATACATATCTATTCTTAGAAGTATAGACAATGACAATTCTAAGACCCCCTTTACACTAAAGCAAAAGTTTCCGGATTCATCACGAAAGCGGAATGTTTTAGTACCGGATTCATGTGGCTGTTTACACATGCAGCAACGAATCCGATAGAAAATGTACTCGGTTTTAAGCCGTATCCGAAAACTTTGAATTCGTAAAAATTTGCGGAAACTTCGTATCCAGAAACATTTGAATCCGGAAAATTTTCTTGTGTAAACGCTTTGTGCGATGAATCCGAAGAAATTCAATATGACGACCAAACAATTTTCCAAGAACAAGTAATGTGAGTGTAAACGGACAAATCCGCAAACAGAGACAACTAAAGTGTAGTGTAAACACCTGACGAATCCGATACATGTGTGTAACAATGAATCCGGATAATTTTGCAAATCCGGAAACTTTCGTTCTATGTAGTGTAAACGGGGTCTAAATGTGATTTTATCTATGCTTCTGAAATTAACATGTTGAAGTGTGATCTTGACCGACTGCTAATAATGTGGCAACTAGACTTGACGATATCACACTTGAGATAAATGTCATAAAAGAGGATAATAAAACCCTTCTCAATAGTAACCTTAGAAGGAGTGATCAATGATTTAAAGCAAGAAAAGCTAAACTATACCAAAAGAACGTAGAACTTTAGGAGTAACATCAACATAAATAACACTATATTGCATTTGAGAGAAGCAAATAAGCAGCAGAAAATGAGAAAGCAAGTCTCTTGACTGTGGTTAAAATACTACAAGATGACTTTAATCAACAGCGTATTCATGAGGCAAAGACAAGTGACGTTGTCACTGGTGCTACCGAGGGAGAGAATACAAAAAAAAACTTGAAACCAAATATCAAAGCAAGACATCGTCTACCACATCTCAGGATGTAGGAGCCGCTATCCCGACCAAGAAAAGTTTCTCCCCATTGGGTGTAGAGGAAGTCATCAATGTTCCTGCTGAAATAAATGAATCAGATCTAAGTCCAAATGATCATCGACAGAAGGAAAATATATCTGGAAAGAAACAAAATATTGCCATTGTTGGAGCCTCAATGATCAAGAATATCAAACCTCGTAAGCTATCACGTAGACGATTTAATAAATTAACCTTTCCAGGCGAAAGAGCGGAGGAAATTGCATCTGAAGTAAAGAATATAATTCTCCAGTCACATCCAACTCATGTTATCATGCACGCCGGGACGAATAATCTACCAACTGACACAGGTGAACAGTGTATAAAGAACATCAAATAAGGTTTCTGCTCTAATATTAAACAAAATTTTCCTAAAACTAAATCAAGTGTTTCAAGTATCATTTTAAGGAATGATATCAGTGAAGTATCGAGTAAAATGCAACAAGTAAATGAAGATCTAAAACGTTTATGTAATGAATCTGGCTATTCCTTTATTGACAATGCGGTCATGCATGCATTGATGAGTCTGGACTTGATAATAACAGTAGATTGCATCTGAACGCCAAAGAATCTGCTTTACAAGATACTCGTTTTATTAAATTTGATAAACAATTAAACAAACGACCAGTAGAAAGCTATATATGGTCTCAAAATTTTCTCAGAGATCTGTGCAATCTAGTTGCCTTAACGCAAACATCTGTGACGCAGAGAACGCGAACTTAGCGTCTTAAAATAAATTTAAATACAAACATATACATACATACATACAAGTGAATTACACAGCCATGCACAAATACATGTATGCGAACATGCCATTCATATTTGGCAGAACAATCTCGTAATAAGTCTGAAAGTGCAATCGGACTTGCTACAAGTTGTTAACAGCTTGTTCCAAACTTGTTACAACAAATTCGAGCAAGCAGTGCGAACAAATCTTGTTGCAAGCTTGTGAACAGACTTGTAACAATTCTGCCGCAGACTTGTTACAACTTGTGCGTTTTTACGCTTGTTGTAGTATGTTGAATTCTAAGCGTTGCATATTGTCACAAATAAAAGCAAATTCACATAATTAACAGAAAATCAAACGGTTGGGAAATTTTAGGTCTTTAATTTTCCACAAGTCAGCAGCATTAACATTTGTGGCGGAGAGGGGGTGCGATTTATGATTTGATAGTATATTTTCAGTGTATTTTCAATGATGTCAACTGTTGAGCTTTTCTCCATGAGCGTAAGACAAAGTTTCAAAACACAGCGTGAATTTTTTGCACAGGTTTAGCCTTTATTGTTTTTCTCAAATTTTAACTGGGTATACATGATATTAAATGCTAATGCATGCATACACTATTATTACTAATACATCTAAACTACGCTATTCCAAGTAACTATATGTTATTCCAAGTATCAAATATTGAATTTAGTATGAATTAAGTTTGCATTCAAGGACAGGCCATCCAGCTGACGCCAAGTTGATAGGTGATAGACTTATCCCATGGCTTGAACCTTATCTTGAATCCATCAGTTGTTACACTTTCTATTGCGGAATAAACGCGAACATTGGTATTTTTGTATGTGTCGATCAGGGTATAGCCCATCGTCACCTTTGGCCGTGCCTGAAAGGGGTTAGTGAAATTGACAGAAACAAGCTGCCCGGTAACTCCAAAGCAATCTCTGGCAGGAGTTGTGCAATACTTTGAGCGAGCATATCCACTTTCACCTAAATGAAATATTTTGTGTCAACACGACTCAAATTTGCACTGAAATAACATGCATGACGAATAAAATGCTATAGTATTGTTTAATTTTTTGGGTATAAATTAAATGTACTTGCTATAAGAGACCTGTTTTGAAAAGTTGGGCACTTTCATACTTTTGCATGTGAAGCACCGTACTTCAACTATATTATTTCACTGGAACTCGCTCCAGCTTTTGTAAAAAAAATACAACTCTAGCACAATTTAAATTCAAGGTAACTGAATATAGCGATATGCTTTTGGTTCATAATTTCCAAAGCTAAGAGTACTTGAGAACTCGAATCTATACAAATGGAATAATTAATAGTTCTCGTTGTCCATTACTTGATAGGTTTAATTGTTGCCTTAAGAAATGCTTCACACCCAGGGGCGGATCTAGGGGTAGTCACACCAATCACGCGACTAACGTAAAAATTCAGCACAAATTTAATTCAATGAAAGTGAAATAATATTTATTTTTCCGAACGCAGTCCAGTTGTAAATTTGCAGCGGCATAATTAATTTTCTGGTCGAATGAATTAAATTAACACTGATCTCTCTTGATGTCCCCGCTCTGAATTCAAATTTCAAACTGCACAATCGTGATCGTTCTGGAGGCTTGGCCTGATCGTTTCTGGTCAATCTGATTGGTTCATTCGGTGGTTTCCAAGGAGACAAAAATGGTGATCGTTTTGGAGGTTTGGTCTGATCGTTTTAGAGGTTGGTTATGGGCGTTTTTCATCAATCTGATTGGTCAGATCGATAGTTTCCATGGCGATACAAGTTGTGATCGTTTTGGAGGTTGGTCTGATCTTCATTTCTTATTGGCTGTTTAATTCCTGACCGATCACGACCGATCAAGCGATCAGACTCAGACTAGCCTCCCCCGCAGGCATTTCTTATATATTTATATTATGCATTTATATTAATTTGACCGTGAGTAATATCACCGATCATGACCGATCAGAGCCCGTGTTTTGCAGTCGAATGTATAGTTCTTTGAAAGGGAATTCAAAAGAAAAACAAGTATAGAGCAGTTTTAATGCCGGCGCTATATTCATGACACTATTAAATAACATGTCGAGAGATGGATGTTTTCGTATTAAATATACTCGCATGTGTTCGTCTGTTCGACGAATTGAGAAGTGTACTGTTATAAGGTAAATTATCCAATGTTGATGTTTATGTAAACTATACTGTGATAATACTATAAGTTCATATAAACAATGGTCCGATAATTTAAGTATGTTATTGTTAGCTTATATATTTTACCTAGGCTTTGAGGCTGCTGTTATTAGCATATATTTGCATTCGCCCGTCGCCCGTCAAATCGATTTAGAATTTCGAGCCTATTCATATTCTCATTTGTATTGATTATTCGCATCACCCAGATTCTTCTTGCTAGCATTGTATAGATTGTGAGCTAGTGTAATAATCTGTAATTTGCAGTTTGAAAGATTTAGAAAGCTATGGATATTTGCGAAATCATTATAATATATAAATATAAAGCAATTTCGCTTTGACCAAATTCAATGATAACGTAATAAACCTGTGTTCTTACATTTCACTAGACAATAACATTTTGAGCTGAAAATTTCTTGAGAGGTCTGTTCGAAGGGGTAAATTTCTACCATTATTGAGATTTGACTATTGCTATAAAAACATGCATTTTATACCCGCAAAACGTCCCTTTTTAAGCCTTCCATTTCAGTGCCTACACAATGTCAGTTTTGTGTGGCATTCAATATAGCTGTGCCCTAGGAATTTAGCAGACTTTAACCTGGCATTAAGCTTGGAAAGCCTCATAAATTTCGTAAACTGGCGGGGGGAGGACGATTGATGACGAAAATTGGCCTACGAAAATTTTGACTAACGTAAAAAAATTCCTAGATCCGCCCCTGTTCACACCGGAGTTAGACATCTGTGGCAGAGAGTCCATATTTAGCTAAAACTTTGCAAAATTGCCATGGATATTCTTTTTCGACAAAATTTTGGGAACATATTGTATAAAAACCGGTTTTTATTTGAAATGCAGTTTTACTGCGATTTCACTAAGAGGTGTGATGTCAAATTTCAATGCCACAGTTTTCTTTTTAAAACAACAAGACTTTGCTTTTAATGAATGTATATGCACGAGTTAGACACAATCGAATGCACTATAACTATTGTAGCAATAAGACTAGATAATTTATATATAATTTATAGAATTATATTAATAACTTACATGTGTCTAAATGAATCCCTCGTTTATCGAACTCGTCCATGCTCACCAAGCCGGCCGCTTCAAAACGGTTCTTGTCGTCAGTCTATACAGAACATAACCACTCACGATTACACCCTTGCTGGAACATGTTCAGTTGGTAGTCATTTTGAAAATCATATAATGTAAATTCATGTGGTGGAAGACGATATTACCATGCACATCAAAATTTGTAATATTAATGTAATAAAGCTAATCAAACGTGAAACATGTCGCAAAACCATACCTCAAAAGTCCGTTTGAAATCCAACACATTGGCAAACGTCTATTTTAAGGTAAGAAGATTAAATTATATTTCACTGTGACGCACAATGAAAACGTTTTTGTTTCATCTTTTTGTCTCCAAGCATGGTTGATGCATTTCACAGACATAGAGAATGACGAAACAAAATAAGGTACATATAGGAGCAAGCAAAGTTGATCAATGGATAGCCATGCCTACATGGTTTACTATCATGCTTACCAATGCAAACAATGCAACCAAAGTAGCCAGAAACAGCTTCATATCTAGACAGTAGATGATAAAAGTTGCATCAATGTGGTCATGCAGTTGCATGGTATTACAATATAACCAGATTATGAATTTCATATAATATACTTTACCGTATTTTCTTGAAATCAGCAGAGGTACTCAGTGCGACCAGAAAACGAAATGTAATGGAAATTGACTCGAACAGCCGGCCTTTTATACGTTTCATCCAATACGAATAATTTAGTTTCTGCACGCTTTGTGCGTAGGTTTCCCTGAGATGCTATATTAAGAGTGCTTTAACCACTTAACAACACTTCAACAATTGTTATGATTTAATTGAAGGAAGAGAAATAGGTAGGCCTAAAAAAGGGAAGTTTACTGTAAAAACAGTGTTACTGCAAAAACAGTAAAGAATTTAAAATTGGTTAACTCAGATATATTCATTTGAACTATTTGTTATTGATTGAAACTACTTGAAAAATGGTTGAACAAACGACCTTGACATATATATGGCTCTGGCCTCTCTGAGTCTCTGGCTAAGACTGGAAATCATAAAAAGAAGTACTATAAGTTTCATAAAAAGTCCACGTATATAGCTCTTTTATTTCTTTGAAAAAGCGATTCAGTCTCTTCTCGGAGTATATACAGTAGCTGGAAAATTTAAATTAGCGGAAGAGAAACGTTCCATCTGTAGGACTTCTATTTATTCAAAACGACGGATATGGTATAATATTCAAGGCGTTTAGAAAGGCTATAAACAATGTGTAATATATAAGACTATAAACAATATGTAAACCTATATGTATCTCCCTTTTTTCGTTCAGTCAAAAAAGCAATTCCCTTCTTGGAGTAAACCGTATACAGTATCTATAGAAAATTTAAATTAGCGGAAGAGAACGTTGGATCTATAGGACTTCTATTTAGTATTTATTCAACCTTTTGAGTAACAACCATGCACTTATGTTTTGCTGCGGATATGGTATAATATTCAAGATGCTTAAAAAAGGAACTGAACGCACTTTCACATGATAAAGAAATTATCACGCATTCACGCCCATGTGCTATTCATTTTATTCTCCGGTTAACACAAACATCTGTGCGCTGTTCTTTAGTAGGAATTTGCAAGCAGCATCAGCCAAACAGTATTACAAAAACACAACGATAAAAAATTAAATGACTTCTCTTGCATAATTTTCTCTATCAGTGTGAAGATGCATTCAGTTCCCTTTTCAAGAACCCTCAAATATCATACCATGTCCGGCAAAACACAAATGTCCCAAATAGTAGTCCTAGAGAACATTTCTCTTCCGCTATTTTGAACTTCTCGCCATGTAAAGAAATTTAAATTTTGCTATTTTGAATTACTCTCCATTTGTTTCTTGAAAAACGTACTTTACTTACTTGTTTTCTTGTCTACCTAACGCGCCAGACGCATATGATCTAGTATATATCGTTATTAAATGTATATCGTTATTAAGCATTGAATTGACTGAATGCATGTATAACGTAGCGTGTTTTTTAAAATAGTACTCGTAAAGTTGAACAGTTGAACTTTTGATTACAGATAGGACAAGATGGTTGTTATTTGACCGGCCAGATAGCTGGGCAGCGCCATACAATTGGAAGGGATTTTTCCATCGCTCTATATTTTCTCGTTGTTTGGTATAAATTTTTTTAAACCTTATAGACTTAGTATTCCTGAACTGGAGATCCTCTTTCATAACTTTTAGCTCCACGGTTAAAAAAATTCTGTGCGCTACGATGATGGCGCTATCCCGCTATCCAGATTTCGTACAAAAAGCCCCTGGGCATTATGTCGGCTCTTATCTTTCGGCTCACCCAAATACGGTAGTTTTAAAGAAAACGCTTTGAAATTCAAACTGAGTATTCGAAATTGTATAATTATAGGTTGTAGTAACACATATAGATGCATATGATCAAAACTTTCATGCATAAAAGTTTTCGTTTATCACAATATAGTTTTAGCGTTATGAGTTTTGGTGTTTTGAAGGAAGGCAGGGGCAATTGCTTCGCTAAATGTTATCATCTAACGCAATTGCTCTTAAAACAACTACAAAAGCAAGGATCTAAAGGAATAAATTTCAAAAATTTTCTCGCTCGACGCCAACCATGGTGGCACCTCATGAAGTCGGCGCCCCCCAAGTTGAACACTATTTCTACGCCCCTGAAATGAGAAACATATCATAGTGTTGTTATACTGGTAGTACATTGGACAAGCATATTAAGAAACTATTCATTTTTTATATTACATACAAATTATTCAATAATTATTATTAAATAAAATTATTTACTAATTATTTAGTTACAAATTTATTATGGCGTGAAGTTTTCGTTACGATTTGCCTTCTTGAATGCGGCCACGGGGGCAGTGAGGACAGATACCCCCTTTGCTGCCTCTTTGCTGCCTCTTTGGTGCCTTACGTAGTAGCATTATATTATGCATTCACAACTTAATCTTAATTTATCGCACTAAACCTAACTGATAACAACATTGAGAAGATGTTTTCCTGTAGATCGGCAAATCAGTGCATTCTTATAAGCTTTCATGAGCATCCTTCCTCTCCCTGTTGTCGCTAAGTTAGGTGAGTGGACCCTTTCCGGCCCCACTAAACAATTTCCGGCGCCCCTGTCTTGAATATTGCTCATAAATACTTCTATTACTGAAGCTATCGCTTCGAATTTCTTTGTTATACTTCAACATATTTATACAACATTATTTACAGGATACTCTGAAGGTTGGAAAAACATGCTGCAGCACATTTTCCATTGCGACAGTTTGAAGAGGCCTCCGCTATTTAATATTACACGAGGCCTATAATATCTATCACAATTCGGTTTCAACATTAGTCTGCTTACAATGTCACAACTTCTTATAAACCACAAGTAAAAGGATTAAACCAATCAGCTGCATTCCTCCGATAATATAACCCATATATATCTTATTCGTGTACAAACTGCTGCCAAATATAGGGCCAGTCAGACCTGCCATGCGATTCAGCGAGGTCAATATAGCGTGAACCAAGCATTGATTCTCGGGGCTGGTGTGTTTTGAGATCAACGAACGCCCCACGACCACGGTTATTGCAATGCCTATCCCGCCGAGGAATATTGTTATGAGAAAACTATAGTAACATAGCATACTTTCAGGTTCAGAGTATGTCAAAACTACCAGACTGACTGAAGCCAAAGTCCCGCCAAAGACGGCCCAAATCAGTATCACCTTATCTGGCACGTATGGGGCTACTATCCATATTACTATGAGGACTAACATTATTTCCACACCCCATGCGGTGTAGACAATGCTTGTCTTCGTTTCGTCCCACTTCAGCATAAGTTCAGCAAACAGGGGAGTGATGCCCTGCAGACAGGTGTGGGTGACGTACATGAAAAAGAATAAATAGACGAGCACGTTGACTTCAAATTTTGTGAACATATCCAACATGGCCGTCTTGAACGTTCCTTGTATTTCAGGTTCATCTTCGTCCAGGCCTTTTACAACAGCGTCTGTCTTGGCCTCATCCGTGTTCTGGTTGTCTTCGGCCAAATCTGTGTTTGATTTCACATCACCGTTCTCTTTTTCTGCTTGATTAAGGTCGCCTATCTCTTCGCTCTTGCTAGCTGAGCTATCTTCCTTTGGTTCTTCAGGGGTCGTACCTTCAGTATTTTTTGTCTCACCCAGTGAATCTTCGCCTCCTTTTTTCTCCCCAGGATCTTCAACCCCACCACCTTCTGGAATCTCGACACCCTCATTCTCACATCCTTCTTTTCCGTCCTCCCCTCCTGGATGTTTCGTCCCGTCGTCTTGGGTGTGCTTCGCTGCTTTGCCTTCCACATCTACTTCCTCTTCGTCCCAGTCCAAACGACCGGTCTTTTGAAACTGGCGCAGCTTACCTTCTCGCTGAAGCTCAGCGGAAAGGTCAAATACAGTACCCAGCATGACTATTGTCACGGCAATCCACACGATTCCCATGAAAAAGCCAGACGAAGTTCGAAAATCAATGTGCCACTGGCCAATGTAGAAATCAAACTCTTTCAAAAATAGATTGAGTGCAGGACCAACGGCAGTTCCAAGAAGGTTTGCGCCTTTGAGAATGGCAAAGTATCGGGTGCGCTGTTCCTCGGTCGTGATTCGGGCTATTTCGCCCCACATCGCAGAAATATAACCCTCGCCGAAGCCCGAGATCATCCGGCCAATCAGCGGAAAGGAAATGTGGAAGTGGAATGCGTATATCAGATTTCCCGAGATCTCCGCAATGTTCCAGAGGAATCCCATGAACCGAATTTGACCAGTGCTGTCCGCCAAATGGCCAACCAGTAGAGTTGATACAATGCCGACCATGTTATAAGCAGAGAGGACCAAGCCTAGATACCAGTAATCTGCATTGAATATTTTCAAGTACAGCCACACGGAGGGGAATATTACTGCAAATTCAACACCCATCATCACCATTCTCAATGAGAAGGCGAAGAAAGTCCATCTTAACTTCCGTTCAAAAGTAGAGGCCTTCATTTTTTTCTGCGTTGATGATAGTAACGATAACGAACTTGTTTTGTCATAAACCTCTTCGTTTGCTCATAAACCTCCTGGATTATCTGGCGGTAAATAAACGAATATAGGTTTTCGTTAATAATGAATTGTTTGATAATCATAAAAAGCTTTATTGTTATCTGATTCTCTATATTGTTTGAAACTAGACATAAACAGTACTCAAATCAACATAGATTAGAATACTTCTGTCAAACGGAATCATTCGTCCCAGTGGTTATAGCATAGCAAGACTGACTTTATTTTAGGAAATAGCATTGAAAATTTTTTTCAGGATGGATGGCCAGGTAACCAGTTTACCGTCGGTTAATTGAAGTGTATATTTTTGATTAATTTTATTTAGCCAAAATATCAAAATGTTGCAAATGTTGAAAAACAATTGTACGGTTGTCTTTACCAATTATATAGACATTAAAACAATTGGTATATTCATTTATAACTGTAGCGAACAATCAATATAATACAATCTGTTTTATTACGATTTTGTGGCACTTCACTCCGTGTAGGTAAATTGCAAAGGTTTTTAAAGAGTCTTAATTTCGAGTGGAATCATACACAACTCAATTCAAGCCAGAAACAGTTGAGAAAAATTAGTCAACTATCGCTCCTCCGGCAGGAATCGAACCTACGCTTATGCGATGCCGGTGCAGTGCTCAGTGGCAAGAGCATTAACTCCGTCTGTTCTCCATCCAATTGTTTAGATAATTTTGTAAACGACTTATTTCCAAAGAATTAAAAGACAAACTCTCGTAAAAATCTGTCCATAATTCGCCCTTAAGTAATTTAAATCAATACGGGCATGTATTTGAAATCCTATCCTAGTCATAATTTATCTGTCCCATACCGTTATATTGGCATAACATTAGACATACCTAACTTTTGTGCTATTTTCTGTTTAATATTGAGAGAACAAAAAAGATTATTAAAGAATAAAAAAAATACCTTTTAGTCGTGAAAAAGTTACCTTTGCCCGCCAAGTCGAAATTCTGATGGAATGGGACTCATATCGAAGTGAGCCATCAAGTGTAAAAAAGGTAAGATGTCCGTCGCTTTTATATTTTAATTTATATTTAAACGTATAATCCTGAACATACACTTGTCGCCTGTTAAACTTGTCAATTAAACCAATTAAAGCCCAGACACTTTGCTTTTTAGTTCACAAGCTTTCATTAAACGTTTTTGACAAGTTATATATTGTGTAAACTCTATTTGTATTGCTCGATTGAGCTACCTGTTCGTCACCTGTCTCTATTAAGTACAAGTCAGTGGCGAATTTGCTCGTGCGTGCAAAACAAAACAAAACAAAATCAAAACAGAATTATTGCTGATATTCACGCATGTCAATCTCGACGATCCTATTTAGATGAAATATGATTGCAGTGGAGAACGGAAAACGAAGCAAAATCGATTCCACTTTTGAAATATGTAAATTTGAAAACATTTACTTTTACCATTTGAAGGATGTTTTCGTATGCATACATTTCGAAGACTCTTCACTAATTTACATCGCCCAACAGTAGAATTGACTTGCAAGTTGCAAGAAAAATTGCATCGTGTAACGGCTATTTTTGGGAATCGGGGAATTGGGAACGGAGGAATCATGCATTTTCCGAGTCCCGTTCTCCCGTTTCAAGGTTTCTTACCTCATATAACACGTACTTCTTTAATAATATTCGGTACTGTGGCAGCTTCAACAAGGTTGTTTAATTTATTTTCCTGTTTTCTGTTTTCGTTTTGATTCGTTTGATATTCAAAATTTGCTATGGATGGGGAGATTACAATAATCAAATTTGATTAAAGTTTTGTCAAAAATTCCAGGTATATACCACATAACAGTTCAAAAAAAAACGTTCAAAACAAAAAAATATATACTTGGCAGCACCAATGACAAGTTGCTCGAGCGAATACCTTTGTCACACAATTATCAGTATCTATATAACTAGGGGCCAGAAATTTTATAATGGTCTTTCGATTTTTACGTTGAGGTGTAAGTTGACTGTAAGTAACGTTAACTCAGTCCATTTGGATTGTTTTTGTCTTCTCGCCTCTTGTCAGGTCAATACTTGGACTTGTGAAAAACATCACACTCACTCCGCAAGACAAAACAAAGATGTCATATATATAATCTCCCACTTTCGGATCGGCTACGCAATCAAGTCTAATTTAAAATAAGGTTCGTTTGCTTCGAGTCATGAAATTTCTGATTAATTTAATCTATGTTCATATCTTAAAATCAGTAAGCATGCACATTACTACATCCTTATAGACTGCACAGCATCTTATACTAACTGCAAGTTTTTCACCAACGGATTATTATCACGCTCAAGACCAACTAATTATTTACAACTTTCAATCGTCGAAATGCTACGATTACCAACACTAAACCTATAAACTGCACGGCTGCAATCAGGCAACCCATCACAGTCTTATGTGTGTACAAACTGCTGCCGAATAATGGCCCCGTAAGACCAGCCATTCGGTTGAACGACGTAAGAATGGCGTGCACGAGCCCCTGATTCTCCGGCAGCGTGTGCTTGGACACTAGTGATCGTCCGACAACCACTGTTATTGAGATACCCACTCCGCCGAGGAAAATCGTAACGAGAAAACTGTAGTAACAAAGTTTACTCAGGGGATTCGAGTAAGACAAGATAATAAGGCTAACGGACGCGAGAGCACCGCAAATTACCGCTGACAATAAGATAACGCGGTCGTCGATTTTTGGCGCCACCAACCATACCACCAATAGGACGACAATGATTTCCAATCCCCAGACCGTGTACACAAGGCTGATTGTCGTCTCGTCCCAATGCAACATGTGATCAGCCACTAACGGAGTTATTCCCTGCAAGCATGTGTGGGTGACATACATGAAGAACAACAAATAAACAAGCACATTTACTTCGAACTTTGTAAACATGTCGTTCATCGCAGACCTAAATGTTGCGGGCTCATGAGGTTGTCCTAGCATGGCAGGCTCGACCGATTTTTCTTGTAAACTTGTTTTTTCTGATTTGTCAACTTCGGTGGCCTCTTCGGCGACGATGGTTTTTGCTTCCTCTTTACCAGGTTCTTGAGGGGTGATTGCCCCAGACAGAAGTGAACCAACTCCGTCTGGGATATCGTCCGAATTTTCCTGCAGGAGTAATTCGTACCTTGGAACAGAAATACATTCAGATGAGCGTCTGTGATTGTTTGTTGCATGCTAGCTTTGTCTGCTGGAAGTCTATTTTCTTGAAGACGAAGAAATTGGGGGCATGCAGTCAATGAAACACGTTAGGACAAACCTCAACAATTAGCTTGTAAAGTTTGTTTGGAACGGATAAGTAAAATGAATTGTATAAAGAATGGAAAAGTTAAATAAATGATAAAAATAGAAAAGAAAGATAATGTATGAGACAAGATGGATAAATGAATGATGAAGAATGAATCGGTGAAATTAATGATGAAAAATGGATAAATGAAATAAGTGATAAGCCGGAATCGATAAGTGAAATTCGACTGCAATAGAGCTGGTGTATTAACAATAGGGGGGGGGGGGTTGTACGAAGGCTGGCTAGACAAATTTTTAAAAAGGACTTAAACTGGCTAATTTCGGAACTTCGTCCGGCATGCGTAGAGCATTCAGGAAAATTGAAACAGCGTAAACGAAAGCGAAATTAAAAATTGAAATCGGAAATGCGTGAATGAAAGACACATTATAAAGTAATTACCCAGGTTTAGCTTTAATCTCGGAGGAAAGATCGTAGACAAGCACAAGCATCATCAGTGTGAGCACGATCCATACCGCGCCCATAAAGAACCCAGGGGAGGTCCTAAAATCAATGTGCCAACTTCCGATATAGAAGTCAAATTTCTTCAGAAATAAGTTCAATGCAGGTCCGATGGCCGCACCTAAAAGGTTGCTGCCTTTGAGGATCGCGAAGTATCTAGTTCTCTGTTCCTTGGTCGTAACCCTTGCCAATTCTCCCCACATAGCGGAGATGTAACCCTCCCCGAACCCGGCAATCATCCGACCGAAGAGTGGGAGGGTTACGTGAAAGTGCAAGGCGTATACGAAATTCCCTGCGATCTCAGCCAAATTCCAAATAAACCCTGTCAGACGAATCTTTCTCGTCGCATCAGCGAGTCGGCCAACCAAGACCGTCGAAACTATTCCCACCATGTTATATGCGGACAATACCAGGCCAAGGTACCAGTAGTCGACGTGGAATGTTTGCAGATACAACCACACAGAGGGAAATATAACGGCAAATTCAACGCCCATGAAGAACATGCGCAGTGAAAACGCAAACAGGGTCAAGGAACGTTTTCGCACAAAACTAAGACTGCTGGTCATTTTTGCGTCTCGATTCTTGTAAGATACACCGTAATCGTTCACGTGGTCTGAAGGCATAAAGTGCACGAAGAAGCAGATATCTAAATAAAAAAATGGCAAAGTTGCAGTCAGTAACATAATCACGAATGGAGGCTGCCTACCGCCTTATGTATTCGTTACCTTTGGCGAATTTTTAAATTTTTCTTCAAATAGTGAGCAAGTCGGAACATATAGATATAGATTTCTGGTTAGAATCGGGGTTAATACAGAGCCCCATGCACACATCGCAAAATTTTTGAAGTAAAAGTCGCTATCGTCGTAGCTATAGTCGTTAGCCATGGACCTTCTTCATAATGACGTCAAGCGCGGAAAGACTGATCTTACACGAAGTTTAATTGGCTCGATAATTTTGCGGAACCAATCAAATTTCATGTAACATCAGACTTTGACATCAGACTTCCGCGTTTGACGTCATTATAAGAAAGGTCTATTAATTATGACTATTCATATGTATAGCGAATGCGTTGTCCAGACCTGATCCCATAATGATATATAATATATATATTATAAAAAGTGGATAATGTCAACGCCAACATGACTATTCCGTTTTGTTTTTGGCGGCTTACAAAAGCCAGACGTGAGACATCGAGCCACTGCCATCAACAATAAATCTTACAATTATAAACTCAAGGCGATCGAAACATAATGAAATCACGATTTGTTTCAGTTTAGTAACGTTTATTTCAACAATTTTGTGAAGAAATCAGTTCAAGATTTAGCAAGGGTTTAAAAGGGGTTAATCAGACATGCAACTTTTATCATATTAGCTGAATACGACTGAGACATGCAGTATCGATTGTTTGTAAATTCTCGTTCGAAATGTTTTTAACGAAAGAAAATTTATCAAAACTGGTCTTAAATTCGCGTTTTATACATTTATGCTTGTTGATTTTGATGCCGGAGCAACTTCGGTAGGAAGTCGGGATATGTTTGTGTTGATTATGTGTCTGGGAAGTCGATCATATATATTGCGTAGCAATAACACTATTAGCACTGACAATAACAACATTAGCCGCGGCTATACATGCACACAGTCACACAGATTAGATTGTTTGAAAATATGTTGAAGTTTCAATTTTTTTCTCGTGTAGTTTACAGCTAGACTGAATGTTAATAGATACATGTATGTGATTTAGAACAGAGGATGACATTGCACGAATCATTAATCACTTAATTCGTTGTAGGGGAAACTACCATACAGTCATACACGCACGCATTCAACGACAAACGAAAAAACAAAAATGTAAATTCTCTGATGCCATTTTGCCCGAGAAGGCGAGAACCTAAACGCGGCCGAATGCATGAATGCATATGATAAAATCAATATGATTTGCCGATCATGTATATCAGTAAAAAATCTATGAAATGAACAAATTGATATTTATATATTAATCTGGCTCACGTATATTAGGGTTCTTGATATAGGATATAGGGCTGAACGTATAGTTTAGCATTTTTTTTGTATCTTTCATAAATATGAATAAATTCATCTATCTTTTACGCTTATCATCCATGAACGTAGATAACTTGCGAATGCATGGTAAATGTTACCTGGACACCCAAGCTATAGGATCGCGGAATTGCATGCGTGTTGCCGTGTTCAGTTGTATCAGTTATGTGCTCATGCATAGGCTGACCGCGCGAGGTGTTCAAGTGTATTTTAACTTCATAGTCTATATAGCATCAAATATGCCAAGCAAAATAGTTCTGATCACACTCTTGGCCCAGCTTTGCAGGGACCGCAGAGCTTGTTTAAAAGTGGAGGGGCTCGGGTTGCCTGAGAACATACCCTATATGTAGGATGTATAGCTATACTGTTAGATGGAAATGGTAACTTTTCACGTTTGTCTATGAGGAAAGTGGAAGTCTTGGGCCCCCCTGCTCCGCGGTCCCTGCTTTGTAAGTACGACTGCAGTTTAAGTGTTATCACGTATTTTGAACGACGACGAAATATATGATATATAAGAAGACACTCTTATATTAAGCTGGGTTGTTATATGTTCAGTTCCGCATAAGTTTTCAAGACGTTCGCAAATCGTACGTACACAACACACGGAAAGTGGACAAAACTATATATCACTGATATCAGATTAAGTAATAAAAATGGAATAGAGCAAAGACAGTAAAGATTTTTGTGCCCTGTAACATTTACTTCCTAATTCGTCAGCGATTTGCTCTCCTACATCCTTGTGAGAAATGGTTCAACCTACAGCCTAAATTAGCCTTTGTAACAAAAAAACGATTCGAATGTTGTTAAATTCTTAGTATTCCAAGCAAAGCATCAGTAGGAAAGAGCGAGTGGCTGTAAATTTAACTAAATGCAACAGTCGTAGTTTATTATTAAATAAAGACTGTCTTTGTAAACTGCTATCTTAAAGACGCATTAACATTCCCAAGACCAAGTTCTGCGATGCGTTCAAAATACCAAAATATAGACTATAATGTATCATTACAAATAAAGTCAGCCTTACCTCCGCGTAAATATATATAAGATATCAACTTGATAATGAAATGATAACAATGTCCACCACAGTCGACTGAAATTATATATAATTGTTTATCCTTACCACAAACGCGACTGATTCTAAATCGCAGAATGTCATTATACACGAATTAACTTGTTATGAATATATGCTTCCTTATTATACGCTTTTTAGCTCGTTCAATCGTGTCACGGTGGGATATTTAGAGACCATTGTTAGCATTGTACATTGAAGACATACGAGTGACTCACCTGTGCGATTTTGCGACTTTTTTGAGACTGTTTTCGTCGTTTCGAAACCCTTATATTTCCGCTACTGAGGATATGCAATATCGACTAGCAAAATGATATCATGGGTAATCAATATTCTGACTTCTTACATAACAAGTGTCTTTATACGTCTTTGTATAAGCCAGATTCAACAATATAAATAGTATATTAATAGCGAATTTGTCGGGAGCACGAGTTTCTATGGAGACCAGCACTCAGTTTTCTACCTTTTTTATCCTCTCCAAAAATTCAAACTCGAAAAAAGATTTGACATAACAGAACTACGATAACTTCAGCGAACTATGCGTGATTCATGCCTGGCTAATTTGTGTTTACATTTTGCGAAGTTGTTATATTGTTATTATTATTGTACACGAATTAAAAATTCAAATGAGGCAGATTTGATAGTTTTGAATACTAGTGGTCGCCCATGGTTGCCGCATGTGTGAGACGGGGACGCATGCGATTGGCCAAAACAATGCGTATGTCACCTTCTCGTCATTGGACATACACGCGTAAAATATCATACTTGTAGCAAGTCTGTTCACAAGCTTGCAACAAGATTTGTTCGCACTGCTTGTACAACTTATAACAAGTTGCAGCAAACTTGTTGGATCAAAAGACTTGCTACAAGGCTGTTCCAACAAGTCTGGTACAAACATGATGTTACAATATTGCTACAATCTTGTGCTGTCAAGTTCGTAGCAATGTTGTTGTATCATATTATCTGTATAAGACTTGTCAGAACAATCTCGTAACAAGTCTGATAGCACCATCGGACTTGCTACAAGTTGTTAACAACTTGTCCCAAACTTGTTACAACAAATTGGAGCAAGCAGTGCGAACAACTCTGCCTTGTAACAACTCTGCTGCAGACCAGTTACAACTTGTGCGTTTTTACGCGTGTATGCATGTAAACACATTTATACAGAATCCTCTTGCTTATTGTAACCATACTAAAATGAATCTATAGCTTCGTTTACACTACGCGCTTTGACCTTGCCTGGACCAGGCCTAGGCCTAGATGTGAACGTTGTTTATTCGCAAAATCCAGGCCAACAGCGGAAGGTGGCCTGGACCAGGCCTGGACCTGACCTGCGGGGCAAGATTTTGATAAATTTTGAACTTAATAGTATGATTTGTATAGGATACATATAGTATTACTACTTTTTAGCGTGTTATCCTAGGAAGACAATGTTAACGTTGCACATATTACCTGGTCCAGGCCAGGTCTAGGCCTGGGGCCAGTTGTATGAAAGCCGGATAGCACTATCCACCGGATAGTGGTTTTTTGAATCCCCTCAAAATCGCCCGTTGTTTGGTATAACTTCGATTAAATCTTAGTATTCCTAAATTAAGGATCCTCTTTAACGATTGTTGGTTCCAAAGCTGAAATTTTATTGCTCCTCAAGCATCTTTAGAACGGTTGAAAAAATCACTATCCGGTGGATAGCGCTATCCAGCTTTGATACAACCGACCCCTGAAGTGTAAACGCGGCTTATGTTACTTTGCAGAAACAGTGAAAGTATTTGTAGTCACAAATATCACGTACATTAATTGAAAATTTGTTTGAAGTTACGTATTTATTATGTTATAGCTATTATGAAGTGGGGTATTTTTCTAATTTTATATACCCTCATGCCATAATTTGCAGTTGAAAACGTATTTTCAATAACGTATTAAAATTACTGCAAATGCATAGTTGCTTGTAACTTTATTCTTATTATAAATATCAAGCCCAACATAATGCTTTAAACACTTTGAAGGTATAAACATTTATAATAGTGCCAAGGTCAAGACATTTGTATTATACTGCACTGGCCCAATATTGTCTTTGTAACTTAATTCCTTGTATCATAAAAAAATATAACACTCGTCTATATATTCAAATTTTATTTGCCCTACTTTTTCCTTCTGTGAACACGTGACTATATAATAACGAGAGTCCTCTTATTCTATGACGTCATTGAAGTGCCGCCGAATTCTTCGACTTCCGTGTTGTCGCAGCTTTGATATTCGAAGCTTCTGGCGTCTCCAGCGCAGCTACCTCCGTTTAGGATATAGCGATATACCGAGTCAGTTTTCGTCGAAAATACGAATGCCAATAAATGACGACTGACCTCGATAGATGATTGCTTGGTGTTCCTGTATCATATGTTTCATGATAAGACCAGAATTCTTTAATGGATACATAAATTAAAATGAGTTGGTACGTATTACGTATATTAGTTTTACTGGTCTTCATCTGCGTAATTGTCGTGGACAATTCATTTTCACAGATTTAAAGACATTGACTACAGTACCTGAAAGATTGTATAATTTACAAATGTTGTGTGATCCACTTAGTATTTTATAGTAAACACTCAATGTATATAAATTATTGTAGCATTATTCATCTTTACTTAACTAATTTAATATATGTAAGTATAATTTTCTGGTATTCCCATTTCTTCATTGGAATATCAATAGATTGGAATGCCAATTAAAGTATCATAAAAAAGGTAGTTCTATATGGCATTGACTGTTAAGAGTTGGCTTGGTCAAGTATTCTATAATTCCTCCAGGAAAAGAAATACAATTGTGCATTGCTGAACTGAATTTGTATTTCATATTGTTTTGCAATGGATTAAATTACAGACCAACTCTAGTCTCTAGCAATTAAATGTCACTGCAATTGAGTTTATCTGTCATGTTTTTATTTTCTTTTGAAGGGCTACAGATTTTTATTGCATTTTTTCCAGTTGTTTGTGTTTGATACTTGCAATGAATTGTGGTATAATGTACTTCTATCTTTTTTCTTACTGTCAATTGTAGATCATTTATGGCTAGTGCTTGTAGTAGTACGTCCATATCAAACGAGGAAAGAAGTTGGGTTGTCATTGGTATATGTTTGACCAAAGTTCTTACTCCTGCATTGAGAAATGTCCTTGCAGCTGAAGTATCAAAATGGCATAATGTTTTATGTCAACCACCAACTGAAATCAACAAGCAAGTGTATGGTAGACATAAATTACAGTTACACCCATCAAGAATGGACCTCAAGTATAAAAATATTAACAACAATAATGTTCATAAATCACCACGATTATTTGATTATGCAGTTAAAGACCCATTGTCTTTAGCAAAATTGTTTGTTCCTCCATTTATGTCTAAGTTTACAGGCTTTGACCAAACAATGGATATTTCTGCAATCTTATCGGTGATTTCTGAAGCTGCTCCATTCACAGCAGCTGCTGCTCATGCAAAGACAGTCCGGTCTGACATCAGAAACGAGTGGGCACATTGCAACTTTGCAAACTGGACTGAGGCAAAGTTTAATGCTGCTTTTATTTGTATGGAAAGTTTGCTGAAGAATGTGAATCTTTCACCTGAAGAGGAACAGAAATTGTGTAAGGAACTCAATGGTTGGAAAGATAAAGGTGAGAAATTTGTAGCAAAGTTGCTTGAAATATTAATTTAACAAGAATGGATTTTCAGATTTTGCTCTGTTGGGTACCAGAAATTCGGGGGGGGGTGGGGTGTGTGAATCCTCCCCAGAAATAAAAAAAAATGAAACAAATTTTGACATTTAGAGATAGTTAACCTGTATTTTTGACTTATATATTAATATAATCTTAGCTAGCTTCTTATCTTTCTAAAATTCTTATCGCCAATTTTATCGCATTGCAGTTTTTAAACGAGCTTGTCTGTGACTATTGGCTTTTGCTTCATTGTTTTTTATTAGCTAGAGGGTGGAACCGGCACCAACACCGCCCCCCCCCCTTAGAAATTTCATTATAATGGGGTAAAGAATCTGTTTACTTTATGCGAAAACAATAAAAGTAAAGCCCCGGTCAAACGAATGAGAGTTGATGAGGATTAAAAAGCGAGAGTTTGCACGAGAGTTTTCCGGGATGGTCAAACGAGAATGAGAGTTGATGAGAGATGAGAAGCGAGAGTTGACCAGATGTTACCGCGCGCGAGTCACGCAGGGATTATTTTATACTATTTTGTATTAATGTTGTACTTTTTTCCTGAGCCTGCTGCTACAAAATGCGAACCGCTAGCTGTTTTGCAACTCTCGTCAACTCTTATGACCGATCAAACGCGCCCCAACTCTCATCAACTCGCATCAAGATTTGAACCAGTTCAAAGTCGATGAGAATTGATGAGAGTGCGCAAGAGTGCATGAGAGTTCGCGGTCAAACACGCTGGCGAGAGTTGCGACTCTCATCAAGTCTCATTCTCGTTTCATCGGGGCTTAAGATAATTGCATAGCAAACCCGTGACACTGAACGTCTACATTGATATGTATGTTTAAATCATCATGCAATGTTTCCTGTTCTAAACCATGATAAACGTACGTACTACCAACATGATGGACAGTGTTGTATACGATTTACAACCATTATTGCTTCACACAAGTATATGTATGTAGCTACATGCTTAAAGTATTTGAAAACGATCAATCCTATGCGTTCGATCACTAGCAATTTTAAAAACAAACAATATGCCTCTTCTGGCGTTAACTCCGGCGTGCTTTGCACGTGCCAGTCTTCAATATAAAGCTTAAAGCTTCGGGACATAAAAAATGTTCATACTTATTTAGATGCCTTGCGAACCTAAAATCTAAATGTTGTTCGATCGCGACAATCAGGAGCACATCGTACTTTAAAAAGTATAGAAGTTCAATTGTTCAAAAATGCAAATAAACCGCATGATACGTTCACTTTGTCTTACATTTTGGTATTCGCGCTTATATTAAATCTTCAATCCTGTGCAAACTGCGACGTGTCAACGCGCCCATACACGAGCACATCTTGTTCATTGGAATATCGAAATAGCAGCGATATTATTAAAATAGGACCAGAATCTACATGTATTAAATATATTCTTACCACAATTAAATTTAAACTTAATCGAACACCATCAAAAGAACGTTTTATTTATTCCTCTTGAAGGAATTGCCGTATCATGCGAGCGACGCATGATTTTCATCGGAAAATTAGCCAAAGATTTCGAGCTGTGCACCACAACTTTTGGGAGACAAAACCGTGACGTAGATAAATACGGTCACATACGCTCTTCAAATACGTCTAGCATATCTCGCGCCAAAACACACTTGCGACGACGAAAAAAAATAAAAAAACGACAAAAAAAAACAACAACACAAAACCTAGGCGAATTCCCGTCGCTGACGCCGGAGTAACAAGACGCCTGTTCTGGCGTTAACTTTGGCGTGCCGCGCACGTGCCCGCCTCAATAGGGAGCTTTAGCAGAGACTACGAGTACGAGATTCGTCATTCTCGCGCGTTGTTTGCTTACGCCATCAGCCAAAACGCGTAGTCGTTGGGCTTTCGAGTACGAAATTTGCCTACAAACTCGTACTCAAAAGCCCAACGACCACGAGTTTTGGCTGATGGCGTAAGCAAACAACGCGCAAGAATGACGAATCTCGTACTCGTACTCTTACTCGTAGTCACTGCTAAAGCTCGCTACTATAAAGCTTCTGAACATAAACAATACAGTTCATACTCATTTAGATGCCTTGCGAACCTAAATGTTGTTCGATCGCGAAATTTGAAGTTCAATTGTTCAAAAATATAAATAAACCGCATGATACGTTCACTTTGTCTTACAACTTTTCCTTTGGAATTCGCGCTTATATAGTTATATTAAATCTTCAATCCTTTGCAAACTGCGACGTATCAACGCGCCCATACACGACCACATCTTGTTAACGGCGAAGTAGCAGCGATATTATTAAAATAGGACCAGAATCTACATGTATTAACTGATATTCTTACCCCAATTCAATCTAAACTTAATCGAACAGCATCAAAAGAACGGTTTATTTGTTCTTCTTGGAGGAATTGCCGTATCATGCGAGCGAAATCAAATCGCGCATCGGAAAATTAGCCTAAGCTGCATGTGCACCACAACTCTTGGGGGACAAAACTGTGACGTAGATAAGTAAGGGTCACATACACTTTTCAAATACTAGTATATTCCGCGCCAAAACACACTCGCGACGACGAAAAATAATAAAAATAAACAAAACAAAACTTAGGTGAATTTGCACCTCCGTCGCTAAAATAAAAAACAGCGAATCAAAGCACAAATCCAAGTTTGAAGTTTATGCATGTAAAAGGAGAAAACTGTCAACAGCTTACAAAATTGATAAAAATTTTAATTTTTATTACTTTTTGCAGGGTTTCAGTTATGTTTTGGTCAACCTGTCAATATTGAAATTTTGACCTTCCTACGGGAAAAAGTTGACGAGCTTTACGAGTTCGTGGAGACATCGATGCTACAAAAGAAAGAGGTGAAATTATTATGTACTATAAATTTAAGTGGCAATTTGCGGTAAATATTCTTGCATGACGCTTGAGTAATTTTTTCCATTTCAGATAACTGTACTTCTTTCACATATCAGTAAGATAAAGTTAAGCATGGAGAAAGAAATTAAAGATTTACGCACAAGTGTCGAAAAGTGTAAGATTCAAGGAACCAAAAATTCTTTAAGAATAGAAAGAAATTCGAAAGAAATACAACTTCTTGAACAGAAATTTTCCACTGAATTGTCGAGATGTCATATTGCGGAAGAGAAAAGGAATACATATGCTTTCACTGCACCTCCACGGAACAGTTACTTTGCTGGTCGATCTGAAGAAATCCAGGAGCTTAAACGTATTTTGAATGTCGAAGAAACCTTTGATGAAAAGAAAGTTCAGGTGGCAGCAGTGTGTGGAATGGGTGGGATTGGTAAAACAAGCTTAGTTGCCGAATATGCTCATCAGATGAAGGATTTCTACAAGGGAGGGGTTTATTGGCTCTCTGCTGAAGACGATACGTTTTTGGACAAGTCAATAAATGATATCGCGATTAAGGTTGATGCATTTCTGGGGTCATTTGATTTAAATTTGTCCAATATTTTGAGGAAAATTCGTGGTTCAGATCACCCGATCCTCGTTGTTCTCGACTGCCTGGATGAACTTAATCTTTCCCCCAATACGATCAAGTTACTTTCCCTTGTTTCACAAGAGAACATGTTTGGGCATTTTGTTGTGCTAACTAGACGAAATCCTAACCGTCTTGTTAATGAAATTTCAATTTTTCAAGAAGATTCTTGTTTCCTGCTGACATGTTTCCACCTTAATGAAGCTAAGCAATTTCTTCTGTCACGAATTGGCGTGACCAACCACCAAAAGGATGAAATTGTTGCAGAAAGTCTTTGCAACGAGTTGGGGAGATTGCCTCTTGCTTTGGAACAAGCTGGAGCTTATATTAATATGCTTGACTGTAGTTTGTCCTCGTATCTTGAGCAATATAAATCGGAACGTTTGCAACTGTTGAATCAGAAAGAAGCACTTCCTGCGTCACCAGGCAAGGAGTCACTGGAACGTCTTGCTGTTCAAACCACGTGGCTTATCAATATGGAATATATCAAGAAGAGCCCAAATGGCCGTGCTGCTGTTCGATTTATGAATGCTTGTTCATTTTATAATGTAAACGAGATTGAAGAATGTCTGGTCAACGTGGGGCTTCCCAAAATTGAAGACGCCGCGTATTGCAAATTCGCATCTACGCCATTGGGTAGTCGACAGATTCTAAAGCTTTTGACTGATTTTTCTCTTTTTACGTTTGTCGAAACCCATTCCGTCAGCTCCCATCGATTGGTTATGGAATTAGTCAGAGAAGTTCTTAATCCATGGAAAGCAGAGAGTTTTATTGATGCTGTGCGAATGCTCTCTTATGCACTTTCTAAACATCCTTCACCCAGTGATCTTAATGGTTTAGATAAGCAAAGTGGCGTGGAACAATCCAGTTCTTTCTTTGATGTACCCAAAACCCCCTTTCACTTGAATACGTGGTCTAAACTTTGTGTACATGGTCATCGACTTTGCCGAATCATGTTTGATTGGTTGAAAACCCAGGATTCCGCTTCTCTTAATCAAGCGTGGTTTCTTGCCACTGCGAAGCTTGTTTACGAATGCGCTGTACATTTGAGTGCAAACGGAAAACAAGAAGAAGCCAAACGCACTTTGAACTTTGCTTATCGAATATTGGACTGGCTTCCTCAAGATGAGTATGAAACGACGATAGCGAATTTATTGAGTAACTTGTTGTTTCCACTTATCATCCCCTTACGAAAGTCATTTCAGATCTTGCTTGCACGATGTTGCATTTCTCCTTTAGCTTCTCTTAAGCCCTTGATTAGTGCTAAAGCTAATGACCATGATTTAGATGATTTAAAAGAAAAAATTGAAAAATTAAGATTGGATGGCAACGAAAGCTTTAAGAAAGGTCTCTACACTGAAGCATTAGACGCCTATACTTCCGCAATAAACATGGCTAAAGATTCTGATCATGCATTAAATCCTTTGTTGCTTACTAACCGCGCAACTGCGTACATTAAATTGAAGCGATACGAAGATGCTCTGAAGGACGCGAATAGTTACATTACGCGTTGCCCGGATTGCTGGAAGGGCTATGCAAGAAAAGCTCTGGCCCTTGATGGCTTGAATGAGAACGTTAGTGCTGAAATAGCTGCTGCTTTGGCTTTCTACTACGGTAGGACTATCTTCTCACATTTCAAACCTTTCGAACACCACTTCTCGAATTTGAAAAAACGTATTTTTATATGCGATAGTGCGGATGAATTCTATTTCATTGCTTCATCATCAACAGTGAACGAGCAATTGGATTTGCTAAAGATTATCGTTCTAGGCAAACCAAATTACTGTATTTCTCGATCTGAATATATGGTACTAGACAGCTGCATCCTTGTTGGCACTAAAAGTAACCGTTCAGTAACTTTAAAGTTGGGAAGCGAAGCTGTCATTCGGTTGCAGAAAAAGTGCATGATTACGAATCTTTCTTTCTATTTGGAAAAGGGTCAACTACTGGCAATCCACGATTCGTACGTAAAGGTTCATAACTGCAACTTTACCAGCGGGGATGAAATCGAGGCTGCGGTTTCACATTTTGGGGAATTTAACGCAGAACAGTGCAATTTTATAAACAGCAAAGCTGGTGGCATGTTATGTGTTGGACCTGGTAATGCGGTTGTTAGTGACTGTTCATTTTGTAACAATGGAAAAGCTGGATTAGAAGTACGCAAAGGCGGAACGCTGGCGGTGAAAAATAGTCGCATGAGTAACAACGGTCTAGATGGATTAATGATAGGGCCTAAATCTTCGAAGTGTGTCACAGTTAATTGCGATATTCAACAAAATGACCGCGAGGGTATCGCTGCTTGGGAGTCAAAGGATATCATGCTTACACGCAATAGAATTTGTGACAATTATGGAAATGGAATATTCATGACAGATTCCGAAGCGGATATACGAGAGAACCACTTTTGCGATAACGGTTTGTGGGGAATTTGGTCTCAGAGTAACTCGTGGTGTAATATATCGGTGAATACAATTTCTCGCAATAAAGGCGGAGGCGTTCGAATAGGGTACCGAGCTACAGGAAAGGAATTCTCCCCATCTGTTCTTGAATGTAATAAAATTTATGATAACATTGGTCCTGGGTTAGTAGAGAAAGTAAACAAGTTTGAAGTAGGATATTCACAAAGTACAAACAAGGATTTGATGAAATCATATTTGAATTCGCCCAAGCTCCTCCAATCAGCTAAATGCAAAGAAAACGAAATACACGATAATATGGAAAGTGGTGACATAGCAAAGTTGAGTTTCTCCATCCCTTATTGCTCAAGTTGTCGTTCAGAGCGTGAATTGAAAAAATGTGGGAAATGCTTTACTTCTGCGTATTGCAACGTGTCTTGCGAAAAGGTTCATTTGTCGAAACATAATGAAATTTGCAAAGTTTTACGCGACAAGGCAAGCGTACTTATAACATCCATGAAAAGGTCTGGATACGATGGTATGGTTAAACAACACGCCAAAAGTTTGGAGGGAATTGGGCCAAAATTCAGTCCTCCTCCGCCACGCGATGGAAAAACATTTGTTGTTAAAGTACAGTTAAAATTTGGAGCTTATTTAAAGCAAGCCACTCTTCTTCTTTACGATCGCAGCCTGGAACTTTACGAACAATTTCAGTCCAAAGTAATTACTGAACTTGTACAGGAGTTTGGTGTGCAATGTGAGCAGAGGCATATGGAGAAAAAGCTCTTTTTGCACTGCGTGTTTGAAGATAACGGACATCTTCGATTGTTTATCAATGAATTTTCTGACTTTCTGAATTGGTAGTAAAAAAACTTGACACAGTTGACAATTCAACAATGCCCACAATCGCTTTCCAATGTAAGAATTTGCCTGCCTATATCAGTGTAAAGATTGAACTATTGTAAAGTTAGAGCTAGTACAGTTCGCCGATATGAATTAACATTCTAAGAAATGTAATAATTAATAAATGTATATTTATAATTCTTTAATCTTTATGTTTTATACTTGCAAGGTTATTCAAAAAGCCTCTGTTCAAATAGCAATAATGTAACAAATATAACATTTATACCGTTGTGTGTTTGCGTTTATTTGAAAACCAAACTATATATAAAGCCCAGCCTTAACGTTTTACCGCTTATCATGAACTCGCGCTACATCTAGGCTACTGAAATTATCCAGAAAACCATCACGTGAAAAAGGTGCATATTTTTGCTCGAAAACACACATGGGTCTTAGAATTTGAGAGACTTTTAAACAGTGTAGTTATCGTTGTAGTATATGCATTTACCTAAATTCATCCACATAAAGGTAATACAGATATGAGGGGGAGTTACAACATGTAAAGGACCTGGTGTTGTTGAATTCTACCTTATGCTACAAAGCTTTTCAGAAGGCGATATATACCTCATCGTAGGAATTGTCCAGTGTTTTTTTAAATCAATAATCAAAAAGTACATGCATTACCTAACTTAAGATTACATAACTTGAAATTTTTCAAACAGGATAAATCGTGATTTTTAGTGTGGTAGACCATCTTAACATGACTTGACTTTGCTACGTTATGTTATTACTACTACTGCTAACCAAAGAGAGGCTGTCAAGTCTGTGTCAATGATGCGGCTAAATTTGCTATCTTGGTTCAAAAACGGAGACGCATGCGAGTGTTTACAGGACAAGTATAAATTTGTAAATAATACAATCTTTAGCAATAGACCTTTTCGGTAATTAGCTACGTCACAACCGATTATCGTTTCAAATTTAGAACCACCTTAAATGAGTTGGATTTCAAGTTTTACTCGCACAAGCTATGCGCAAAGATGCAAAACATCCTTCTATATGCCGTGCATGAAAAATAATTTTTCATTTTGACTAATAAGTATGGAAATAAGCCATAACGAGGGAACGAGGCTCGCGGTCTTGGCCCCTCAGGCTCGTCCTCCTGTTATGGCTTATTTCCACATTTATTGGTCAAACCAAAAAATACTTTTCATGCATGTGTTGAAGAAGAATGTTTTGCATCTTTGCACGCGGTTCGTGAGGGTGAAATTTGAAATTCATTTCATTTAAGGTGGTTCTAAATTTGAAACGTGGTGATGTTAAAATGTTGTGACGTAATTACCGAAAAGGTCTATTATATAGCGTTTAGCCAAGGTTCAATTTAATTACAATAGCATGCACTAATGTCAAAAGTGGATAACTTATTTGAAGAGCATATCCTTAGCACGCAATTATTACTTACCTAACAAAGTCTATAAATGTGTTCGGTTGTTCGAACTAAGGTCATAGGCAAACTATAGAAAAATTTTGAAAACTAGAGGGTGGGGAATTAGTTTTATTAGTATCCCTCAAGATATACAATTTAGACACATTTTGATGATGAATCAATTTATTACAGGGTAAAATACTACAATCATGATTTAAATACAAAACCAGTTTGAATTAGAGGATCGTCTCTTTGAGTCATATTTTGTTCAAAATTTCCGGGTGAAAGTTTAATTTCCAGTGCCATAATTTGCGCCTCCAGCTTTCTTCACGGCCTCCACCACTTTTTCTTTGCTAATTTCAGCTTTGTCTTCTTCAAGCAGTTCTAGTGCAAAATTCTGGAAAAAAGAATCAATAAAAATCAAACTTTTGGTTATAATTAAGATTAGAAAAATAGCACCTATAACTTTCAGCAAGAAAGAGGAATCATTCCAAGGTCCATGCATATCTGTCTAATATTGCAATTGCTCATTGCAAAGATGCAATATCTCTCAATGTAAAGTGGAGTTAGTGGACCCGCCTTGGGAATTGACGTGAATGAGTAGATTTCGTGATGATAATTTCCAAAAGAACCGGATGAGAACTTAGATTTGCATAATTGCATTAGATTTGCAGCTTGCTAGGTATGACGACAATAATGCACTGATGTTGAACATTTTTTTCTCATATCTGAGTGAAATCTGAAAAATTCCAAATGTGCAATGGCCGATTGTGCAAATATGGCGATAACTACCTTTGCTACACTTTTGGAATGGTTGAAAATTCGGTGATTGCCAGATTTGCCCAGTTTTGCAAATCAATGGCAAACGGGACTCTTCGGATAGATTCCATTGGCAATGCATAGTTCATTTTGCCGCTCTTTTATGCACAATATTTCCTTACGTAAATAACTCATGCACCCGAAGGATGAACTTAGTCTTAGCGCCTTTTTCAGTACATCTTGTAGTACGATCGTATTCAGTTGTGCGTTGAAATTTTGAAGGAAAACCGAGACATAAGCGGAAATAAACTCGTACATCATGGATGTTTGGGGAAAACCCATGATCACGTGAACCGTCAATCTGGGTTTTCACTTAGCAAAGATATAAATAGTAATCCTAGGTAAATCATTTAAAACTATCGGTAAATAATACTAAATCGCATTTATACTCCTATATCAACGGAATTCATCAAAGAACATACTTAATTTTGAGTCAACAAGCAAACTTCAAACTGGCGAGTGACGGAATTGCACTACACATGTATACACTTCACACATGACTTCAGTACACATACTAGAACAATCGATGTACATACAATGCCTGTCTGACAGTGTTGCAAATTTGAGCATTTTATTTCGAGGACCTTTGCCCCATTCGTTATAGTGTCACTTGCATTTTTTGTGGCCAGTAATTTTTGTTGTGAAACGGAATATAGACTGGAATTACACAAACAGAATCAAGCGACAAAACGAAATATTTATTTAAGGTCGGAGTATATCGACATATATGGGCATGAATTTTACGGGTTGTGAATTATTTGTCTTACCGGACATGCTTCTTTGAGAAGAGCTTTGTCTGTGCTGACTTTAGCTTTATTCATGGCCGAGACGCCCTTTCCTAACCATGTAATCAAAGCGAATTTAGCCCGTTTGCTCATCTCGTCCCCAGTTTCGACACGAACGTATGCGTAAATACGGTTGTCATCTACAGAACAAAAGGGGAGAATATTGTTTACTTTCAGGAGTTGTTCAGCGTGAATTCGATTTGATAATATAACAGGGGTCAGGGGAAATCCGTACTTTCAATACACTCATGCTAGAAACAGACAATAAATGTCGGGCAAAATACCTTCACAAAAGTTTAAAAAATCATCGTAGTTTTCCCCACAATCGCCGGTGTAGACGATTTTTTTGTCTTCATATTTGAAGACGGCCCTGTTGTATAAAATAAATACAAATATTGAGCAAGATATCAAACCCCTCCCAACCTATATACACATTTCCGTTTCTGACGGCATTTCACAATTACTGGTAAATTTTAGTATTTTAAAATATCCCTATGACATTGCGTGATGCCAGACACTATCCTAGCAACAACAATTCATTTGGGACTCTTATCTGACAGTTTGGCCACGCAAGGCGGTACTTGGTAACAAAATTTTCGTCCCTAAGCCTATGTTTGCGTGAACAGGCGTCAGGCGCTAGCTTGTATCAAAACGCCGGTTAATTTTGCCACTGTTCGCGTCCCGCGAACTTGGTTTAGGACCGGTAGCATTTCCAGTTGATGTATTCATATTTTACTCACCAAACTGTGGGAGATGAGTCGTTCCTTACGTCTTCGTAAGCTTGGCGAATGGCATCCGAATCGATGTTTGCCATACTGTAAAATTAAGGTGTTTCGTTTCCCCTGACAAACGATGTAATGTGTGTTTGACAAGTCGCGGCGAGAACCAGACAGCTATTTGTGACGTCACTGATTTTCCGCAGGATGTTTGCGCCTCGGATGCTTGCGCAACCGCAAGCTAATGTTGAAAGTCCAAAATGGCCATCATCGTTATGGTAAAAAGACACAAGATTACAAATGCGCCTAAGAATATTGTTTTATACGTGTAAACAATAGCTATTTTTCTGAATTTTTTCATGCGTTGATTCAGCTTGTGATAACTATAAAAAAAGAAATTTGAGACTTTAAGCAAAGCCACAAGGATCAAGGAGGCTCTTTAAAGCTGGGATTTAATTCGTTAATTTGTACAATCTTGTCACGATCTCGTTTCCTGAGCTACAGGCACCTCCACTATTATTCTTCACCTAATTGGCCATTTTTTGAATACGCTCTAATAACTGTTTCAAAATAACTAAAGAAAAGTCAACAGCATGGCAGCGTCGTCGAACGAGCTGTACATACGAGCTTTTACGAGTCAGTCAGTCGGAGAATGGTCATTTTTGCGCCAAATTCAATGCTGTTTGCTTGCGCCATCTAAGGAAGTTTGTGGTTGTGGTCGTTAGTCCTTTTGAGTTTTGAATACAAAACTAATCAACAAACTCGTACTCAACACGAAAAAAATGCCAAAAATGACGAATTTTCTACTCGTAGTCGCAGTGTGATTTTATAGAACAATTTCCTAACGATTAACGAAGGCTTTTAATGTGAAACATCGCTCATATTGAAAATAGCTGATATTTCTCAACTTCAACATAAACTCCATTTTAATGAAGCTGTACGAACGAACCAAATTGGCTTACTATATTCGAGCAGGACAAGCTATTATGCTAACAATGGGCATGCATGGTAGTTCAAAAGCCAATAACATAGCTGGTCATAGCCCGCAATATTTTCTTAAGCAACGCTCCCTAGCAATAACAACTAATTAGAAATCTGAAATATATATATTTTACTTTAGATTGAATATAGTTTTAGATATTGGGATACTAAGAGGGTACCGAAAGAAACGTTTTATTGAATTTTTTAAACTTTAAGATACAATTAAACTTTTGTCTTGTGCGTTTGGCGTTTCCTGGGAACGAGTGTTTAAAAGTGTTTCGAAAGTTGCAAGAAAAAATAATTTATCTCAATAAAAATTGCTTTCAAGATGTCGAACTGGCAAATATTATATTTTTTTGTGTTTTCTGAAAATTTATATAAATCTTCATGTCGTTACGGGGAGAAAAAAAGGAGGAAAAAGTTAGCAGCCCGATAGGGGACTCGAACCCCTGGCCCTCAGATTAAAAGTCTGATGCTCTACCAACTGAGCTAACCGGGCCCGCATACACAAGTACCTAAATTTATGGCTTTATAAAGTGTTTTTTTAAAAGACAATGATTATTCGAGAATAAGCATTGCAACAAGAACTAGCCCAGTAGCACGTGTTCTGGTCTACACGTTGTTCATGAGCTGCTGAAATCTTTCAATAAACACTGCAACAAAATGCATTTGATGCATTATTTTGATGAACAAGGAAATAGGGTCTACACTTTGAAGGTTAGTATTGACATTTGTTCATTTCTTGTCGCAATTTCGGTCGCATAAATGCTTAGAATAGTCGTTTATATATTTCTAGCTAATTCAACGTTCTTATTTATATTGATATGAATATTATGAAATGTAAAGGTTCTTGCCTCATAATCGCTCAACATTTAGTTTCTTCGAGTGTTCTTGTTTTAAAAATCATTTTGTTGAAGTAGGAAATACACTACAGAGAACAGTTTTATAATTTATATTACTCATTATATTTAACTACAAACGTTTTGGCGGGAATTTTCCATAATAAAATTTTTAAAAAACAAGAAGTTGATTAACACAAGTATGGCTATTTATTAAACCCATTTCAACCCTGATATAGCCACGTTTTGAAGTTTGAATATGTTGACTTTTTGGGTGATGAAATGTAATTATGTAAACCTATATATGAAATACAAGATTAATTAAGGCCAATAAGGGTCAGTCTATTATAATACAGGATGAAATATTTCTAATTTGGTGCTGCAGCTGCCTGAAAAATACCATTAAGCTTTTCAATGTTTTGACATTTTACTGGAAGATTCCTAACCTCTGATGAAGACCCTCTGATGAAGCGAATTCAGAGTAAATGGAATCAATTTAGGGCGAGCATGCAGAATTTGACAAAAGGGCATTTCTACTTTTGGATTTTTAAACGTATAAATAAACACAGCCTTTTAGATCCGTCATATTTTTATTGGCAAATCTGCAGTTTTAAATTCAAAGAGTCCCTTGGCCCCATTTGAGTCGCATGAATGGGATGAATCACCTTCATATTTGAATGATTAATCATATTTTTACATACAGTAGCTCACTAAATATGAATTTTATAGAAAGTTGATCCAAATGGGAAAACTACCAAATCATCACATCCTGGTAAGAGTTTTTTGCTCAGTTTTTTAATATGTATATAGGGCATATAAAATATAACAATCATAGACATGATATACTAATATTTGAGGCTAAATATTCTTTATACATGTATTTATTCTCTGTCAGTTTCAAAACAGATTTTTGGTAGTAGATTACTTGTGCAGATATTTTAATGATTTTGTCAATCAATCAATGTCACTCGTTGGTGTTTCTCTTTAAAATATGTTTGAAGTACAACAGTTACAATATTCATTTACAAAAAAAGCTACCGGTAAGAAAAACAGTTGAGTTAGTTAGGCTGACATTACATTTTATTTTGAGAAATGCAGCCGAGTATAAACTCTTCGATCATGGATTGTAATAATAAAGTTATTTTCAGGAATGGATCAAGCTGGATCCAGTTGAGCATTGATAGATAACTCAGTGTGTCATAAAGATAAATTTGATGCAAAATTTAAATCCCTCTAAATCAAACCAAGATAGGATTTATCTACTGTAAGCAATGAATCTGATCCCTTGGATTCCCTCTATACATTTACAGCAAGATTTTCACCGGATGACAAAGTATCGAGAGAGAGAATTGTGCTAAAGAAAAGATTTGGTTTGCTGTTAACCCAGCAACCATTGCCAGTTTTCTAGCAAGATACATTAATTGCAGATACAATCAAGACACTATGGATGATGTTTTTTATGCTTATATACCAGGACAGAAAATTTAATGGATTTTAACAAACATATATTGTAAATAACTGTAATTTTCCTCACTGGTATTTTATGCATACTGTATGTTTTTAACAAGAAGAGCCTTATTGTTTCTCTTAGTACTTTTTTATTTGTTATATTTTTGAGATATTTTAACTTTTTCCCCATCAAATATTTGCGCTTGTGCTTCAAAAGAACTTGTACTTAATTAAAGTACTCCCCAGAATTGTACAGTTAGCTGCAAAATTCAGATTTGAATTGGCAGTTTTGATCTCCCTCTGGGAGATTTGAATTGGCGGTTTTCGTATCTTGTTTAAAATTAGTGTTAACTGCAGTTAAAAAGTAGTTAAATAGTGATTAACTTATAAATACGCGCTTCTTATTGGATAATGTTCCTACCTAACTATAGTTAACCCTAATCACTTTTTATACCAACTGGCTCCAGGTTTAACTTTACTATGAATACTGCCTGAATATAAGAAACAATTTGTATGCAAACTGGTTTAGTCCACTAAATTGATTTCATACAACCACTTCGTAAAAGTGTTGTAAGAAAGGTTTGAAATTCACGTCGAAGCCCGTGGAACGAAATCTGGTAAAACTTCGACTAAAAGCACTAAAAGCACTGACCAGAAAGAGCATTGTTACAAAGATTAACCCATTTACGAAAAATTCTCGGAGAATATTGCCTAAATCAAAATTGTGCCTATGTCATACGGGATATGTCCATGAATTACCCTAGGAATTCTGGACCCTTAAAAAACATCCAAAGTCTACAGAATATCTTGAAAAGAATGTTGTAATTTATGTAAAGGCGCGTGTTCTTATAGACATTCCAGTTACTGACTTAGATGTCGGATCAGTTATGCTCATAATAAGGCCATATTATAACGATGTTATTATTAACATCTCATTTCCACTGATCTGAAAATGTGTTTTAAGTGGAAACAAAATAATAAAATAATTCTATTTTGGCAACAAGAGTCACTTCCCGAATTACCTTTCCGGCAAAAAACAACCCTACTAATAATATATGACATACATGTCGGTCTCGTTATTCAACCTATTGTTTTGTGTGCCCGTAATCTAATTCGGAAGGTGTCGATTGTATATATTTTATATACAAACAGTACATTAGGAACCGTTAAATATAGTAAATTATGCGTATCGTAATTATTATATCGTTTGTCGCTATGCTAACGAAGGGAAACTCTTCTAGAACGTGTTTACCTGTTGTAGCAGGTATTGTAAATACCGCAGCATGCGGATAAGTGTTGGAAATTTGAGAAGATACTCGCGAGATTACGAAGATTGACAAATAATTTCCTGGCGCTCCGCAGGCCCAGGCCTTCTATCTAAGTCATCTCATCTCAAATGTCTCATTGCGCCACAGCTACAACAACACAGCTCATCTACGCATGTTTTAGCGCGTTTTTACGCTTCTTGTATCGCTTCGTAGCCAGTTCATCGCTAACGTTTTGAGATGTCGATTTACCGTCACAACACAGGTTTTTGCCCATGAAACGAAGCTAATGCATCGGAATAAAGGTTGGTAAAGTGATATGCGTCGGAGTTAGCAATCCCTTTCGCGGTGCTAAACAGATTTACGCATACTAGATGACATTTAAGATGAGAACCTTGCCAAGTTGGTTCATGTTTCTATCTTCTGTATCTTGTCTGACTTGATACTCGATGGCAGCACTGAAATTCATTTTGGCCGTTACGAACGGCGATTTGGAGGCCGTACAGTTGTTTTTGAACAAGCAGGAGAACAGCGACCTCGTAAATTACTCCGATGAGTGTGGAAACACGCCGCTGATACACGCCAGTGCGAATGGCCGCGAAAATATCGTCAGATACTTAATAAGCAAAGGGGCCAGGTTGAAGCCTTCTCTCTCTTGTAACGACTACGGCTGGACGCCGCTAATGGTCGCGTCTTATTATGGACACTTTCAGATCGTCGCTGCGTTGCTACAAAGCATCTCGGACCCCGGCGAGGTTACCTACACCAACCGGCTGGGCTCTACAGCGCTGCACTGCGCGGCGCGTTGCAATCACATTCAAGTCGCCGAGCTTTTGATTTCGAAAGGCGCTGAAGTGAACGGTGTGGTAGACGAGAGCCATCTTTTGGACAGGAATTGCAATAGATCGCCGCTTATGGCCGCCGTGCAACACGGACACGACGAGATGACACGACTTCTGATTTCGCAAGACGCGAACGTGAACTGCGTCGATCTTCTTACAAAATGGACGCCGCTAATGCTCGCTGCGTCGAACGGTCATAAGACTGCTGTTACGATCCTACTAGAAAACGGAGCCGACGCGAATCTCGTCAATATCTGTGGGCAAACTGCTCTGGACATCTCCAGGCAGATGCGACGAAAAGATGTCGAGAACGAGCTGGAGCCTGTCACGAAGCGACGCATTTCTGACCCAGGTATGCAGCTGCACGTTTGTATAAAAGCCTGTAATCTAAAAGCTCGCTTGCGATTAGAGTTCAAAATCGTTCTGCAGCCGCTCCACGGGCCTGGCAGATAGCCACCCGACTGAGAGCTTTAAAATTTCCAGTGCTTCCCCCAAAGTTTTACCTTTAATTGAGGAAGGACGTGATTAATACTCAGCAGGAGTGTGACTTTTTCATTCACACATGAACCTGTTATAGTCTGCATTTAAAACACAAGCCCAAGTCTTTAAATTGCCATAAAAAGGGCACAATAGTTCCATGAGGCTAAACTTTGGATGGAACGATTTTCATGCAGATCTAATGAAATTTCGCGTTTGCATGTACAAGTTTGGCTTTGCCACTGGTTGTTTATTTTTAGGCGATTTCTCTCTCAAGTACGAAATCTTTTGTGGAATCTTAAGTAACAGTTGAATTGTCAAAGCGTTAATACCACAAATACATTTCCTTCACGGTTCTATACTTGCATGTTTAATTCAAATGTCGTGCGATATTTTAAGGTGGTGGAGCGCATATTATAACAAATAGGCATGAAGATTGTACATTAATTTTTTAAATCGTGCATGTTTCAAAGCTTGTAAAAAGTATGTAAAACATAATATGAGACTAAACAAGCGCTTACGTGGTGACTTAGCTATTGTTGGCATGACCGTTCACGAATCATACAGCTATGTCTACGAAAGACTATGATAATATTATTTACTTATTTTAGTACCTTATTTCACGCTTAACTTTCAATATCGAATCAATGGGAACATGTGAACATTTCCTGATACAACCAACTAAGATTTGTTGTTAGGAATGCTTTATCCGCATACAGAAATCGTGTGAAATTTTGCTTATTAAATTCCAACAGCATGGTTGAGTGTATTGGAGTGAAACGATGCTATATATTAGAACCGACTGCGAGATTCAGGCCCCGTTTCCACGTAGTCGGATACAATGTTAACTGGAACATTTTTGGGTAATTGGAAGTATATTCTTTCCGACATATATATCTAGCTGTTAGCAAAGATTATTTTAATGTGCGTATTCAGTTACAGGTAGATATACCTTGTATCCGTCAACCTGGAAACAGGGCCTCACTTCTGCGAAAAACATCACAAACAAAGGAACTTACAAACTAATTTAATTGATCTCTCAATTTTAAAGCGTTCATGCATGCGAATTGGCAAAAAGCAATTGCTTGAAATTCGATATTTAATTTTCACCCATGCATGCAAAAACTATGATTCTAAAGGAAAAGTGGAAGTGGTATATGTTGACTCTCAAGAGGTTACATGAGCCATCATAAAAAAAACGCCATACAGAACATTATTTGCATTATCAATGTATTAAGCCAACCGAACAGTTCAATTCAACGACCAATTTCACGCATATATAAAATGCCAAGCACAACGTTCATTGGTAATAGATTCAATGCGCGAAGATCTCATCTGTGATAAACTTGTAATAAATCATCGCTAGATAAAAAAATAATCGAACTGTCACTGTATATATGATATAGCCATAGTAAGACTACACCATTAGGTCTGCTGTTTTTGCCAACACGACTTTGAGAGGTTTTTACAAAAATCAGTTTAAAACTATTGAGTAGGCTATAACTATATATTTTATTGCTCAACAGAATTGATACACCACATTTACCCTGCACTTTGCAGCATTACAAGTTTCTTCACTTTACAGCTATAACAGGTCTATTGTCTACATGCATCTTTGCAACAAAAAGAATTACTGTAAAAGTTTCACTTATAATTGTGGATTGCTATATGCATGTGCATGGAACACTATTGCGAGTAAGGTATTAAATACAAAGAATGTGCATGTCCTCTACATGCGCATGGCCTTCCTTGGCTGCACTACATTCGTATATATAAATGCCACGGGGACGAGTGAGTTTAGAACTTTTGAGCTAAACTGAAAAGTTCTAAACAATACTTGCATGAGCTCGTCAACTTGTTAACTTGTTATATATTACAACATATATTATTATTATTATTAATAACTTGTTATATATTACAACATATATTATCATTATTATTAATAACTTGTTGCTCGTCAAGATATTGTGACGATATCCAAGGGTTTCACTATATACAAAGTGTGGCTGTATAAACTTCCGTATATAGACTGCTTTGAGAGAAAGTGAATGTGTTAGGATCTTCTTACGAGACATAGCATATTGTGAACGTCGCATTTTGGTCGCGTCGAATGAAATTCAAACAATACGAGTCAATAGATAATGAGATGATAACGAAGCTTAATATGTTGTGTCTTCTCAACTATTGTTTAAATTGCATTCGACGCGACCAAAATGCGACGTATAACCTTGGGCCTTAAAGTCCTGCCCGAACACTTTATTTTGGGCCATAAATGATTACTATATATCATTAGCGTATAGGCGGCCTGACGATTATTATGTTTCGAAATGCAGGCGAAGTTTCTTGTTATTATTCATTTCCTTCGAAATAGATTGTTTCCACAGTGTATTATAACACCAAAATATTAACATGGCCGGACAATTAACGTCGTTAGGCTGCATGGCTAGGTTACTTTTTAATATACGAAACTTATAAAGTTACAGTGATATATTATTTAATCGATTTAATGCTTCCAACTGAGTTGTTGAAATAAAAATGTAGTGATCGGCGTCTAGTGCTGATTGATCGCATTGTAGTAATCGCAATAATTACTAGTTTTAATAAACCAAGGAAATTGTAGTCCCCAGCCTTGAGACCACTGCTTTGGCAAATATTCAAATCTTTTCATATTAACCCCATGCAATGTTTTTTAGTCTATAGCCGCATGAGCAACAAGGATATATTACAGACTAATTAAGTATCACAATAAACAATTGAACATTCCTGTGTTGATGGACATTGTACTTGTTCAACACTGACTACGTCCAGTCCTCGAAGTTCGTTTTTAATATGCGAACATGAGACCTTGAAATCCGGTTAATTTGAGAAGTTCAGAAAACTGCCCTACACTGGCTACACATCGACCAATCGTCTTTCAAAGAATGAGAACGTGCAAGACAACAGATTTAGGAAAACAGCACCTTTCAGGCCTGTTTCAGAAATGTACCGAACCTAATGTTAATGAGCTTTGTTTAAGTTCATTTGCATTCGGAAACGTTTGACGTTTGAAACAGGCCTGATGAATTACGGCATGGATATAACATACATAACTGACGTGTTTTCCGCTTTGTTTTTTTATAGGCAAGTCGCTGCCCAGAAAGATTGATCTTATCGAAGCTGCCAAAGAAGGTTATTGTATTTTTTATTGTTTTTCCAGTCGTGTTGTGATGTTATTCTTCTTAAAATTAAAAAGAAATAACTACGATTTACCAATAAAATGGCCCTCATATACACAATATAGCCTTTCTCACGACGACAAATATCCGCCATTTTTGGGGTACTTTCCATTTTCTCAAATGCGTTTAAAGAATAATTACAATGTAAGAAGCATTTTTAAAGATTCAATAGACCATTTGAACAATAAATTAAACCTAATATTAAAGACAGCTGCCCTGACAAGGTCTTGCGCCCACAATTAAAAAAAAGTACCTCCAAAATGGCGACACAATTGTCATCGTGAGAAAGGCTAATTAATTCGCGATTGCCGCCATCTTGGTTGATTTTTCAAAACAGGTTCACAAAATATTTTCTCATCGCTGCTGTATTTTGATAGTAATTAATATGCAATCTTCGTGCATTGGCCTAAATCCACTCACGCGATTGGTCAAAATCAATCACGTGGTTTCTTTTTGCCTGACGACAGATCATGGGAATCATAGTTTATTCGCAATAACCCATGAAAATCGTGGTTTCTTAAAAAATGACAGGCTGCAGCGAAGCTTGGATCTTCAATGCAGGAATCAATGAACTCAGATTGTATATTAAAAGTGTTAGGAACTTTATGTTCGTGTTTTGTTTACAAATAAACGCACTTGCTGACCATATACAATGAACTTGAAAGTTTCATTGTATGGTCAGCGCGTTGGTTTATTTGTGAATAAAACACTCACAACAGTTTCTAACCAGCTTAAATAGGCATCCCATGTATAATAGATAAAAAAATGATAAGCAGTTACAAAAACGAGATTAATATAAAAAAAACTGTTTTTTTTCTAAAAAAAGCAGAAGTAGAATAAACTAGGTAACGTCTAATGACAAATTTATACATGAAATCATGCATTGATTATTAATTTTTATAATGAATGAATATATTTTTAATATGAAGAAATCTACGAACCCCCCGCCAGCTGTAATTTTTTTTAGATATAGCTGCTAAACTGTCTACCGAACTCATTCTAATCCCCTTCCTGATTGAAATTAAACACATTTCCTTGTGATAGAAAAAACAAATTTGTCAAATTCTCATCATTTTTACCAGGAATTTAGGAGAATAATTAAGTTATGTTAACCCAAGTGTGTTAAGTGAAAAATTAGCCCAGTTCCGGTTAGATTACCCGAAATTTAACCAGGGGATGGATTTAGGTCATGTAATTTATTAGGTTACGTAAACCCTTAGCAATTGTCCTACATCAAGTCATTCAAGTGAAATGCGACGAAAGATTCATTGATTTATTCTCGCTCATTCTGGTTCTTTCAATTTTAGGAAGTTTAAGGCAAATACAAGAACTCGCGTTACAAAGTGATTTTGATGTGAATGAAACCAGTAAGTGAAGTCATGATGACTATACATTGTCGTGATACATTGTGGTCAAATGATTGTCTAAATATTGATCGGCTGAATATGAATATGAAACGGTACATTGTCTCATTAACTTTCTGACTTGTGCAATTGTGATTTGTGCTATATATCTTTAAAAAAGCACGCGAAGTTCTCAATATGACCAAGATCAAAATTTCTGGATCTCGGACTAAGCCGTATAGATTATGGATGAAAGTTCAAACTCGAAATAATGCGAAAATGCCCTTCCTTTGTTGTTTACAAACACATGCAGCTTCGAAATCGCAGTTCAATTCTGTTGAGAATATATAAGATTTTAGTCGAAATTTTGCAACCGGGTTTCAACTTAGAATCGTAATGAACCTTTGTCTCCTAACCATGCACAGAGTTGCAAAATGAGTTCAACCTTCCTCCGGTGGGATTTCAAGTTTTGAAAACCTTCCTCAAAAGGACGTTACGTCACTGACTCAAGTGGCAACCAGCATAAAGAAATATTTGGTTTTTTGGTACATGCATGTGATCAATAAGAGTGTTCAACTTTGAAACTTCCTCACAAACCTCATTGAAAGCAAACTTTCCTCACGGGTGGCACCCGCGTACCCGCAGCTTTTTTGCATCTCTGACCATGCATGCAGCTGTATTCATAGAAAACTCAAGAGGTGCTTAATATATATGCAATAAACTTTTTTGCCCGCAGAGGAAGACGGTATGACGTCACTGATGTGGTCAGCGGTGAAGAACCAGTTTCGCATTGCCTTATTCCTTATCCAGAAAGGAGCTGATGTTAACATACGAGATAATCCCTACGGTTGGACAGCCTTGATGCACGCTATCAATAGCAAGTAAGAGGAAAACTTGATGAAGAAATATGTGAAAATAATAAATAAATTTACAAGGATAGATGTAAATTTGGTATACACGCGTAAAAATCATCATGTTGATACAGGTTTTTCTAAAACAGAAGTGAACAATGTTGTGCTGCACCCTGTGAACAGCATTGTTAACAATGGTTGTTTTTGAACCATCAAGACTGTTGCAACACTGTTGTTGACAATCATGTCAATAATTTTCTTGCACGTTATTACGTCATAACGTGTCATAATAGTGCGAAGACATCAACGTCCTAAAGGAGCAGAAATCGACCCAAATTCGAGAGAACAATAAAGGATAAAACAATTCGCTTTTCACTTGATATGAAGAAGTATCAAGCCTTGGTTTGTCATTATCAACCTCAGCTCGGCTTCGGTTGATAACCACAAACTTCAGCTTGATAATTCTTTATATCATGTTCAAACTCATTTAATAATTGTTAATGGTTTAACATGGTTCAACAACATTGTTCACAATACTGTTCACGAGCAATTCTAGCCTTTGTTTCTTCATTTGAAACCTAAAAAATCAGTTTTTCCTACCAAAAATTCCTAATTCCTAAATATTCAGTCTTTTTTCTCATTCCCTTCTGTAGCCACAAAAGTATAATTTGCCTTCTGATTTTAAATGGTGCCAATATACAGTTAGAGTCACACGATAAGACGATACCATTTGACCGAGCAACCGTGGTTGGTACGTGGATAAAATGTTGGTTACAATTTCATGTCTAGAATACACGAATTGTGCACAATCATGCACTACTTTAATCCTAAACCTGAGAAATGATAGCTTTTCAAGAAACCCCAACCGGAATTGTTATAGTTCCTTTTTTATATGTGTTTTTATATTTTGAATTATTTTGTTACTATATTGTGTTCACCTATTTGTGTTTTGTACATACTTTCCAGGTGACAGCGAAGTTATTAGAATCTTGGGTGCAGCAAGTAACATCAACGAAGTCGATGTCTGGAAGCAAAATTCCAGCTGGGCTTGTAAGTACATTACATCTCCGTTTTCCAGACTTATGGGGTAATTTCTAATACATGCATACTATTATGATCTTACCATAGTTATCAATTATGTAACTAAAATGCTGTAAAAAGTCTAGATAGGTGGGGTCTATTTATAACAGTCACATTGTAGAGTTTTGTTATACTCGTTTTACTCATTACAAACAGGAACTCCTAATCTTGCTCAGGGTTTTTCTTCTAATCGAAATACATTTGTGTTGATCTTGCAGATCTTAAAGTTCGTAGTAGAATTTCCTACTAAAACGCTTCCATTTTTGTCGAAAATATTAACAACCCATTTTCTGTATTCTAGTTTTAGTCAAAACCTTGCAGGAATGCCTTTTCCGAGACAAGATTGACATGAAAGTCAGATATAATTCCGCTACAAAAGAACTCCAGTTTTTGGACTTGTAAGTTAAATATAAAACGCCACTTTACAAATACTTCAATTTGTGGCATTCTATTTTGCTCGGCAAACAGAGAGTAGAAATCAACGCCGGAACTGCAAGACAGGACTTAATATTGTCTGAACAATGACGGCGTTGAATCTAATTTACGAAAATGAAGATTTGATTGTGTGAAATATAATGATACACCTGGTATACCATTAGTGTGTTCGACAAAGGCTACTGCTGTTGTTCGTCAGTTCATCTAAACCGTTTCATTTCATCAGTTTCATGCATAACTGCACGCTCTCATTCCAGATATGCGAGGGCCTAGCTGTCACATTTGCTACATACTGAGATCCTTCTTACCGCGAGGATTGCAGAAACTGCTGTAATTTATCGCTAATGCTATATATTGTCCCTTTTTTGTATCTAGATCCGATAATAACAGGCAGGGCTTCAAGGTATTGTTGCGCTGTTCAAACCTCGCTGCTTAGAACAGTTTTGGTTTTAATACATTTAAAATATATTTATTTCAATTATAGCATATGCATGTCCAGACTGCATGTGTCTAATCCCTGGCGAAAAATGTTGTTTTTCAGATATCGTGGACGAAAAGAATAAACAAGTTGCAGTATAATTTCAACCGAACAATTCATTTGTTAAACAAACGTCAACCAAGCAAACCACAAACACTCAAACCAGTGTCACACGAAGTATTCAGTCGTCTGCCACAAAATATAGACGCTACCAGCAACCCGAATCTCTTGACCCGAGGAAACGATATGAATACAGGTTAGTGAAGATGTATCACTATCAATGCTTTGTGGTAGGGACTCGTCTATAGCGCTAATAAAGAGCCATTGCAAATATCCCTTAAAAATAATGTAGACGCCTTCACTTTGAATTTTACGAATACCTTGCTGGCTTCTTCTGGAAACTTGGATCCACTTTTGCCCTTTGGTAGTCTTTCCATAAAAAAATGTTTAGTCCAAGTTTCCTGGTACAAGAATATATGTGTATCTGCAGGAAGCACATCTACATCCAGGTGAGCTTTGAAATTTCTAACTGCTTTTTATCTCGTTATTTTAGCTCTTTTAGAATCGTCTACAATCGAGCTTACGGACCCGAGAAAAACCACTCTGTTGGTAGGTGAATCACCTCAAATACCACCCTTTGCCACATAAAGATTTTCACTGAGTATAGTCAATAAAACTTTGTTAAATGTTTTTTAGCCATTGGCGGGACCATCGGTGAATGAGTGGCTAGGGGAAATAGTTACCCCCATCGTTCCTCCTTTCACCCCAACCACGACTTTGGACTTCAATACGAAGCAAAGAGAATTGACAGATTCATTATTGTCCACATCACCTCAGGTATGATCATGCAGATTCAGTTTATCCTGTGCTATTTCATTGCCCAAAGAAAAATGCAATCTCTAATACATCTTCATTTACATCCCCAGTCCCAAACAAAAAGCAACCCAAAATACTGTAATATCGAAAATGCTTTTAAAAACAATTGACCGTATTTCTAGAGTGTACGTACATGTGTTAGCACGGTTTGAAAGATTTTTGATATCGTAGAAATAAAAGATACTAGTAGCCCGGAGCTTTAGGGATTCGTTGCGAATTCGTTGTGAATCAAATCCGTTATTAAACCTAAATTGGATTTTGTCATAAAAATTGGTTAAATTATCCATAAAACTAATTTATCTGATCATTCAGGTGCCTTCTTTGTTGCTAAATGGCTCAGTTAATGGATCGTCAGGCAACTTAATATCTGTAAAGTAAACTTTTAAATGTTATAAACTTTACTTTTGATCCCTCTTAACTATAGCTGATAGTTTCATTCGTGTTCAAAAAAAGCACGAAATAGCTTTGCCATCAATTTTAAACCATAAATCTAACCTTTTTCTACATATGCATAATGAGATACCATCATATGTATAGAAACCTTAAAAATAACTATAGCTATATACATATAATCGTTCAGTTTTCACCAATTCGGTAAACTTAAGTAAATTAAACCCAACACAATAGACAACCCAACACAGATGTAGCTAAATTTTTTACCATATTTTGCATTGGAATCTCTCTAAAGCAAAGCAGTTTACACAATTCTAACATAATTAGGTTATTAAAGGAAATTACTCACCATGATATATTACAATGTATACGATATATTTAGGACAGCGAGTATTCTTATGGGTCAAAAACGAAGGATCAGATCTCTCCAATTTCGTCTCGTCGTAGCAGTGGACAGAGTCCTGAATCATCTTTCAATTTATCACCTGTGCAAAGCCCTGGAACGTCTTTTAACAGCGGCCCAAACATCAGGTAAGAAACTTTAGGAAGGGGAGAAATACAATTAAAATTTTTACAATCGCTTTTAAAAAATTTTAGTCGGACATTAGCGGATGATTTTGTGTTCATGATTCTGGAAGTGCAGGGGAGGGAATGGGGTGGTCGTGCACTGTACTTCATGTCAACTGTGCTACACAACTTGTATTCAATCATGGACTACGGTCTATTACGGAAGACGAATAACGTTGGGATCGAGGCTTAGGGTCGTGGTTCTGGACTTTGTGTAAAGATTAGGGTCAGCAATAGGGCGAGTGGCCATGGTGAGATTAAGGTTGAATTAGGTTTAGGATAAAGATTAACTCGCGGGTCCTGGATTCTCCCAGTCTGAGCTCTTTATATTAGTTACATCACTGCATGCGTTCAATCATCCAGAGCTTGAAGTAAGAACCACAAACTAAATATTCGCACGAGCTTTTAGGAATAAAGAGCTTTGAAAATAGCTTTGTGATGGTGCTAATATCTATCAGCGTAATCAAGCTTATTTGACTAATTTGTCAAGCTCAGTTGGTAGTTCAGAGTACAATCTGTTCAATATAACTTATGCACGGCCACGGGTATTTGTCTAACACAGAAGTCCTCGATACAAGCTGGACCCTTGGTATTCCGCACAGCGAAGATCGTCATCCTCATCATCTCTTCCCGGTAGATCTCCTTCCCAAAACTCGCATTTCTTCGCGCCCAAAGCAACGAACAAATTTCCATCCAGACGAAAATCCAATTCCCTACCACGAATTGGTCGTGGCACCGTCGCTCCGGTTCAAAGCTCGCGTGGTCTTACCAAAAGTGAATCAGATGAATCAGGTTAGTGTTAAAGAGGAATCAAATCCACCTGTAAACAAGCAGTTTGCTTATATTTTGAACTTCTGGACTTTGAAAATACGATGGCCGTTTAAACTGTTAATAGGTTCGCATTACCCTGCTAGCAGAGCATCGCATACGCTTCTTCTAAATGAATAAACTTAGCCATAATGGACGATTTAGACAATTTTTACGGCAGGGGATCTTGATTTTCACTTTATTAAACTACATTCATATGTGTTTGAAACTTTGAATTCAGCAACCCGAATGTTAGTTCGTGAACGCGGAGAACGTTTGTCTAAATTGTCTTGATGAGTAAAATCGAAAATTCAACCCCCCCCCGTACTCTACGATTCCAGGAAAAAGGACACTTTTCCAGTTAAAACCGGAAGCGTGTATTGCGTATGTTGAAATAGCCTATTTATACTCCGGAGTAACATACAAATATCTCACGAGCGGGAAGAATATTTCGCTTTATCGGCAGATTATACAATTTATGATACGGCTAGGCTTCGCTTTTATAGTAATTTATAATTTGTTCTGATATAAGATGAAAGTTGTCAAATTATTTCTCGAAGAAATTACAAAAGAGTTGCTGTACAATATCGTACATGCTAACGACAAATTTATCACATTTTCTAATTTAAACAATGAATTTAAGAGGAAAACTGGCTATGAACCGGCGGCATTCTTTGGATATAGCATCGAGGAGGATTCTTACTTGTTAGATTTCATTAATGGCATTCCGGGTTTGAGGTTAGTTCAGTCAATGATTATGCCCGACGATAGCGACGAAGAAGATACTCGATGTGTTTACAGGATATTCAATAGCACACATGTAGACGAATCTGGAGTTAACAAAACGTCAGTGGCCGAATATCGAGAGAGGCTTTTACTGAAATGTTGTGAAATAATGCAGGAGGATTTCGCAGATTTAGGCAACTGCAAAGATACAAACGGCAACACGCCTCTTCATCTACTTGCAGCCTTACCGGGCATTTGCTACGGCGTTGATACCTTAGCGAAATACCTGTTAGATGCTGGAGTCGATCCACTGGTCGAAAATAACAATGGACAAACCTTCCTCCACATCATTTTTGGTAGCTTCAAAGCGAAGATCGATCATTTTGGTGCTGTTTGCTTCACTAATGAACGATTGGCCGCCACGAAATGGTATATTGAGGATCGAAAATCTTTCACAGATTTGGTTTCGGAAGAATTATCACGGGCACAAGTTACTTCACTCGTGAAAGCACAGGATAAGGGTGGAAATACTCTATTACACGAATGGGCAATCTCCTCGACAGTTCAACACGAATATATTCATGAACGCAGAATTTGCACGAAGTTACTTGAGCTCGGTGCAAACCTGAGAGTTCAAAGTTGCACAGGTGAAGTTCCACTTCATTACGCATACAATCCCTCAGTATTTAAAATTTTTGTTTTGAAAGGTGCTGTTTGCCGCGCCAGAAATGATCGCGATGAGACTCCGATTTTGTTTCTCTTGAAAAAATCAGTCGAGCTTGCATTTTCTGGAACACCTGTTTTCGCTGAGATCATGGAACAGGGTTTCATCGAACTAACATCCAATATTAGATCCGTTGGGAAGGCCACCAAATTACTGGAAAATTTAATCAGGATCCTTGCAGAAAACACGGAAGCTAGAAAAGTAGTTTTTATTCCCGATGTAGAAGGAAACGTGGCTATCGATATTGTATTGACTGCTATTCGAATTGGGTCGTACGATTTGAAGGAAATCGGGCCGAACCTGGCCGAACTGCGATCATCATTGTTGGAATTACTAAGTGAATTGCTTTGCGATGCAGACACAAGCGACATAACAAGACGAAACATGAAAGGTCAAAGTTTTCTCCATGTTCTACTCGACATGGGCGACGAACATGGACACGAGATAATCAGAGGAGCGTACATACTTCGTAGCATCGATATTCTTCTGGCGCACGGCGCAGATGTTAACGCTGTTGACTCAGAGGGACGCACTCCACTTGATGTCGCGAACGAACATCTCGGAAGTGGACCAGTGTTCTATCAGAAATGTGCCCAGCTTCTTATCGATAACGGCGCAGTCGCCAAACATGATTTAGAAGGTGGCAACCACAGTCAAGATCAAACGGTACAAAAAATATCTGCAGTCGGTATTCAAAATCTGGCGCGCAAGTTACGATCGTGCCCAAAGCGTTACCGGAAGTATGCAGAAAGTTTAGTCGACTCCAGTAGCGATCTCACTGCCGTAGAGAAATATCGTTATTTCAGTCAGGATTCTATTGGATCCGGCGCATTTAGCGCAATTTTTGTCGCAATCAAAGATGAGAATGTTGACAATGTGTCTGGTACGATTGACTGTCGTGCGTACGCGTTAAAGCGAATCGACAAGGCGAAGGTAAATGCTTTTGACATAAAGCGCGAAATCACTGCACTGCTCGCAATATCGGGCAAGTGCGAGAACATCATCAAGTATTATGAATTTGTCGAGGACAATTTCTTTCAATACATCTGTCTCGACCTGATGGACGGCGACCTTCATGAGTTTGTCGCGAATGACGAAGTCAATTCAATTTTGGGAAAAGATCCAGCGATGCCCATAAATATCACAAAAGAGATAATCAATGGCTTAACCTACCTTCACGGGCAAAAGTTCATTCATCGCGATTTAAAACCCGGGAATATCCTGTATACAACAGATCCAGCATTGCATTTCAAGATCGCCGACTTTGGACTGATGAAGAATTTGTCCAGTTTATCCACCATGATCACGCCAACAAGAGGCAGTGGTGTTGCTATGGCACCCGGAACGCGATGTTGGATGGCACCAGAGCTGGTCAGCATGAAATCGAAAGAGCATACGCAAAATTCAGATATATTTTCCTTGGGTTTGGTTCTCCATTATCTTCTCACTATGGGAAAACATGCATTTACAACCGAGATTGAAGAACCAGCCCATGTCATTGAGCGAAAGATTGCAGAGATGCAGATCAATCTCGATAAAGCTCTTCACCCGGAAGCCGCCAGCTTTCTTCTTGTTCTTTTGACAAAAGATCCCACCAAGCGGCCACCAGCATCATTCCTAGGCCAGCACCCCTTTCTTTGGAGTGCAAGCAAGAAAATTGAATTCTTAAAAGCTGTTGGTGATCAACCAGAAGCTATCAGTCCGTTTGACAGAAAACATTTGAACTCGCCGTTGGAAAAATATCTTCAGATGACTCACACCGGTCGGGAAATCAGGATCGTATCTTGGGATCAGTTCATTGAGCGCATGTTTATAGAAATGATGAACGCTTGGAAAGCGAAAAAGTACCGTACTGACAAAGTGATCGATTTGATAAGATTCATTCGTAATTCATACGCTCACAAGCAAGAGAGGTCGTTACGATTCCAACAAGACCTGAATAAGGATATCTTCCTCCGCCAGTTTCCATTCCTGGTGCTGGATGTATTTGGCGTGGTACAGCAACTAGAATTTGATGCACGTCGAAGCAACATTCTTTTAGCTTTGAGTCTATAAACGTAAACACCCAAAACAAACATTTAAACATGTAATAAAGTAAATAATAATGTAAATATTATGTAAAACTAAATTATGATGTAAATATAATGTAAATAACTAAGTGAACAGGAATACGCTCATGATACTTTCTCATGGGAATGAAACGTTTGTAAAAGTTCTTGTTAATTTCATTGAAGCATTGGCAATATATGTAAACCTTGTAATACGCGTGCTATATGGCGAGGCAAAGAAGGATTATCGTACTTAATACCTGTTTACATATGATTCCGCTTGCCTGAATAAAATTTTACCTGGGTTAATTTTGATGTGTTGAGTACTCAAAACCACGTTATCCCTTATCAAAGATTACCAACATCTCAATTTTGTTCCATTGGTCGCAGTACGTGATATGCGATTTCTTGATGTACTGCATCATTGCAAAATTTTTTGAGGAATCGCCCTCTGAGGAACTGCATTTAGTCGAGACTGGCGCCTTTCAAACAACTATTGAAGAAATTCCGTGGATAATTGTTCATTTACAAAACATTAAAAAAATATCAGGTTTCTTCGGTTTCTGAAGCCAGAGTAGGAATAAGAGTGATGGATTCTTTACCTCGTTGTCGTGACCTTACAAACTTCAATTCCAATCGCTTACGATGCTTAAATACTTTCTGTCGACAGAAAAGATGAAAGATTGGTTGGAAAAGCTCTCGTTACAACAGTACACTCCAATATTAGAAGAAAACGAGGTAATCTCCAATTCACCGTCGTTTTCAATTGAATGATTGTTAAGAATCGTGACACCAATAGTATGCTTCTTTAAGTATATTTACGCTGGTAATACGCTGGTTGACAAACCTCATGACGAGACTCGCTTGAAGGAGCTGCAATGCTTCCTGACAAGCGTGTACATGCTTTCTATGATCTTCATCTTGCCTGTCTTTTTTAGATTGATACAGATACCTTTCTGACGCTGAACAAAGCAGATCTGGATCAAATTGGAATAAAGCAAACTGACGCACAACGACAAATCCTCGCTGCTGTTCAACAGCTAAGGAGGAAAAGGGTAAGGTCATAATCCTCAAGCATACAATTGTATAAGTTGTAATAGGTGATGTTATTATAATAGAATTTTTCGGTAATTACGTCGCAACATTTTAACGTCACAACGTTTTACATTGAAACCACCTTTAAATGAAATGGATTTCAAGTTTTACTCTTACGAGTCACGTGCAAAGATGCAAAACATCCGTCTTCAACACAACAAAAATATTTTTTTATTTTGAGCAATAAATGTAAAAATAAGCCATAACACGCCTCGTTCTCGTGTTATGGCTTATTTCCGTACTTATTTGTCAAAATGAAAAAATTATTTTTAATGCATGTGTTGAAGAAGGATGTTTTGTATCTTTACACATACCAATCCATTTCATTTAAGGTGGTTCTAAATCTAAAACGATAATGTTGTGACGTAATTACCGAAAAGGTCTATTATATAGTTCATATTTGACTTTTTCATTAAGTCAGCCTTAAACAAATTATGGAACTGATGAATAATTGTTCATCTAGCCCCATTTACACTAGATTTGATTTATTGGAAGGGCTAGAGGTGCCCATACACAGTTGTATAAGTGGTCAGGTTACCAGCCTCCAAGGGTGAGCACGTATGAAATTGAAACCGGTATCCGTTTTAGCCGTGCTGTGGAAATAATTCGATAAACACGACCTTCATTATTTTGTGATTATTCAAACAGATTTTTTCTACCGTTGTTCTGTGTTCAGGAAAGGAACCCTGTATTAATGAAAGCCGATGCCTGGGCGTCGTGATGTGATAAAGTCAACGATCAAGTCAGGAGGCGGTTGAGACTGGCCCTATATGAGCATCAGGCCGAGCGAAGCGCAGAAATGCAATCTACGATGAAAGGTTGGATCAGGGCTATACTATGATTATAGTGACCCGCTGAAGAATAAATGTTGGATGAAAAATAACGTCAGAAATACTAGGGATTCTTTGTTTGCTTATGACGTCATGATCTTTCATGGGCGCCATCTTGGTTCACCCTTCAATGTTTATATCTTCTATTTTTCAAGACGAAAAGGAAACTAAGGGCCCTGTTACACGGCGCAATTTTTCTTGCAACTTGCAATGCAATTCTACTTTTTTTCGAATCCATAACTGTGTACAAAATGAAACCAGTATCGTAATATTAAAAAGCTAAAATTTAGCGAATATAGTAATAAAATTTATCCCATCTGAAGAAGAGATTGCAAAACAACAAGATAAGTGCAATGAAAGCGATAGCCATGAAAAGTGAACTCTCAAATACATGTAAATCATTCCAGGTTGTATGTGAGACGCTGGCATGCCGACAAATAATTATATATTCGCGGTCTGATTTAAAAGCTGCGTTGTACATAAAATTGATCCTGTTGGTATTAAGGAAAGCGTTTAAGTATTTGGCCGTGATCATGTCCTATAACTACGGATGGAAGCCTTAGACTTGTGAATTGTAAGTTTTTCCATAACTTAACTAGTTGTGCATGTTGCAAAAGATGGATTTTTGATTTAGACAGTAGAGAAACATGAAACTCTCACTCCCTTAGCTTCACCTCGTCTTCAGAATGTTGGCAAACAAGCGCCTTTCCTTTCGAGAACTGTACCAATCAAGCCGCAAATTGTCTAGGATTGGGGCAGTCTTGCTGGCCTTTTGGGCGTACCAGCGGCAGAGAGAAAAATCATTCGTACTTGTGATAAATACTCAGATGACCGAGATCGAAATGATAAAAATAATGTTATCTTAACGTATGGAAATTTTTTCACGTGAGAGATCTAGACTAGCTCACTCCTTGAAGGAGAACGGACAATGTGATTCAACAGAACAAATTTTATATGGAAAGTGGATACTTTTATAATAATGTTCTGGTTCCGGTGTACGGGTACGGGTAGCCTTATTTTGTTCAATGAATTTCCATGCATCAGTGTTTCTCAATTTTTTCGAAGAATAACTTGACAATTCCTTTCTAGTAGACTTTAGTCTCTTGAGGTAAGCATGATTTGTATCTTGAAACGTGCAAACAACAAGAAATTCCAATGAACAAAATATGGCTACCCGTACCCGTATACCGAAACCGGGGTATCTTAACCTCTCTAATAAAATATGCTTCAGAATTGGTGTGGTTCACGGTTCACACGAGTATAAATATATGTAACACGAATAACAGTAATATTTGCAAATAATCTTATGACCTGCATTTTAAACATATATTGATTTGTATTTTTGAGGATTAAATATCCCATCTTCTCACTTGATCACTTGAGAACTATACCTATGATATTTCAGCTGTACGACATTTTAGAATAAAAATAACCAACATGATTGAAGCAATTCCATATGTTTGTCCTTTTATACTTATTCATTGAAGATTTTCGGAGAAAAACATGTCTTTAAGTGCCTTAAGAATTATTTTAAGGAACAACCAAACAGTAATTTCATAACCGCCTCCTTGGGTTTCCATATAAAAATTTACTCCACTGGAACCAGCAAATGGCAGAAATCTGCTTCAAAAAGCTTTGTTCTGTTGTTACTCCCTGTAACATGTCAATAAGACGACTCGCTTGTAAAATCCGTCATGAAATCTTCTTTTAAGGAATCCAAAAAGCTGATGCCTGAAAAGTCTTAAATGCAATGATATGTATGTAGATCAGGGCTCGTGATCCCGAAAGCGATAATTTTCCAAGTTTGGCTCTCAGGAAACTACCTTAATCTTTAGGCAGGTGACTTTCCGTGCAATAATTTAAAAGTGGCCTTGACTTAGTACTAATTTTAAATAGGGTGGCAGGTAATCAAAATTTTATGTTCGCATAACCAGGAAGACTACTAGGTTACCTAGTCCCAGGCCCTGTAAGCGCGTGCTGTTAATTGTGCAGGAAAGGAGTTATGTGACAAGAATGGAACATTTCTGATTTCGTTTATCCCGGAATCTAGAGGCTTTGTTTTCTTGCCAGAGGAATCGCGGGCTCGGGGAACGAGTTTGTGCAACTTGATGATTTACAAGCCGCAAAGCAAACCTGAGCAAGCCAGCATTGAGTCGAGCGAATGGTTATGACTTAAAGAGACGTTTTCATGTCAGTATTCTGATGTAAACAACTGAAGATAAACGGTGAGTGAGTTAAAAATCAATTACTAATTTGTCTTTGGAAAGGATCGTGCATGCGGTAAACTTTGTATAACGTAACATACATAACATACACGACGATATTTGGCAGCAAGGAAGCACTGATGCGTGTGTTTGAACATTTACAAGGGAATTTATTAACTATATACAGTTACGCTTGAACTCTTTCTGCAGAAATAAAATATATTTCATTACTCATTTGAAACGACTTTGAGCCAACCGACAGAATATTCATAATACCTGCAAATTCATCGTCATTTATAATCATGTAGACTTCGTTGTAATAGCATTTCAATGTTATGCAAGTTGCCTAGTTCGTATATTATTAAAGATGGCATGCAATTGCAAAAGAGAGTTAGTAGCACAATTGAGTCCAACTGACTCTGAAATAGGACGCCGGAAATACATAGATAGCGAACGGTATAAACAATTGGCCTTGTTTCTCTGTTGTGGAATAATTAGATTTGTCTCTTGCTCGAATCCTTCATTGACGTATCAGATAAATACATTAATTACCACTGCGGCGTTGATACAGGTTGTATTATTATTGTATCGCTTGTAAATTGTCTTCTAATTATGCGAGCCGACTTAAAGAATAAAGGCCTTGAAATTGGCGTTTACGGCAAATTGCTAACAAACTTTGTGCGTTATTTTAACTCCACTATTTTAGAATGTGCAACAGTTTCGCTTTATAAACGTTCTACAGAAAATCTTGACGTTGAGCAGTGATGAAGCTTACTTAGCCAAACAGTACATACAGCTTCGTAGTTCATGTATTTAGCCACACAGTATTAACTGAAATACAGCTTCGCAGTTTGTGTTTCACGTTTGCCATATAAAATTTAATGCTCGAACGGCTGTAAGTGTACGAAACATTATTTCACTTGCGGTTCTTTATACCGGAATAATGAATATTTAATTTTTTGATACGGCTAAAATATTTGGTTCACAATATTTTCAAGGAAATTTATATGCTAGATAATAAAACCTAGGTTATAGCCCCGTTTACACTACAGTCAATTTATCGGCACGGCACGGCTAAAATTGGTACCCGTACCCAATTTTATTTGTGTTCAGGCTACCAAAACAAAGGCCGAGCATAGATAAAACGGGCACGGGTACCCATTTTAGCCGTGCCGTGCCATTAAATCGAGTGTAGTGTAAACGGGGCTTATACCTTAAATCGCGTCGAATGCAATTCAAACAATAGATAATGCGACGATAAACCTCTAAACCTTATCATCTAGCGAAAATACGACCTATAACCTATAGGCCTAACATATGTAAACATATACATTAAATCTTCATGCATTTCAATATATTATATTTCTAACGTGCTGCAATATTTCTTGTTAACCAGTTTGCCATGGCTGATCGCCCTGAACCACCACAAGCACCAGCTGTGGGTCTCGATGTTGATTTAACAGTTAACAATGAAGGCATAAGATTGAGATTCAGATGCAGCACGGGCGTGGCAGTTTTACTGGGGGTTACAGGCGTCACGCTGGGGGCGCTCTACGGCAAAGAAAGAATTCGACCTGTTATCGAAAGTTTGTTCAAGTCAGTCTTTGGCTTCTGCAAACTCACCCCTGGATCCATTGTTGTTGATGTTGACTGCTTTTCAGCCAAGCGTGTGAAGGAATTACTTGACGATTACAAATGTGGAAAACTTAAAAGACGGTTTGTGGAAGAGCTTCGAAAGATTGATGGCGAGGTCGAAAACTTAAGAATCGTATTTGAACTAAAGGAAACTTTGGAGGTGAACACGAATCGCAAACAAAGGTAAGACACGTTTCAATTCTCTCTGCCATAGTGCAAAAATGTGTTCACTCATCAACCTCGTCCGTGTGTTTTTGTCCCACATAACCTCAATTATTGTAGCTTTGCGAGAGCTGCATACACAATGCGTGTTATACTATTATAATCGACAATTGTTTTTGTTTTCAACAAAGGGATGAAAAGCAATCAGGAAAAGAAGGAGAAGGAACGGCAGGCATGTCTGAACAGGAGGTAATATTATTTCATCGAGTTGATATACTAACGCCTGTATTCAAAAACTTCTGTATTCTCACACGGTACCCGTGAGTGTAAAACAGAAATTCTGTTATTAATTATAATACGATAAAAACTTTCTTAATCATGGAAAGATTTAAAGTAAGACATGAAAAACAAAGTCCTTATTCGAGTGGAAATACCGTTGCATGAAACCGCTACGAAATGATTCAGATCTTCCACTACAAGAGTTTGGCATAGATATCCATACTGGGGAAGATTTGATTTTTCAATTTGGGTTTAAATTTATGTTCATATTCCAATATCTGCGTGTTGCGTTTTCTCGCAGACCAGAAATCATATAGAAACATGGCAGTTCACCAAACCTGCTGTTTAAAAGGATTAAGCTTTAGCGTAGCTAATTGTTTTATGCATAATAATAAACTTCTACCATCGATTCTCACGAATTATTTTCGTATAAACCCTTAAAACGTTTAAACTAACGTTCTAAACCAAAACTTATGTCGCAGTAAACGTCGATAGTGTTTACAATTTTAAACGAAAATATGTATGCGGAAAATAAATGGAACAAGCAGATTTGGACGGACATGTGGACCGGGAGTTTGCCGAAATGAACTGCATGTTTGTTCAAAAAGTCACGTTTCCTTTTTGAAACGTTTCAACCTGTCAATATTGTCTGTTTTAAAAAGTTTTAGCTGATTCAAGATTTCTCTTAGTATTTCTTCACGTAAAATAGTGTGTAGCGATCATTTAGTAGCGATGGGATTTCTATCATTGTGTATCGTTATCATTGTATCACTTCCTTCCAAGTGCATGGTGAATAGAAAGTGTATATGCTTCCTTAGATTTATCGTGTAGCCTTAAACAATGTTAAACCAGCGGATTGTTTTGCGGTGTGTAAATAATTAGCACGCGCTCGTCCTTTACAAGCCGTAAAACTTCCCTAATTGTCAGTCATGAATGAAAGCATTCAAGAGCACAATTTTTTTGCTGATGCTATTTGTTGTTGGCGTTTAAGCTCGTTATTCCTCTACGCTTCTAATAAAGACCCTAAACCTACTCGGAATCACGAATTTATTGAATAAAAATGGACTGTCTTACTTTTTACTTGAATTTTTGGGACTTGAATTTGGCCCCCTTTTTCGACTGATGTTTCCGATACCATTGCCTCCTCTAGTGTTATTTATAATCTCTATGCTAGTACATCTGTGTTCTTTTTCCGTTAAGTGCGTGCAACCATAGGCAGCCCAGAAATATTTCACGTGGCGCTCGCGCGCATGCAAGTCTACTTGGTCTATTATTATGACTTGATCATAATAATAGACCGAACTGTGACTGTAACATTTCTGGGCTGCCTTTGGTGGAACGTGATTCGACTTTCATTATTTTGTTGATTACCAGTCGGCGTGCGCTAATTAGAAACTATGTCGCAAGGAAACAAAGACGGTGAACGCGTTTTCCAATGTAATTTGTGCACGAGGCAATTTGGTTCGGAACGAGGACGGTCGCTACATTTAAATCCGTGCAGGAAAAAACACGCAACTGTTGGAGCGCGCCAACAAGATGGAGAAACATCAGGTATACCTAGTTCTATTGTTATCGATCCGGTTACTCCATCAAGTTTCCAAAATAGCGGATCAACATGTGTTCGGGGCAGCCACACTAAAGATGACCGAAGCAAGTTGTTTATGCTGCCTATGAAGAAGTGCTTTTTGGCGCAAAAATCTGTTTATGTTGCCAAGTGGAGCTGCTAGAAAGTCATACGTCAGGGAACTGGAGAGACTGATTAACGCTTGGAACAGTAACTCAGAGATCTTGCATGATATTTCTTTAAAACTTATTATGATCATGCCTGCTAGGAAGGTTTCAAATGAACAGCTTTCCAAGAACTTCGCTAGTTTCATGTTTCGTCGCAATAGCGTTAATGGCGAGAACACTTGTAACCCAGAGGGTCGTTATTGGAGCAGATCAGACCACCAGCTTAGAGGCCTTCTTAGCGTGTCGCTTAATACCTTTGGACAAGACCCTGGCGTCAGACAAGGTCCTAGAACCACCAAGAACCGTGGCGTCAGACCGATTATCATTGGAGAGGTTCTACGACGGATCATTGGAAAATCAATTGTCTTTGCCCTCAAGCCACAAAATTATGGATAGCGCAGGAGACTTACAGCTATGTACAGGACAACAATCAGGCTTCGAGGCTGCTGTTCACGCCATGTCGGAGATTTTTGAAGAAGAAGAAACAGATGCTGTGTTACTGTTAGACCCCACCAATGCGTTCAATTTCATCAACCGGAAGGTCGTGTTATATAACATTCAGTACATTTGTCCCGCAATGGCTGTTTATACATTCAATTGTTATGTAACAGCTTTGAGATTGTTCGTGCAAGGTGGTAAAGAAATTGCATCAGCGCAAGGTATCACGCAAGCTGATCCGTTAGCCATGCCGTTATACGCCATCGCCTTTACTCCACTCCTGCTCATGATTAAAACTAGCGATGTAAGGCATGTCGCGTATGCGGATGACCTTAGTGGTGCAGGTAAGCTAATGCAACTGCGTGCCTGGTGGGAGAAGATTGTCGTGCATGGTCCGAGTCTTGGTTACTACCCGCGAGCTGATAAATCCTGGTTGATTGTGAAGCCACACCTGGAGCAGACTGCAATTAAGATCTTCGCTGGAATTAATGTACGAATTTAAGGTGAAGAGCATAAGTACCTTGGAGGATATTTTGAATCGGATGACGGAAAATATAAGTATATAACTTCTACCATTTGGTGCCAGCAACTACACGTTTTAAGTGAAATTGCCAAATTCCAACCCCAAGCAGCATACACGGCGTTTATCTCAGGTTTTTGGCACAGATTTACTTACCACATTCGTGTTGTTCCAAGTATCAAGACCGCGATGCAGCTTGTTGACGACACCATCAACCTGAAGCTTCTTCCTGCGCTCCTCGATAACCGTAGCTTGTCCATCCATGAGCGACAATTGATTTTGCTTCCAGCTCGTATGGGAGGTCTTGGTATTCCGATCTTCAACGACATCTATCAAACATTTTCGTTTCCTTGTCTGAACATTTTCATGACCTTAAGCATGTAGGACGGCAACACGACAACGACGTGGTTGGAATACTCCTTTAAATAAATGTTATGATAAAACTTGTTCTATATTATAAAATGTACTAATTTAATGAGATATAAGATGTTGAAAAGATTGTTTTTACGGTTAGGGACAATTCTATAGAGTCTATAATTCGAGGTTACCGTAGCTCTCACTTAATAAACGGCGTTTTGCCGTTGTAAACAGAACGTAGATCACGTCTAAAACTCCCATAGGTATTTAATAATTCATTTCTTTTCAATGAAGCGTTGTATTGATAACTGCCGTCGTCGTGTTCTCGTCCTACATGCTTAATAAGGTCCCTAATTGCACTGATGAAGGCCCGTGTTAACGGACCGAAAGCTTTGCAGTATTAAATACTTACATGGTGTACCTAAAAGCTAATTTATTGCATAAATACTGTTCTAAACCATTCCTACTACTAAATTGAAAAACAACAGAAGTACCAATGGGCTCAGATATACCACAAGAATTTCTGGCACGAGGATAAAAAAATAGAAAAAGGAATTTATATCATGCATTAAGGCCATCATAATTTATATCCATCTAATATTAAAATGGCATCCTTATTTTGTGTAAAAGTATTCATCAAAGCTGAAACAAAGTTAACATAAGACGCTCCAACTTCATGTTCATTTGTAATAATTGAACCTTGCATGACGATCCTTTCCATAGACATAGTTTATATACCAATTTTTTTCATCATTTTGGGTCTTGCAATAAAACACTGTCTATTGTAAATTTGTAATTGAGTCCCACTGGCAAATGGGTATAGTCTGAGCAGATAAAAGCGCCGATAAACACATAGACGACTATGAGCATTGTTTCCCTCGCGATTGTTCACTAAAGAGTTCATGGAGTAAAGACATAATTTAAACTTAACAAACGGCTAAACTTACCGTAAACAATGGTCGAGCGCAGTGTGACGTGACGTACAATAAATAATTTTGACATGATCGGGGCGATCTCTAGCTTAACCCGCCTGAATGCAAACAAATCGAAAATCGAGATTCCACGTCGAAGAGTTATAACTCGGTCAAAGAAATTGGGCACTACAGTAACAGCATAAAGATAGGATGCTGCATGCCTGCGGCAGCCCTAATTATTATCATTCTATTTTTCCCACCCAAAAATCCCAGAATTTTTGTGATGTCTCACGAGAATTCTTAATTTCTTTTTCAAGTACCTTGAGACATTAGAAAGCATCAAAAAGATGGATGGCGAAACAGAAAGGCTTATTGAATTAGCCCAAGAAAGGAGCTACAGAAATATTAACTATAAGCACGATTTGACATATATCCGTGAATTAGAGACAAGTGATGAACACGGAAGAACGATTTTGCACTATGCCGCAGCAGTCAGAAACGAGTATTTTTTAAAACATCTCTGCGATCTCCCCCTTTTCAGTTTCAACGCACAGGATTGTGATGGCAGGAACGCTTTACACCTTGCGTGCATACCTACGGATCACTCTAGTCGACAGAAAAGCTTCACAGAATCATTTCATTCTTTTCGCTTCATCGTTAAGCTTTTACTGTGTTGTTTTAGTGAGTCAAAAGCCATAGATGCCCAAGACAGCGAAGATCGAACTCCACTACATTATGCTGTCATGAGTACGTTCTACGAAGACAATAACGTTGAAGTATTAATAAAAAGGGGCGCGGATATTTGTGTCATGGACGCATATGGTAAAACGCCTCTTGAATATGCTTTGAAATATGGTGGAGCAAAAGCCATGAAGTGTCTTTTGAAACATCATGGAAGAGAAGAAGCGAAGAAGGTGAAAAGCTCGCTAAAGATAACGAGAGACATCAATACCGTGGACGATAAAGGAAGAAACATACTACACAAAGCCGCAGCTTTTGCGAGTCCTGAAGCATTACTTGTACTTCTCGAAACTGGTGTTGACATGAATGCTAGGGATAAAATTGGGAAAACTGCGTTTGATTATGCACTTGAACGTTCGAATGTTGAATCCGCATTGACAATTCTTGATGTTCTATTAGAAAAACAAAGAAAAGAAGAACTTGTTCACTCATCTATTGACCCAATAAGTAAAAATTTCCCGCTGAAAGATACGCATTCTCGGACTATGCTACACCATTCAGTGATTTATTCTAAGCAGAGTGTGTTCAACCTGCTGTTAAGCCAAGGCATGGACATGAACGATCGCGATGATTCAGGAAAGACTCCTCTACATTATGCTTTCGAGCATGGTAACGTTGAGGCCGCCGAGAAACTTCTTGAAGCTGGTGCTAGTGTGGACTTGCAAGATGCAAATGGAAAAACAGTTGTACATTATGCAGCAAAACGCAGCGAAGAAAAGCTGATTAGTTTACTTGTTAGAAGCAAAGCAAACTTGAACGTCCTTGATAATCAATCAAACTCTGGTGTATATTACGCTATAAAGATGCGCAATGTCGCAATCGCCGAGAAACTTGTCAAAGCTGGAGCCAGCGTAGAAGGAAAGGATAGCGAAGGGGGAACAGTTTTACACCTCGCAGCATATAATGGTGATAAAAACCTTTTTGACTTGTTGCTCAAGAATAACGCAAATAAAGTGGAAGAAACCGACAAAAAAGGGAACTCCGTGCTGTTTTACGCCGTCCAGAGGAGTAATGTTGCCATTGCCGAGAAACTTATTGAAGCTGGGGCTACCGTACACGGAAAAAACGACGAAGGGAAAACAGTTTTACATTTTGCTGCAGAAAATAATGGTGATGAAAAACTGACTGATCTGTTGTTGAGAAATAAGGCAAAAGTGAACGATGTCGATGATGCTGCAAACTCTGCCCTCTATTATGTCGTAAGCTTGAACAAGTTAGCCATCGCCGAGAAACTTATCAAAGCAGGAGCCAGGGTAGACGAGAAATGTGCTGAAGGGAAAACAGTTTTACACCTTGCTGCAGAAAAGGTTGATAAAAAACTGATTGATCTGCTGTTGGCAAGTAACGCAAATGTGAACGATATCGACAGTAAAGGAAACTCTGCCCTCTATTATGCCGTCAGCTTGAACAAGTTAGCCATTGCCGAGAAGCTTATCAAAGCAGGAGCCAGAGTAGACGAGAAATATGCTGAAGGAAAAACAGTTTTACACCTTGCTGCAGAAAAGGTTGATAAAAAACTGATTGATCTGCTGTTGGCAAGTAACGCAAATGTGAACGATATCGACAGTAAAGGAAACTCTGCCTTAACTTATGCCGTCAGAAATATAAAAGAAACCCTAAGTTATTCCGTCAGAATGGACATGTTAGCCATCGCCCAAAAACTTATCAAAGCTGGAGCCAGCGTCGATGGGAAAGATAGCGAAGGAAAATCAGTGTTACATATTGCTACAAAAAGAGGTGATAAAAAACTGATTGATCTGCTGTTGGCAAGTAACGCAAATGTGAACGCTATCGACAGTGAAGGAAACTCTGTCTTATCTTATGCTCTCAGAGAGAACATGTTTACCATCGTCAATAAATTTATCAAGGCAGGAGCCAGGGTAGACGAGAAATTTGCTGAAGGGAAAACAGTTTTACACCTTGCGGTAGAAAAGGGTGATGAAACACTGATTGATCTGCTGTTGGCAAGTAACGCAAATGTGAACGCTATCGACAGTGAAGGAAACTCTGTCTTATCTTATGCTATCAGAGAGAACATGTTTGCCATCGTCAATAAATTTATCAAGGCAGGAGCCAGAGTAGACGAGAAATTTGCTGAAGGGAAAACAGTTTTACACCTTGCGGTAGAAAAGGGTGATGAGACACTGATTGATCTGCTGTTGGCAAATAACGCAAATGTGAACGATATCGACAGTAAAGGAAACTCTGCCTTAACTTATGCCGTCAGGGGGTACATGTTTACAATCGTCCATAAACTTACAAAAGCAGGAGCCAGGGTAGAGGAGCAATGTGTTGAAGGACAAACAGTTTTACATTTTGCTGCTGAAATGGGTGATGAAAACCTGATTGATAAGCTGTTGGCAGAAAACGTAAATTTGAATGATATTGACTTAAAAGGAAACTCTGCCCTTCATTATGCCGCTAGGGAATGCAAAATCGCCATCGTCAAGAAACTTATTAAAGCTGGGGCAAGCGTAGAAAGGAAGGATGACAAAGGGCGAACAGTCTTACATATTGCTGCACAACTTAATAATGAAAAATTGATTGATTTGCTGTTGAGAAATAAGGCTAATGTAAATGAAATTGACGATAAAGGAAATTCTGCCTTGTATTTTACCGTCAAGAGATGTAATTTGGTCATCGCCGAGAAACTTGTTAAAGCTGGAGCCAGCATAAGCAGGAAAAATGACGAAGGAAAAACTGTGTTACAAATTGCTGGAGAACGAGGGGATAATCAACTTATTGATGCACTGTTGAAAACATGGGGTATGTGGAATTCAGTATTTAAAATGCTTCGTATGCTTCCTACCAGTTTGTACCAGTTGCGTAGCCCGCTCGATAAGGAGGAGAAGGGGGGTATATAGCATCTATGGGGGTGGGTGATCTCGTGTTCCACATAATTTATTTCATCATTCATCATTACAGTTAATTTCAGCTGATCTTTCATCGTAAAATTCCGAACTTCGGCACTTCCGCAATACATTCCATATTTAGCATGTTGACCCTGAACTTCGCAACGAACTTCCCAACGAACTTGCGAACTTTGGCAGTAGTGGAAGAGTTATCCTCGTGGATGTAGAGGTTTAGGGGAAAGTTCGATGAAGAAACTAATTCAAAATTGTTCTAAACGTTAAAAGCAAACGGGTTTTCCTCAAGGTTGCAGTTGAAATTATTGACAAAAGAACAAGTAGATGACATGTTTCAAAATGAAATTTAATGGCCAGAGGTAAACCCCTTCGCTTTTAACGTTTGGAACATTTTGAATTAGTTTCTTCATCTAACTTTCCCTTAAACGTTGACATTCACGGAGATAACTCTTCCACTACTGCCAAATTGTATGTAAATCGAATTTACGAAATTCCGAATTCGTTTCCGAAGTTTCAGAAATTCCGAAGTTCGCAAATTCGCTGGGAAGCTCATTGCGAAGTTCGCGCTCATTCCATATAATATTATGGAATGTATTCCGGAAGAAACTTCGGAATTTTACGATAAAGGTTAGCTGAAATTAACTGTAAAACCTGCTGTTTTTACCAATTTTACGGTCAGTGAACATTATTATATGATTACGCCTCCCCCACCTATTCATACTGGGAACACCGCTAGTTTTTGGCCAAAACGTTTTTCGTGTGTGCAAACGTTTTTCACTTGCATGCCGTACTATATTTCGAATTATCACATTCTTGTGCCTTTATCAGGGAGATAACAGGGTGACATAAAAACGCAATGTCACTGATATCGCTTTCCGTCCCACTGCAAATATTCAAGATGGCGGCCGCGCAATTGTGTTGACAACCAAATTTATGTTTACTGCACAAGTATCTGGTTTAAATTCGTATAATGAAAACCTAAATTAAGAACTTGAACAGCAAGATGATTAATCGAACAACAATGAGGATAACTGAAGTAAAAAAACTGGCTTTTTGTATCGAAAATGACGACTTTCGTGTACAATTGAATTTCTGTTAACATGCATGTCACACGTCAAGGTAGGAGCCTGGCGGTCTTTTACACTGAAAGACACATCAAGGTCCATTTATTCCTTTAAAAAAGACATTTAAAATCTGGCAAAAAGATTTGAAAGTTACTGCTATAAACCAAAATTATTTAGAAACTGCTATAAACCTAAATATGTGTCAAATTTGAAGCAGAACTGAATAAAGGCACAAGTACGGTATGTGATAAACAGGTTATCACATGATTGGCTCGGTTATATAAGTTTTATCGCCCTCAGAACAATATTACCGATCTCTCGTTCGCTGCGCTCACTCTTCACAATTTGTGATATTGTCCCTCCGGCGATAAAACTAATATCACCTCACCCATCACGTGATAACTTTACCCTTTACGCTCACCTGGAGCGGTTCTTTTCTTATTTTGTCCACTGAGGACTAAATTGTATTTTTTTCCATTCAGTGAGAAGCATCGCGATTTTTAACGAGTTCGTAGCGCAGTCAAAGCATTTTATTTAAGTATTGTTATTTTCTTATAATATTTTAAAACAATTGGATTTCTAACAAATATGGGGTATAGTTGATTCGAACTTTGCCCTCGTAGAAATCTCGAGCTCAAATATAATTGCATTTAATTGCATTTTATTATTGTAGAAATCGCGCGTTCTACGATGGCCTTGTATTTTGTGGTAATTAAAAGTGACTTTTCATTAAACTTTTGATATTTTTAGTTTCAGTTGGTCCAAGCGGAGGTGTTATTCAATTAGTCGACGACGTCACACTTAAATTGGGAGCCGAGTGTGTCCTAGAAGATACAAAAATTACTTTGGTTAATAAAACCCCGGAAGATTTTCCCACTGAGTCATTGCTTGAATTAGGTCTTGTTAAAGTTATTCCTCGTGTTGTTGAATTTCTTCCGAACCACTTGAAATTTTTAAAACCAGCAGTTCTTATGATCAAACTCGAAAGACCTGTCTCTGATTTTGAACTTTTTATCCTACATGGCTCCTACAATAACAGTTACCATAAGATCACGTGGGAAGTTGTGAGCAATAGTATTGAGAGAGACGATGTTGAAGGGGTTTCAAGTGTAAAAATTAACGGCTTCTCTCTGTACAGTTTCATTTTGGCGTTGCGCGGAATGCTGGCTCGAATCTTATGTCACCTCAATTACTCGTTTGTCTGCCGAGCCTATGTCTTGTATCGCAGAATTAGTTCCAAGGGAAGTGTGGATATCGCTGTTGTCCTCGTTAGCGAGTTTGTTGATGACAATAACGAAGACGATATTAAACAGTTGAAGGATCACTTTGAAGGAGGTTATCGCACAGAGGAAAAAGGAAAGCTGGCCTGTGTTAACACTGATCGTCGTTATGAAATAAGTTTAAATTTCACCGAAGTCGAAATCTGTCATTCTTTTGAGATTAACCAAGCTCAACTGGATTCAGATGGGTATGCGATCAACTGTTTTGCTGAATTAGCGAGTCCGGCAAATGGAAATGTTGAAATACGCGAAGAAAGTCAAAATACATTGTTGTGGAAGTTGACTGTATCTGAGATTGCGCAGGAGACGGAAGAGAAAGAAACTGATGGTAGGTTTTTTACTATAATCTAAAAAATGTAGTGCAAACTTTATCGCTATAGAAGAGTACAAGCTGCGATTTTTGGACAGTTTGTTATTTGTCTTGTGAGAAGCAGTTTTGACAAACTGACGTTGATTCAATCATGCAGATTCTTGCGTGAAACATCATCCTAAATGGTAATACTTTAATGATAGGAAGCCCAACAGTCAGGTTTTAATTTGTATGAAATAAGATAAATACAAGTTTTCATTTATCTTAACCGGGCGCCGCAGTACGTATGCTAGAAATACATCCAGGCAGTATCCCCTCGCCATTTTAAAAAAAGCAAAATATTTCCTGAGCTAGCCAGACCTTACCCTCTAAGCTTATATCATGAAATGACTTAAATAAGCCATACGCATAGCTGATGTTTCAAATTTTTCGAAAACAAACACAATAGTAAAGGTGAAGTAAAATCACCAGTATTCCGGCTGCATTTAGTCATTAGCTGCATGTTCGAGTTAATACACACACTAATTCACTATAGCTTAATCTTCAAAACATATAAACAGCACAAATTAGATTTGTTCTGTCACAATACCTGGGTGTAACTCCTACTCTCCGGGCAGAATTAGTATCCTCTCACAATGCTCCGCACCGGCTCGGGGGATTATAGAAGAAGATATGGATTTTATGTTCGAGTGATGAAAAGTTTGTTGGAATTTGTCGTGCCTCGACGCGTGATGTACGAATTCGTCCAATCACAGTTAATAGAATATACATGGGGTTTGGAGACCATATAATACTACAATACAACTCATTAACTATGTTGAGGCACATTTATGCAAAAAATTGTTCCTTTCGCATCACATGTCTATTGTATTTTGCACAGATAAACCAATAGCAATCTTATAATTAACATATTTTTCAAGTCAAGGTTGATGAGCTTAGCAAGACGAATGCCATTGGTACGTTTGGCTAAAATACAATAGACACGTGACGAGAAAGGAACCATTTTTTGCATAAACGTGGACAATAACATAGTTAATGAGTTGTATTGTACTTTTATTTAGTCTCCAAACCATGTACATTCTATTAACTGTGGTCCAATAAGATCACCTTTTTTCTACTATTAAGCCTTTTTTCCACTAGGCGGAATCTTTGTTTTTCTTACATTAGTGCTGCATGGAAGCGCGCAGAAAATTCCGCCTAGTGGGAATGAACCCTTAGTTGAAAAATCGGATAGTTTAACCACGATACAATAATATGATCTTGAATGATATTTACTTTTACTCGATATAGACGTCCAAACAGCTCGACTTTTTTACGGCGTTGCATGCGTGCGTCAGCAAATCCTCTGAAAAGACAACAAAATTCCCAACTGCAATATTCTCTAAAACAATGTTGATACACTTTTTAAAATATCCTTTTTGTGCTTATAACATTGCACTTAATATTATGAATTACATTTTAGTACACAGCACAGAAACGGAACCCATCCAAAAAGGTATGGTGTAACACTGAAGTACTTCTTAAAGCATCTTGCTAATGGCACAGTGTCATTCGAAATCTCGAAGCCTATCCATCTTGGGCAAGATTAACTATTTA